AGGGCATCAAGCAGGGGCGTTGCGAAGGGGGGGGAGGGTACATATGTCCCCGGGCGCCGACCCTAGGGGCGCCAAAATGGGTTGGGAAAAAAATAAAAAGTTCATTTTAGCTGCAGTTTTGAATTATGAATATAAAAAATATATTGGGGGGCGCCAAATTGAAAGTTTGTTTCAGGGCGCCGGGACAGGTCGCTACGCCTCTTGGAATGTAATAATAAAAAGCTAAAGTAACTATTTGTACAACAAATTACCACTTTCTATTGCATCTTTACATAGGTGAGTTCTTTTTTTAATGGTTAGTTGTAGAGATGTTTTTGTTTTAAGTTAGTGATCACAAAAACTATAGGTTTAGGATGATCGTCAAATGACATCATGTATGGGGGTTGTGAATTTACAGACGAAAAGTGAGCAGAGTTTCTTCCAGATGCGGAAGCCCCCCCCCCCCCCCCCATCCTCCCAAAAAGAGTCTACCACCCCCACCCCCTTGGTTGAAATTGAATTTATATAGAAAATATATACTTTTACCAGTGTCCCCCTGCCATAAGAGAATTTATTCCGCTCTCCCGAAAATATCAAGTGACCCCCTCCCCCACCCCCGGAGGAAAAAAGTCTGAAAGAAACACTGTGTGTAAGGAAGTGAGATGTGTGATGTGTGAAGGACACAAGAGTGATAAAAAAAAGCAGAGTTTATTTTGGGTTTGAACGGACATTTTTACAAACGTTTACGAAATGAAGAAGTAGATCCTGTGATGTTTTGGTGACGATGTGTGACGTTCAGTCTAGTGACAATGTGTGACTGTGACTGTGACATGGAATGTGGGAGGGGCTGTAAACTTTGTTAAACTGCCCTACCTTATTTATAGACAGCTTACACATCAAGTTGTATGATTCTGCTTAATTTAAATCAAGGAACGGGGTGGCCTAGCGGTAAAGAGCAAGACAGCTCCATAAGTCTCAAGTTTGATTCCGGGTTCAAGTGAGTAGACTGTCCCTGAGTCCACCCAACTCGATGGGTATCTAACTTGCATTAGGGATAGTAAAGGCGGCCGGGCATAGTTCTGACCACACTATCTCTTCATATGCCGAGGTCACAGAAACAGGTAAACTGTACTTCACTTGCCCCTTAGACCGTCAGGTTTGAAAGGGAACTTTTTTTTACGTACTTAATTCAAATCTGAACTCTACACCTTCCCTCAATTAATCATACCACTTTATCTACACCTAACATGCACCCACACACCCACACACACACAACTTCCGCTTTAGCACCTATATTCTTCAACTCTGTAAACCCTACAAACGTTCGTGATTTACAACAATACAGACATTTCATCCCGTGACTCATTTACCCAAGGCTGATAAAGGGTTTAAGGTTGCGCAAGAAAAAGTAGTTCATACCCGTGAATTCGTCAACAACCTACCTCTGTACTCGGCAAGGTGTCTCAAACTATACGGCTAAAACCCCAAAGGTTGTTTTTTTAGCAAGTGTTCTTATAAAGTTTTGTTTTTAAAAAAATTATCAAATAAAGTAAAACATGTATCAAAACAATTATAGAAACGATATTTTTAAATGCACTGAAAATAACATAATTAAGTATCTTTTTCAATTGATACAATGAATTCGCTACAACCTAACAACACATCTTTTGTTATCGTTTTGGTAACATGGGCAATGATTTTAATAAATAAATTAGTATCCCATTCGATTTGAGATTAAATACTCTTGCTTTTTTCTTGAAGATAATCTCGAACGCAAACTTACAACGAAATCGTTCCGGTAGAAATTGTTCAAAATTGAATTACATAAATTGACTGCAAATAAACACAGAGAGGGACGTAGTTTTTAAATGACAATATTATTCTGTCCAAAATTCAGCGGCACCGCAGGATTATGTTCAGGGTAAGAGGGAGCCGAATCAGCACCTCCCCCTCCCCCAGGTCTAATGTAGGGGCGCCCAGACTGAGATTTACATAATGTTGAGTGGAGTAAGGAAATATAGTGGCGGGGTAGGGTCTAGTTAAGATTAGGATTATGTTTGGAAATCTGGGCTAAGAATTATGTTTTGGGTCAGGGATGAAGTCAGGGTTATGTTTCGAGTCAGGATAGAGTCAGGATTATGTTTTAGTCAGGGCTAGAGTCAGGATTATGTTTTGGGTCAGGGATGAAGTCAGGGTTATGTTTCGAGTCAGGATAGAGTCAGGATTATGTTTTGAGTCAGGGCTAGAGTCATGATTCTGTTTTGGGTCAGGGATGAAGTCAGGGTTATGTTTCGAGTCAGGATAGAGTCAGGATTATGTTTTAGTCAGGGCTAGAGTCAGGATTATGTTTTGAGTCAGGGCTAGAGTCATGATTCTGTTTTGAGTCAGGGCTAGAGTCAGGGTTATGTTTTGAGTCAGGACTAGAGTCATGATTATGTTTTGCGTCAGGGCTAGAGTCAGTGTTATGTTTTGAGTCAGGGCTAGAGTCAGGATTATGTTTTGAGTCAGGGCTAGAGTCATGATTCTGTTTTGAGTCAGGGCTAGAGTCAGGGTTATGTTTTGAGTCAGGACTAGAGTCATGATTATATTTTGCGTCAGGGCTAGAGTCAGTGTTATGTTTCGAGTCAGGGCTAGAGTCAGGATTATGTTTTGAGTCAGGACTAGAGTCATGATTATGTTTTGAGTCAGGGCTAGTCAGGGTTATGTTTTGAGTCAGGACTAGAGTCAGGATTATGTTTTGTGTCAGGGCTAGTCAGGATTATGTTTTGAGTCAGGATTATGTTATGAGTCAGGGCTAGAGTCAGGATTATGTTTTGAGTCAGGATTATGTTTTGAGTCAGGATTATGTTTTGAGTCTCAGGATTATGTTTTGAGTCTCAGGATTATGTTTTGAGTCTCAGGATTATGTTTTGAGTCAGGATTATGTTTTGAGTCAGGATTATGTTTTGAGTCTCAGGATTATGTTTTGAGTCAGGATTATGTTTTGAGTCAGGATTATGTTTTGAGTCAGGATTATGTTTTGAGTCAGGATTATGTTTTGAGTCAGGATTATGTTTTGAGTCAGGATTATGTTTTGAGTCAGGATTATGTTTTGAGTCAGGATTATGTTTTGAGTCAGGATTATGTTTTGAGTCAGGATTATGTTTTGAGTCAGGATTATGTTTTGAGTCAGGATTATGTTTTGAGTCAGGATTATGTTTTGAGTCAGGGCTGGTTTGCGTTACTATATGGGCTAGGGTTGAGGTTATGACAGCGACTCCAAAAAAAATATTCATTTAATATAACCAGCTAATTCTTCAACGAGGCCTAAGTATCTATTAATGTGTCCTTTCTAAACAAGTTTAGAACCGCTAGAATCCTATCCTTGATACTGATAAATCAACAAAATGTTGTGATTATTTTTTTTTATAAAAACGACATTTGACGTCACCAAGTCACCACTAGCATAGCATATTTTTACACCGGGGAAGAGATAAGAACAAAACAAAGCCAGAATAGCGTAACTAACAATAAAATCTTAAGACTTTTAGATTCATTTGACGTTTCAGCAGTCATGACAAAAAAAGAGCATGAGTTGACCTAGCTAGCTGGTGATGAAAACGTTTAAATAGCTTGAACTTACCCTCAGAATTTACTAATCGCAAATCGTGTCAGGACAAACTCGACACAGCTGTTTGTGTTGTATTCTTCTCAATAGCTACGCGATCAAATTTTGTATGCACTTATATTTTAATCGATTTCTGCATGATTTTTGTCTACTTTAACTGTTATATATTTTATAAAGTGGAATCTCATCCGTTTACTTACATACATTTTGATATTAATTTTGGTGAGTATAAAGAATATCTTTTTTATCGTTTAGCCGTACCCACAACGTAGTAAAACGTGATACATGTAGTTTAGTTTTGAGGATTACGTTAAGTTTACAATCAGGATTAGGATTACAGGGATGGATGTTGAGGACAGAGTATCAATATTGACGTTACGAGCCTGCTTTTTTATGTTGGACTTAGGTGTGGGGCTTAGATCTAGTAGTTACCTTTTTGAACATGGCGGTCCATTGTGTAGATGAAGTAGAGTTCATTTGTTTCTGTGACCTCGGCTAATGAAAAGGTCCAGCCGCCTTTATTTTCCCAAACGTGAGTCAGGTGCCCATCAGTGCTAAGTGGGCTAAAGGGCAGCCTACTTACTCTTTCGGTGGATCCGAACTTGAGCCTTTCCTGTTAGCAGCTGTGTGCTCTACTATCTGACCATGCCATAACATGGGGATAAAATTTTGGTTCCTATTTTATTTTTGTATATATTCAACGTGCAACATTAAATTTTACGAAAAGATTAGTGAGCTAAGATTAAGATTACAAAATGGTTCAATAGAAAAGATTGGGGCGGCGTGGTAGAGCTTTTGACTGCTAGACCGAAGGTCTCGAGTTCGGATGAAGGTTCGGACTTGTGAATGTAGGACGTCCCGGAGTCCACCCAGCTCTGATGGGTACCTGATTTGCGTTGGGGAAATTAAAAGCGGCTCGGCATAGTGCTGACCACATTAGCACTTCATATGCCGAGGTCAAGAAATGGATTAACTCTACTTCAACTTCCCAATGGATATCTTTCTCTAATTTACTTAAATAGAGAAGATTAAGTTGCCTTAAAATCTTGATATTTGAAAAGAACATTTTTAAGTGACATGTTTTTTACTAATTAATATGTGCTAATTATTTTATATTTTAAATACATTGTAATTGTGTTTAACTTGTGAGTTATATTACACAACTTATGTTTAGTATCACTTTTTGCCTAAACCTCGATGCAGCTGCCATTGTCAATCTGTTATTTATAACACATTCTTACAACGTGTCTAATCTTACACATTTTGTGTTTCTTCCTATGCAGATAGAATCATCAACTAGATCTACACCACACAACGCTAACACACCCTCCATCATCTGCTGTAGCACAACAACGAGGCTATACTAAAAAAAAACTCATCTACAAAAATTACACGGATCCGGCAAACTAAATGAGCTAAATTCAAAAACTCTAAAACAGAACTGTTTAGTAATCTAGAGGAAAAAAATCATTAAAATAATTTAATAATCTCAACGAAATCAACACCTTTTCAACATGAACAACGTATCATCGCTGATGTTTTCAACATTGCTGGTGGTCCTGTTGACGGTGACGTCACATGTTGAATGCAGACCACGTGACCATATGGCAGGTGAGATAATAAACAGATATAATCCTGATTGTTTGGATAAATTTTGATTGCATTACATGAGGAATCATTTTTTTTTTAAATGTCCGGGTATTTAAAAAAATTGAATCGTTTTAAATTCAGGAGCTTAAACCCTCCCTCCCCCCTTCCAACACACACACACAAACACACCTCTAATCACCCTCCAATTATATATACGTATGTATGTAGGCCTATATTTGATACTATCGTAGGTTTTTTAAACTGACGTATCCCCGATTATAAAAATATAAGCGAATGAGTCCTAGAGCGTTATAAATAGCTCTAGAACTCTTGAAAAAGTCTAATGTTGAACAAAATCCATCTACATCTTTTATTTTAACGGAAATGTCAGATTTAACAGTTTTCTTTTAACTGTACAACATTTTTCATCATGAAAAACAAAAAAAGAACAACTGTTAATCATATAGGCCTAATGCATAATGGAAAACACGAAAAAAGATAGGCTTAGATCTACTTGTTAAACTTTTATTCTAGAATATAGCCACTCTTTATTACAATTCACTTTACTTTACTAAGTTCTCTATTTTATACTGTTGCGAAGGAAATAGTGTATTCTAACTCTCAAAACTAACCGTTTCTCTACAGATCGTACCAACAAACCAATGAAATCAAATACTGAGTTAATAACGGAGGAAACAAACACTGAAGATGATGGTAAGATATATATGATTTTTTTAACTTGTTTTAAAAATAAATGTTAAAGTTTGAAAAATCCTAATGGTTAGATATAAACATGAAAGTCCCGAGTTCGGATCCCGAAGAGATGCCTGGAAGAAATTCTGATCGACGGCGTACACCGGCGTGGGAAAATGATCTTAGATAAAGATCATTAGTGACAGAAATTATAAGGGACAAAAAAATCCGTTATCTACTGGACTGTTTCACGAAGGGAGATAACTCTATACATTAAGTACGCTGACCTTCTCAACTTTAAATTGCCCTTGGTAATATCTTTGAGTGCTTTAAGTTCTTAGTTTATGTTTTCATTCAGCAAAGTATTCGCGGCAATTTTTTTTCTTCAATTTTATTTTTGAATAATAAATGACGGCCCAAATGTATAAATCACCCCCACCCCCACCCCTACAATTCTCAATACACTTCCCTCGGCAACGCGTGTATAGTTATATCAACAACCAAAGCAAATGTAATCTTCTCACATCAACTAACTTAACTAAAAAAAACAACTAACTTAACTTCTTAAGTTTACTTAATATCGCAAACAAGCTGAAATTTTATCACTTGGCTTAAAGAGATTGGCATTTCTAGTGTGTATCTGAATGCGATGATAGATTTAATCATTGACACAACCTAATCCGCAATTAGACTGATTAGCAATAGCTTATAATGTGCAAATTGTTTAAATATAAAGAAACTTGTATAGTTACATGTATGGGTGTAGGTATGGTCTATATTGAGTTTCAACCACTAGTTTAAAAATTCAATTTTTATTGAATGATTGTTTGTTTTTTGCAGGGGGGGGTGCAAAAAACAGCGATTTGTTAATATGATTACTTTGATTTAGTAACATTGTCAATTAATATGTAACAAATCAAGTGAATTTCTCTCTTCTCTCTCGCAGAAAACAAAACCAGTGAGGTACAAGAAACCTTTTCATTTATCTTCGATAGACAACGTAAGTTTTTATTGTATTAAATCAGTGATGTTGATCGTTATTTACATGCATTGCGCTTTTTCGACGGCGTGGTAGAACGATCGTTTGCTAACCCAAAAGTCTCGAGTTCGGGTCCCTGGGTGGAGTCGTAGAACGTCCCTGAGTCCACCCAGCTCCGATGGGTACCTGGATTACGTTAGGGAAAGTAAAGGCGGCTGGGCATAACGCTGACCACACTATCCCTTCAAATACCGAGGTCACAGAAACAGGTAAACTCTACTTCACCTGCGCCGTGGACCCACAGTTCCGAAAATGAACTTTACTTATTGTGCTACTTCCACTTCGTTTGTTTTTTTAAACCGAAAGAAGACGTTTCATTGGGTTATTCGTTTTTAACTATTTTAACTGTTTTGTTAAACAACACAGTCAAGACTGGTCAAGACTAAACATTTCTTTTGTTGGATTGAGTGTTGTGAATAGAGGAGTGAGCAATTCGTTTTAAAGATATACTAAATGTTTAAACCCCGGTATAAAGTCATGGAATTCAAAGCCAAATAAGGAATTATGTTATGTATTCTGTATAATTTTTTGGCGTTTCTTTTAAGCAGTGTTTTTTTTCCAGATCTTTTTTCTCCAATGAGGGGGGGGGGGGGGGTGGGCATTGATATTTTCGATGGGACGGACTAAATCTTCCGGGGGGGGGGGGGGGGGGGAAGGACTGATAATTCCATTTCGTTCGGGGGGAGGGGGGGTGTAGACTAGTGTGTTGCTAGTCCACGAAGAGGTGCCTGAAAAAAGTCTGCTTTTAAGCAAGGAGAAACAAGTATATTAGGTTTGATTGTAAAAATTAAAATAAATATAAAAGTTTTTGTTCTATTTATTTTTATTGTAATAAATTGCTACGATGTGTATTTAAACAGCCCAGCCAGTGAAAAACTCATCAGACCCTCAATCCCAGATGTTTATTTTTAACGCATGCGTCATGGCTTGCACGCACAATTCAACCAGGTGAGTTGATCCACATGAGTACACACACACGAAAGCACACACACACACACCAAAATTAAAGTATACGCGCGTATTTACATTGCTGGTTATTATTCCAATGTAACAAACTTAAACCTATGACTTAACCAGAGGCGTAGAGAGGGGGGGGGGTGGGAATGCTGACCGCACCGGGTGACACCATTTAGGGGGTGACACCAAGGCAAAAAATAGCAAAATATATAGAGAAAAACTTGGGGGGGTGCAAATCGAAAATTTGAAAGTTTGTCCCCGGGAAGGGTCGCTACGCCTCTGGGGGGGGGGGGAGGGGTGACACCATTAAGTGCCGCACCGGGTGACACCCGACCTCGCTACGCCACTGGATTTAACTTATAAAAGTAATAGCCTACAAATGTCAATCTAGAGCTATTTAATTCTAATATGCTTACACTTACACTTTGTCAACACACTAATCTTCTTCGTTCTCAATTTTTAGTATTGAAAGGGATCGAGCCTTATCTAGCTGAGAGTTCGAACTCGAGACTTCGTCGAATTTTTAACGACATGAGCTTTGCCGACTCAACCATACATCTAACACAATTAAGGATACGTGTCAACTGGTTATGAGCCATTCATTGACTCTGATTTCAGCCTTCTTTGCATTTTGGATTTGCTTCCATAGCCTTTGTCCAACCAAGAACAAACTACCGGGCAGCAGTTGGCTGTCCCCAGCTAACGAGCCTCAGACTGCCCTAGGGTTCGAACTCGAGACTTTTTCGCTTTAGCAACCATGAGCTTTACCTACTCGACCACACCGTCCCCTGTCAAAACACTCTTTAGTTATATATTTTGAGCAATCATCAACGGTTGATTGATCAAACCACTTAACATATATATGTATATATATATATATATATATATATATATATATATATATATATATATATATATATATATATATATACATATATGTGTGTATGGGGAGTGGGTGTGTAATTATAGGTGTGTAATATATTTATGTAATTATCAAGCAAATTCATTGAAAATGTTCCCATATAACTAATACGAAAAGGCACTAATAAAACGTATTTTGAAATATAAAAAACTATACTTCTTTGTGGTTGTCATGGTAACGACGGCCATGTTAGATTTTTTTATCGTTTTCAAAATGCTATAGCTCAATAACACAAAATTTTGAAGCCTTAAATACAAGAAACTATTGCTACCCGCTAACCCGCGACGTAGCATTCGCCGCTATCTAGTTGTTTTATTTTCTACTTATCAATAATTCATAATATGTGAATTCGACACTACCCTACCCCCTTGCCTCCCACCCCCCCCCCCCCCCAGTGAAAGCAGCCGTTTACAGTCAACAATGAAAATATCAAGCAGAACTTATCTCCCTTTAGTTTCAAATCGTTTAAAAACTAAATTATCTGCCCCTAATAGCCGTCGCTTATTCGCACCGCCTCTACTCTTTTAAACATTCGGGTGAACCATAGCTCACCTGACAGGTGGGGATGAAGGTGGTGGCTAAGCTGCGTGGTGTCTCGTATGGTCCCCATGAAGAGAATTTTATAGATAGATATGACTAATCTTGCTTTTATTAACACGTTTTTATTAACTCAGCTTCGCGTGGATGTGTTTGTTGTTAAAATTGACATCGAAAATTAGCCCACTTCTGATTGCTCTATAGATCTGAAATTTGGCATGCAGGTTACTTTCGCCTAACAATTTCAGATGCAATCATAAAAACTAGCAATTAGAGACCGTAATTAGCTTAATTTAATTACGCCCAAAGGACCATAAAATTGAGGACATGATTTCTAAAGATACCGACAAGACTGGAGGCTTGTTGACACAGTTACTTCGGCCCCAATCGATGTGAGCACGCTGGCCGTGATCGTATAGTGGTTAGTACTTCGCGTTGTGGCCGCGACAACCCAGGTTCGAATCCTGGTCGCTCAAGATTTTTTTAGTCCGTGTATTTATAAACACTTAGTCAATTCATACTTAATCAAGTCATTAGATAAAGTAGAAAATAAACTATATAAAAAACTTTTTTAAAAACCACGTTTTTCATGTGTAGCAACGGACTAAAAAGGAGAAAATAAAATACTTAAAAAAAACTTTTTAAAAAACCACGTTTTTCTTGTGGACTAAAAAGTAGAAAATAACTATTTACATACATTTGATGACAAAAAACGTGGGTCGGGCAGATGGGTCGGGAAATTTGATGGTGAACGTACCCACGTTTTTTGTCATCAAATGTATGTAAATAGTTATTTTCTACTTTTTAGTCCACAAGAAAAACGTGGTTTTTTAAAAAGTTTTTTTTAAGTATTTTATTTTCCTTACAGCGTACAAGTTTTCCACTTCTGTCACCGCGAGTGTCTCTCAAACCCCTACAAGTATCCCATCAGTGAAGACAGCCAGTCGGATATTCAGGCGGACGTACAAGTAGACATTCAGGCAGAGAACTATACAGAACTTGATGAGGGTAAGAAGCATTGACGAATATCTTCTAAACCATAGCGTTTTAACATAAATGTGTATGAACTATACAAAAGTTAAACACTGTAACAGTGTACTAAATACCATATAGTATTTTTTTTCTAGTAAGGGTAATCAGGCGGAAATTTCCAGTTTGCCTACATATTGATTTTTATCTTTCTAACAATTATTAAAATTTACAAAGTACTAATAATAATCCGAACTATTATACACATTTTAGTTGGCGTTCACTTGGTGTGCAATTATTTTTTCTACGAGATTCTATTCTATTTTAAAAAGTTTAAGTAATTAAAAATGGATTAAAAATATTGTCTATATCCCGAGTTGCCATCCCCGTAGTGAACGAGCCGGCCCGCGGCATAACATACGCCGCTATTTAGTTGTTGTTTTTTCTACTTTTCAGTAATTCATTGTAATAGATTGAGATAATTGTGAGGTCAAGGGAACTCACTCTTCTGTATTAGTTATATTTATAATATTGTTATTGTGAGTGATGTCCCTTGTATATTGTACTTCCTTCCTCTCTGGTTATCAACATGTAGTTAGACCCAATAAACGTTTATATACAACCACATGCTTCTGTCGTCAATCCATCACATTTTGGCGACGAGGATAAAAATCTACTAGAAAGAGCACCTACTTACGCAAAAAAGAGGTTTGCTAGAGCATATTAGCTAAGTATTTCTAGAATAATGGCGCTGTATGGCCAAATAAAAGAATTTGATTCGAATGATGAAATCATTCAGGATTACCTAGATAGGTTAAGCTTTTACCTTGAAGCAAACGACGTGACGATAGAAGCCAAAAAGAGAGCTATTTTGTTAACAGTCATAGGGCCTCAACAATTTAGGCTACTAAAGGACTTATGCGCACCAGCTAGTCTAACTACCAAGAGCTTTAACGAGCTGAGCAAATTGCTAACAGACCACCATGCGCCTACCCCATCAAAGTTTCTATGTCGAGCTAGATTTGACAGTAGGACTCGTCAACCAAACGAGTCAATATCAGAATATGTTGCTGCTTTACGTCATTTAAGTGAATTTTGTGAATTCGGCGATACGCTGTCTGACAGACTATGTGAAAAGTTTGCGACAGGTGTAAACAGCCCTGATATTCAAAGAAAGTTGCTGCTCGAGTCAGATCTAACATTAGAAAAAGCAATACAACTTGCAACTTCATTCCAGCAGTCATCAGATGCGGCGAAATCTCTTACGCCTTTAGGGATCTATGCAGTAAACAGCAGGTTAGTCAATAAACATCAACCCCATCAGAGCATTCCAACTTATGCTAAACAGCCTGCACGTTCAAAGCCTAGATCTAAATCTAGTAATTATTATCAAAAATGTCATCGATGCAAAGGTCCCCATGCATCTCATCGGTGCAAGTTCAAGTTAGCAACTTGTTATAAGTGCGGTAAGCAAGGTCACATTGCCAAGGCCTGCTTTGCACAGTCTTCGTCTGTTGCTAAATCTAGCCAGTCAAGACAGTACCGCAACCAAAAGCAGCACTATGTTAACTCTCACCAAGACTACCTAACCCAACCAATGAACCACTCTACTTGTGAAAATGCTCAAACTGATTCGCAGCCGGATTTCAACCTGTTCTCTGTGAAATCAATAAGTCATGCTCCCATCAATGTACCAGTTAATATCAACGGTAAGAGCATCAGCTTCCAACTTGACACTGGAGCATCTCTAACAGTCATAACAAAGAAAGATTTTGACGCTGTCACAGGAGGATCAGTGCCTCTACAGCCATGTCACAAGTGTCTAACAACATACACTGGTGACAATGTTCCGGTAATAGGAGAGTGTATGGTTCATGTAAGTTATAATGGTCAAAGTGTTAAACTTCCTCTTCTTGTGGTTGAAGGAAATGGACCACCATTACTAGGTAGGAACGGTTAAGTGATCTTAAGTTAAATTGGGAGAGTATTTGTTCATTGAACAATGGAAAAGAATCTAGTCTTACTTCACTAGATAAAGTAATATCTGAAAATAAAAGTGTTTTTGGCAATTCAGGTTTACTAAATGATAGAACAGTGAAGTTAAGCATTAAAGACACAAATCCAAGATACTGCAAAGCTAGAGTTCCACCTTATGCAATGAGGAACAAAATTGAAAATGAGCTAAGTAGATTGGAATCTAATGGCATCATAAAGAAGGTAGACTATTCCGATTGGGCAACGCCCATTGTGCCAGTGTTAAAGAAGGATGGTTCTATAAGAATTTGTGGAGATTATAAAACTACACTGAATAAGCAAATAGAGCTAAATAGGTACCCTATACCTAACATTGAGGAAATTTCTTTGAATTTGGCAGGAGGAGACAAATTCACTGAATTAGACTTTAGTCATGCTTACACTCAACTAGAACTACATCCAGATTCAAAAGTCTATACGACAATAAACACACATAAAGGACTCTACCAATATGAAAGACTATGTTTTGGCATATCATCTAGCCCTGGAATTTTCCAAGCTGTCATGGACAGTATTTTTAAGGATATTCCAAATGTTTGTGTGTACTTTGACAATGTGTACATAACTGGTAAGAATGACACTGAACATCTTAAAACACTTAATAAAGTATTGAAAATAGTTGGTGAAAAAGGTTTAAAGATAAACAAAGATAAATGTCAATTCATGCTGACAGAAATTAGTTTTCTTGGTTATATATTGAGCAAGCAAGGTATCAGACCTCAACCTGAGAAAACAAAAGCCATTAAAGAAGCACCCAAACCTGAAAATACCCAACAACTAAGAGCTTTTTTGGGCTTGATAAATTACTATGCAAAGTTCATAGGGAATCTGTCTGGTAAACTATCACCACTGTACAAGCTGCTACAGAAAAATGCAACTTGGCACTGGGGTAAACAACAAGAAGCTGCTTTTAATACAGCAAAAGAGGCTTTGTCTGCTGACACCTTACTAACTCACTATGACCCAGGGAAAAGACTTATATTAACATGTGATGCTTCACCAGATGGTGTAGAAGCAGTCTTGTCCCACATGGATGAGAAGGGTGACAGACCCATTGCTTTTGCCAGTAGATCTTTGAACCAGGCTGAGAAAAATTATTCTCAGTTAGATAGGGAAGGCTTAGGCATCATTTTTGGTGTTAAGAAATTTCATAAGTTTCTGTTTGGTAGGAAGTTCACCATCTTTACAGATCATAAACCATTGCTAGGTTTATTTGGAGAAAACAAAACCCTACCTGAGCATGCCTCACCAAGAATTCAAAGATGGGCTATCACACTAACTGCATACAATTATGAATTGAAATACAAACCTGGATCTGAGAATAGTGCAGATAGTCTTAGTAGATTACCTTTAAAAAACCAAAGCCTGAGCTATGTACCAGAAGATGTATTTGTTCTCTTCACTATCATGGATAACTCCAATATAAATGTGAATGATATTAAAAGAGAAACACAAAAAGATGAGTGCTTAATAAAAGTATATGAGTACTGTAAGAATGGTTGGCCTGAAGAGTCAGTGAATGATGACTTAAGGCCATATAAAATAAGAAAAATGGAATTAAGTCTAAAAGATGGAGAAGATACAGTCCATTATCAGTCAGAGTTACCTAAACAAAGTATTTGTAACTTAATATATGATTATGGTGATATGGCAATTTCAAATACATTAGTAAGAAGGAATGTTATCATCAAACAACTTTGCTAACATCATTAGCACTTACAGAAACTAAAAGGGTAACATCAAAAGAAAAAAAAAAGATTTTTGCCATTTAATACACCCACTTCAAATACTGGATCACAGTTGCAAAGTGATATTGTCCAGGATATTACTTTTAAACAGTATTTTTGGTTACCAAAAAAGCACTATCAGATTACCTGAGAAAATTGATCAATCAAGAAAATCTATGTCAGTCAAGGATCTGAATAACAGCATAATACTTTCAGATGCCAATTCAAAAATAGTTCCATTAAATCATGACAAGACATCCATTGAAAGAGAATTTGGTGTTAATGATAATGTGTATCTGAGAATTTATGGGAGAAAGGAAAAATGGATACCAGGTCAAATTGTTCAATGTACAGGACCTGTGTCTTATAAAGTAACTTGTGCAGATAATAAGTCTGAATCTGTCAATCCCACCAAATCTGAACAGTTCACACCAACTCAGTTTGTTCCACAACCAAGTTCTGTTGATATGAGTGAACCAAGTTGTCTGGAGTCAGAAAATGTAAATTCTGGAGTTAATGATTTAAATCCTAGACCTCCTGAGATAGAGAATCCAGATGGTCAGAATCTTGAGTCACCAAATCAAAAGCTACTGAGAAGGTCAAACAGGACAATCAAAGTCCCAAATAAGTTAGACCTATGATTTTAAGGGTCAAAAGGACTTTGACATCATTGTTTTGTATCTTGATTATGTTGTAGCATATTGTGCATTGTTTGTAAGGATGTAATCTACCATAGTGTTCATGTTACAATATAATTGGTGATTTTAGGATACTATCAATTGTTCTATTGAGAGATGTGTTATTGTGTTCTAAGGGTAAAGGGATGTAATAGATTGAGATAATTGTGAGGTCAAGGGAACTCACTCTTCTGTATTAGTTATATTTATAATATTGTTATTGTGAGTGATGTCCCTTGTATATTGTACTTCCTTCCTCCTCTTTCCATCATTGCTGTAAATAAAGATTGTTAACAACCAACGCGGCTTCTCGTCAGTGATTACAATCTATCACATTCATAATTTGTGAATTCGACAGTACCAACGCTGATACTGAAAATATTTCTTTAAAACACTATAAGTAGCTCGTTAAGGACCATAACCCCCCCCCTTCCTCCCTTCCCCCCCCCCCCCCCCAACCCCCCAACGTTTAAAATCGTTTCAAACTAAATTATCTGCCCCTAATAGCCGTCACTAAACCCGACTCCACAAAGGTAAATATAGCGTGAACCACAGCTCACTAAGACCATGTAGGGGTGGGGATGGTAGGGAGCGCGTTTACAGCTTGTTTTCTAGCGTCTCCCAGAAGAGAATTATATATATAGATATTCCCGGTTTATTTAAAGTAATGTTTGTATTCATTCTTTTCTTTAGTAATGTTTTTATTCATTTTTTTTACAGCCCAGCACATAACCTCCCTTTTAAACGAAATACTTGGTAAGTTATTCTACTTTTTTTACGATACTAGATATCATAGATTAGTTTAACAACGGGTCAGTTGGTCATACAAAGCAGATTCATTTGTTTCTCCGAATGGAGAGAAAAGAGTGTATGAGTCAGGCACTGAGCTAGGTGGAATCAAGAGGGTCATAGGAACTTGAGCTTGTAATTTCTGGAATCGAACCCGTGACTTTTGCCGTCACGCCTTTTAAATACTAGTTACTAGTTAAATTACCCGTCTTTGAACATGACATAGAAATAAAACAAATTGTTATAGCTCAAATGCCACACCACATTATATATATATATATATATATATATATATATATATATATATATATATATATAAGTATATGTATATTAATATTTATAGTAAACCTAAAATTGTTTATTTTACATTAATTAACATTATATATATATATATATATATATATATATATATATATATATATATATATATATATATATATATATATATATATATATATATATATATATATATAATAAACCTAAAATTGTTTATTCTAAATTAATTAACAATATTATTTCCTTTGTAGGTTGAAAATCTAAATTCAAGAAAATAGACTTAAAGAAGGCATGCAAACTCAATAAAGAAAGGGAGACTACTTGAAGAAATGAAGTTAATATTGAAAACACTACGCGGGGTTGTTTCCCCTTTATCATGACCTGCTCGTCGGATTTTTCCGTGTGGTCAGGTTCACACAAATAAACCGGAAGTACATTATTGTGTCACCGCAGGTGAGGACCTTGCAAGTGTCTAACGGGAAGATTAGACACCTGGACATGACCGGCTGTTTTCAAAACGATCAGTGAGGATTAAATATCAAAGATTAGCGTAGGGGGAGTTAATTCACAGTGTATATAATAATTTTTCAAAAGGCTAAAAGGATTTTTTTTCAGCCGATTAGCCGTATCGACATGTTCTTATACTTAGTGCCTATCCTTAAGTGTATATAACTAATAGATAATAAGTGTTTACGTGTACGTCTGTGCTATTGTATTCCTATTATTTTTCTCTGCAGAAAATGTCTGTTAGTAAAATACGTGACTAGTGAATGTTAAATCTGTTGTCAAAATAAATTGTCTCTTTACTTTTTGCGTATTTTATTGTTTAATATTATTTTATTTTAATTAAACGGCCTGTTAAAAACTGTAGTTAATTAACCAACCGTTTATTTGAATGTTAGCGATTCAGAACTTCCACCACCAACTATACGTTAGTTTCAATAGCTGAGATGTTCCTTGAACTAATATGAAACTATTGCGTACATTTTTTATTTCGAATTTTAAAAAAGTCTGAAACATTAAACAGTTCTGGCAAACGATGCGAAATTAATCTGGCATCATTGTATGAAGAGATAGTGTGGGCGGTGACTGATCCACGTATATTTTCTCCATCACAGTCAATGAGCCTTTGATGACTTGCCACAGTGGACAAAACTTTTGATTTGCCAGGCTTGTACTAGTTATCCTACACTGGCACATACCGTTCTTAGAAAATATTTGGATGAATTAATAATATAGAAAAATATCGAATGCTATCGATGGGGTATTTTTTTTTCAAATGAACAACTGGTGTTAAATAATGACGCAGACACAAACTCAACACTCATTAAAAAATTAACAAAACAATCATGTTTTAAAATATCCGTTTATTGGCTATGTACAAGCAATATTGGTACAAACATTGCATGACAATATGGCGTATTCACTTGTTGAAGCAGCGATTACAACTTCAATACATTAAAGCATTTTATCAATCTTAGACACATGAGACAATTTAGCAAACACATACTCATACACAAAAAGGCAATGTTTAAATAGTCAGGCTATTTATAAACTCATTCACACATAGATACTGTGATAAACACATAGTAAGGCACAAAAGGAAATTTATAAAAGTCATTTACACATAGAGAAACGCAACTGGAACTTTAAATAGGCAACACACACAAAGTTAGATATGGATCAAATTGCAACACCCCTTGAGACATTCGTAAGTCAATTAAAAAAATCAGAACTACTGAGACATCCTTTATATGTTAGATGTTCTGAGGGGAAACACAGAATAATTTTTTTAAATAAATTAACTATAAATTAACCAATGCTTAAAATAATAAGAATAATTATCATTAGATTTGTAGCCACGACATTAGATAACACAAATATTTATTTGAATTAAATCGCTTTAAATAAATTCAAAATTTCTTACATTTTTATAAGTAAAAATAATATTCATGATAAAGAAAAATTTCATAAGGGAATTTGATTTTTTATACGCGAAAAACTATAATTAAATGACACAACACTGGTGCGTGGAATACTACCAAACGCTTACACGCTTACATAATGGATTTTAACGAAAACATACCTTTATAAACATGACAAACGTAAGCTTGCAAGACAGTACAACACCAAATTTGATCAAACGTTACAATCATTAGCATACTAAACAATGGGAATAATATCACATTTATACATAAGGTTCTTCGGCTTAAACAACACCGAAGGAGAACAATAATATTTTTAGCATTCTAGGAACATTACATTGCCAAGCACTACAACCAATTAATAAATTAGCAAGCAATACAACTATTGACCGATTTTAGAATATATATATTACACCACAAAAGCTTAATACCAAAATATCCTCAGATTCTCACAAGCATAAAATGACTATTTCACGATTATAAAACCACAGTTTCAACAAATTAATTAATGCAACATAGTATTTGACTTTTAATTAAGCAACCCAAGCATAAGTCTAACATACATAAAATCAATCTAACTTGCATCAATCTTTCACCATCAAAAGTTACTTTGGCTTAATGAGACAGGGTGCCGTTTTTATCACAAGGTCGGCTTATTGCATTAGTTTATAGTGGCATATAATTATCATTTAAAAATTGCATATAAGTATTTACAATTAATGTTAAAAGCACATAAAGCATAAAATTGAGACAGGTTAGTTTGCTAGGTGTATACACACTGCAGTAAATGTACACATATATTTTTCATAATTGCAGGGTAAATTGCATTGAATTAATTATAATAAACATATATTGCTTAGAGACAGGATCATTATAATGGCCACGTGTACATATGATAGGTGTGGCCATGGACAGAGATAAACTCTACTTCACCTTCCATACAGACAGTTCGGTTTTAGTTATTCTACTTTACTATATACATATTCATTCAAAGACACCTATATTTTAGCTCTTGTTCCCAGACCAGTAGGGCTCAAGAGACCTGTGGTCACTCAGTGTCCAGCACTACACACAGGAGCAGTGGGATTCTGGACAGAAGCCACGGTTGCAGTTCTCCAGGCACCACGTTTCCATGCCAACGACCTTCTTCCAGTGCCCCACGCCCGAACAGCTGACGTAATGTCCCTCGTGAACTTCTTTGCTATCGGAAGTTGAACTGTACCCGAAACTTTCAGAATCCTGGGAATTAAAACTACTGGCTTCGTCGTGATCTGAAATTCTGGGGTTTTCAAGGTAGTCGTTGTATTCAAATAAATCTGTTTCGGAGTTTTCCGAATTTTTAGAACGATACTGATCTAACTTGTAGTTGCTGCTGTACACCCGCGGTCCTTTTGTGTTTCTAGACTTGTGAGAGCGTTTGTATATACTATGAGGCATATCGTTGAGCCAGTCGAAGTTATACCCAACACTGTCTTCAGCTTGAGGTACCTCCATGTCAAACTTACTCTCCGTTGGGACCTGGTAGTCAAAGCTGGCTATAAATATCTCCTTCGTTTCGCTGCCTTTCTCTTTCTGATTTTTAACCTCCGGTTCAGACTCGTTGTCTTTGTCGGAAATATCGTCGTCTTTGATTCCGTATTTCCTGTTCAACTCATCCGCATTGGAAGTGGGCGGATCGGATTTCGAAGTCGCCCGGAAGTCTTTAGCACCGTGCGGGTCTTGACTTTTATCCTGAGGCTGATCTTCAGTGCCGTATTTTCTGTCGTACTCGTGGCCTTTAGGTCTGGCGCTGGCTCTAAAATTATTCCCGTCTTGGTCGCCGTTTTTCTTTTTTTCATTCTCCTTCTCCTTAACTTTTCCATCGGAGCTTTCATCACGTCTAGAAGTAGAGCTAGAACTGCTCTTTTTAGCTGGAGATCTGAAACCTCGTGGACCTTTATTTGATTTTCCAATTTGCCGGCGGTCCGAATTTTTGAAAGAATTTACTCGGTTGGTTGAGATTTCCGGTTGGTTGGTGCTTGATTCGTCGTCATTGTCATTATCTCCAGAATCCGATTCAATATTTTCCGGGTTTTGTGGTTTCCTATTACTGAAGAGTCTGTAGTTTTCTTTCTTTAAGCTGAAGGGGTTATCACCCTTGGTGGAGATGGCGTCTGTTTTGTCATCATACTCGTAATTATCGCCGTCAACGTATTCTTTCTTTTTCTTATCGCTTATCTTTTTCTTTTCCTCAGCACTCGAATCCGTTACGTCGTTACAATTTTCATCGTCGTTAGACTGATCTTCATACTTTTTGTCTTTTTCAACATCGCCGAAAAAACCTTCTAGAATTTTCTTCCCACTTGAGGATTTAAAATTTTCGTCATCGTCTTTTTCATCATCATCTTCGTCTTTTCCTTTTTGGGATTTAACTCCAGCCTTTAAGAACTCATCGCTAAATTGTGTAGAAAAGAACTTGTTATCTCCCCCTAGCCCGAGGATATCTTTTCCTCCGTACTCATTATCTCCCTTCACGCTTGTAAACTTGACATCAAAATCCGTCTCACTCTTTTTATCCTTAGACCCATCGTCTTTTTTATCTTTCTCGTCGTCGCAGTCTTTTGAATCATCATCGTCCTCGTCGTTATCTTCACTGAACTCACTCAAAGACTCGTCTCCATGCGCCGAGTGTGACGCAGACCATTCATCATTTTTATCGTCGTCGTAATCATCGTTGTGGTTGTCTTCCTCAAGATTTTCCGCCTCCCCGGAACAACCTTCGCCGTGTGATGACGCGCTTGAAACGTCACCAGACTCCTTGACGCTGTCGTGTTTCTTGTCAGCGTAATCATCAGAAGACTTGATGCCACTTTCTCCAGAAAGATCCTTTTCATTATCTTTCTCATCTTCGTCATCATCATCGTCATGACTTCCGTCGTCGCTCAACTCGGAGTGATCGCTTGACCTTGGTTTACGTTGAAGCAACAGTGGACTATTTTTATCGACGCCATCTTGATTCCAACCGAAAATTCTGGCGTATTTAAACGCTCCCAAGCTCTTAGCTCCAACAGCGGATTCCAATTCGTCTTCGGTTTCCGCGTTCTTTTTCCGGGGGTCGGAATTTTTTCCTGTTTCCGACTTTAACGCTTTTAGATCTGGTGACGCCTTCTCCTCGTCGAAATCAAAACCGAAAATTCCTCTTCCGTCGTGTTTGTCTGGCTTGGATTCGAACCCGTCTTTTGATTTAGAATTTCCTTTCTCGAGCCCACTCCCCTTTTTATCATCATTATCACCGGACTTGTTTCCTATATTTTTATCCTCTTTCTTATCGTCGTCTTTTTTATTTTTCGTGTTGCCTTTCTTTCCGTTCTTACTTTTAGATTTATCCTTTACTCCATCATCATTGTCTTCCTTATAATCATATCGATAATCTTTCCCATCGATTTTCTTATTAAACTCTTTATCGAAAAGGAAATCCTCGTCGTCGTAGTTAGATAAACTTGAATCCTTTCCATTATCATCGCTTTCATCGATGTATTCGCTGTCTTTTATGTCATTGACCCCGTGACGTCCGTCACGAGAACTTGAACTTTGACCTCCTTTTTTACCGTAGCCCTCGTAATAATCGTCTGAAAAATGACCTTTCAACTCGCCGTCGCCCTTTGAACCGTAGCCCTCGTCGTCGTAGTAATCGTCTTTAGAGCTTCCTCCTTTATAATCATCACTTCCGGTTTTGCTTTTAAACCCGTGACTTCCGTGTTTGTAATCATCATCGGTTTCGTTTTCATCATCATCGTCTTGATTGTCATTATCGCCTTTAGCGTCTTTATGAATATCACTGTAACTTTTGCTTCCTTTATCGTCACAATCATCATCCGATCCTTCCTCGTGAGAGAGGTAGCCTTTCTCGTCGCTGTAGCCTTGGCTACCGTCGCTACTATCTGAACTGAGCCCTTTGTGATCGCTATCGTAGTCGTCGCCCTTTGAGCTGTATTCGATGTCTGAGCTGCTGTAGCCTTGAGAGTCATAGCCCTTTGCATCGCTTTTGGAATCGGAGCTTTTCTCTTCGTCGTCGTCTTCATCATCTTCACCTTTAGAGTAATAGCCCTTTTCATCGCTGTAGCCCTTTTCATCACTGTAGCCCTTTTCATCGCTATATCCTTTTTCGTCACTGTCGCCCTTTTCATCGCTATAGTCTTTCACATCACTATATCCTTTTTCGTCACTATATCCTTTTTCTTCACTGTAGCCCTTTTCGTCACTGTAGCCCTTTTCATCACTGTAGCCCTTTTCGTCGCTATAGTCTTTCACATCACTATATCCTTTTTCGTCACTATATCCTTTTTCTTCACTGTAGCCCTTTTCATCACTGTAGCCCTTTTCATCACTGTCGCCCTTTTCATCACTGTAGCCCTTTTCATCACTGTAGCCCTTTTCATCACTGTAGCCTTTGCTACCATCGTGACCTTCTGAGCTGGAGCTATCATCAGAGCTGTCATACATCGCTGAGCTGTCACTCATGCTATCTGATGAGCCCTCGTTAGCCCCTTCGTGATCTTCGCAGTCCTCTCCCCCGTCCTCCCCTTTAGAATTGTAGCCCTTTGAGCTGTATTCCATGTCGGAACTGCTGTCCCCTTTTGAATCATAGCCCTTGTCTTCATCGCTGCTGTAATCGTCGCCTTTTAGATCGTAGCCCTTTTCGTCGCTATATCCTTTTTCATCACTGTAGCCCTTTTCATCACTGTAGCCCTTTTCTTCACCATATCCTTTTTCATCACTATAGCCCTTTTCTTCACTATATCCTTTTTCATCACTGTAGCCCTTTTCGGCACTATATCCTTTTTCATCACTGTAGCCCTTTTCTTCACTATATCCTTTTTCATCACTGTAGCCCTTTTCGTCGCTATATCCTTTTTCATCACTGTAGCCCTTTTCATCACTGTAGCCCTTTTCGTCGCTATATCCTTTTTCATCACTGTAGCCCTTTTCTTCACTGTAGCCCTTTTCATCACTGTAGCCCTTTTCATCACCGTAGCCCTTTTCTTCACTATATCCACTGCTTCCCTTGTGATTTCCATCAGACTCATAATCGAGTTCCCCGCTTTCGCCCTTGGAATCACTCTTCCCTTCATCCTCATCACAGCCCTCGTCGCTCTCGCTAGAGTGCTCGCCCTTGCCATCGTCATGCTGGTCTGAGCTCATGCTGTCGTGGTGCCCCTCGCTGTAGTCCGAGTCTAAATCTTCTCCTTTCGAGTCGGAGAAATAAAAATCGTCGTCAGAATTCGAGGAAGAGTCGCTTCCCTTTGAGCTTGATGAAAAGTCGTCTCCCTTGGAATTAGAGGAAAAGTAATCGCCCTTAGAGCTTGATGAAAAATCGTCGTCGCTTCCGTAGTCATCGCCCTTATCTTTGCTGTAACTACTTGGCTTGCTGTCGTCGAAATAATATTCTTCGGATTTTCCCGCACTTTTATAATCACCGTAACCTTTAACCTCTTTGCTGTCCCAGTGACCTTTGCTCCCTTTAAAGCCATCATAGCCTTTGTCATCGCTATAGTCAATAAAATCACTGTCTGCTTTATCTTTGTTGGCTTTGTATTGCTTATCGATTCCATTATTCGCGTCCTTGTCGTAACAATCTGCGTCATAGTAGTAATCCTCTTTTGAAAAATAACCGTATTCTTTATTGTCATTTAAGAATCCATCTCCGTGTTTCCTGTCTTGATTTACATTGTCACCGTAATAATCCGCTGTTTTTAGTTTCGTTTTATCCTCAAATCTATTAATATCTTCGACTGGGTAATAGGAATAAAAATCTTTAGTTTTATCTTTATTTGGGCTTTGTGCATATTGACTTTTCTTGTTGGAGTTGGGTAATGAAGATTTGAGCTGCAGTTTCTCAAAATACTTTTTTGGCCTTCTGGTGTTATCGAAAAGGGATGATTTTTCTGGTGCGGAGTTTGCGTTTTTGGTGAGAATTTGTGTGCTTTGTGATCGCTGTTGGACGGAGCGACGCTTCCTATCATGGCCGCTGCTGCTACCGCTATGGCCGTTAATAGTCTGATGGCTTTCCTCGTGAAGATCTTCATGGTCGTGTTCTTCGTGGCCATGTTCTTCGTGGCCATGTTCTTCGTGGCCATGTTCTTCGTGACTATCTTCGTGGTCGTGTTCTTCGTGGCCATGTTCTTCGTGACTTTCCTCGTGGCCATGTTCTTCGTGGCTTTCTTCGTGGCCATGTTCTTCGTGACTGTCTTCATGGTCATGTTCTTCATGGCCATGTTCTTCTTCCCCATGTTCTTCATGACCATGTTCTTCGTGACTGTCTTTGTGGTCATGTTCTTCATGGCCATGCTCTTCGTGGCTTTCCTCGTGGCCATGTTCTTCGTGGCTTTCTTCGTGGCCATGTTCTTCTTCCCCATGTTCTTCGTGGCCGTGTTCTTCGTGACTGTCTTCATGGTCATGTTCTTCATGGCCATGTTCTTCTTCCCCATGTTCTTCGTGACCATGTTCTTCGTGACTGTCTTCGTGGTCATGTTCTTCATGGCCATGCTCTTCGTGGCTTTCCTCGTGTCCATGTTCTTCGTGGCCGTGTTCTTCGTGACTGTCTTCATGGTCATGTTCTTCATGGCCATGTTCTTCTTCCCCATGTTCTTCGTGACCATGTTCTTCGTGACTGTCTTCATGGTCGTGTTCATCATGGCCATGTTCTTCGTGACTTTCTTCATGGCCATGTTCTTCATGGCCATGTTCTTCGTGACTGTCTTCATGGCCATGTTCTTCATGGCCATGTTCTTCGTCCCCATGTTCTTCATGGCCATGTTCTTCGTGACTGTCTTCATGGTCATGTTCTTCATGGCCATGTTCTTCGTGGCCATGTTCTTCGTGGCCATGTTCTTCGTCGTGGCCATGTTCTTCGTGACTATCTTCATGGTCGTGTTCATCATGGCCATGTTCGTCGTGGCCATGTTCTTCGTGGCTTTCCTCGTGTCCATGTTCTTCATGGCCATGTTCTTCGTGACTGTCTTCATGGTCATGTTCTTCATGGCCATGTTCTTCGTCCCCATGTTCTTCGTGGCCATGTTCTTCATGGTCATGTTCATCATGGCCATGCTCATCATGGCCATGTTCTTCGTGACTTTCTTCGTGGCCATGTTCTTCGTGGCCGTGATCTTCGTGGCCATGTTCTTCGTGGCTTTCCTCGTGGTCATGTTCTTCGTGGCTTTCTTCGTGGCCATGTTCATCGTGACTATCTTCATGGCCATGTTCTTCGTGGCCATGTTCTTCGTGACTATCCTCATGGCCATGTTCTTCGTGGCCATGTTCTTCGTGACTATCTTCATGGTCGTGTTCATCATGGCCATGTTCGTCGTGGCCATGTTCTTCGTGGCTTTCCTCGTGTCCATGTTCGTCATGGCCATGTTCTTCGTGACTGTCTTCATGGTCATGTTCTTCATGGCCATGTTCTTCGTCCCCATGTTCTTCGTGGCCATGTTCTTCATGGTCATGTTCATCATGGCCATGCTCATCATGGCCATGTTCTTCGTGACTTTCTTCGTGGCCATGTTCTTCGTGGCCGTGATCTTCGTGGCCATGTTCTTCGTGGCTTTCCTCGTGGTCATGTTCTTCGTGGCTTTCTTCGTGGCCATGTTCATCGTGACTATCCTCATGGCCATGTTCTTCGTGGCCATGTTCTTCGTGACTACCTTCATGGCCATGTTCTTCGTGGCCATGTTCTTCGTGACTATCCTGATGGCCATGTTCTTCGTGGCTTTCTTCGTGGCCATGTTCTTCGTCGCCATGTTCATCGTGGCTTTCCTCGTGCCCATGTTCTTCATGGCCATGTTCTTCATGACCACTATGTTCATCATGTCCACTACTTTCTTCCTCGTGACCACTATGCTCATCATGTCCACTACTTTCTTCCTCGTGACCACTATGTTCGTCATGTCCACTACTTTCTTCCTCGTGACCACTATGCTCATCATGTCCACTACTTTCTTCCTCGTGACCACTATGTTCGTCATGTCCACTACTTTCTTCCTCGTGACCACTATGTTCGTCATGTCCACTACTTTCTTCCTCGTGACCACTATGTTCATCATGTCCACTACTTTCTTCCTCGTGACCACTATGTTCGTCATGTCCACTACTTTCTTCCTCGTGACCACTATGTTCGTCATGTCCACTACTTTCTTCCTCGTGACCACTATGTTCGTCATGTCCACTACTTTCTTCCTCGTGACCACTATGTTCGTCATGTCCACTACTTTCTTCCTCGTGACCACTATGTTCGTCATGTCCACTACTTTCTTCCTCGTGACCACTATGTTCATCATGTCCACTACTTTCTTCCTCGTGACCACTATGTTCGTCATGTCCACTACTTTCTTCCTCGTGACCACTATGTTCGTCATGTCCACTACTTTCTTCCTCGTGACCACTATGTTCGTCATGTCCACTACTTTCTTCCTCGTGACCACTATGTTCATCATGTCCACTACTTTCTTCCTCGTGACCACTATGTTCGTCATGTCCACTACTTTCTTCCTCGTGACCACTATGTTCGTCATGTCCACTACTTTCTTCCTCGTGACCACTATGTTCATCATGTCCACTACTTTCTTCCTCGTGACCACTATGTTCGTCATGTCCACTACTTTCTTCCTCGTGACCACTATGTTCGTCATGTCCACTACTTTCTTCCTCGTGACCACTATGTTCGTCATGTCCACTACTTTCTTCCTCGTGACCACTATGTTCGTCATGTCCACTACTTTCTTCCTCGTGACCACTATGTTCGTCATGTCCACTACTCTCTTCCTCGTGACCACTATGCTCATCATGTCCACTACTTTCTTCCTCGTGACCACTATGTTCGTCATGTCCACTACTTTCTTCCTCGTGACCACTATGTTCGTCATGTCCACTACTTTCTTCCTCGTGACCACTATGTTCGTCATGTCCACTACTTTCTTCCTCGTGACCACTATGTTCATCATGTCCACTACTTTCTTCCTCGTGACCACTATGTTCGTCATGTCCACTACTTTCTTCCTCGTGACCACTATGTTCGTCATGTCCACTACTTTCTTCCTCGTGACCACTATGTTCATCATGTCCACTATGACTTTCTTCCTCGTGACCACTATGTTCATCATGTCCACTACTTTCTTCCTCGTGACCACTGCTTTCCTCATGACTGTCCCCATGACCACTATGTTCATCATGTCCACTATGTTCATCATGTCCACTACTTTCTTCCTCGTGACCACTATGTTCGTCATGTCCACTACTTTCTTCCTCGTGACCACTATGTTCGTCATGTCCACTACTTTCTTCCTCGTGACCACTATGTTCATCATGTCCACTACTTTCTTCCTCGTGACCACTACTTTCCTCATGACTGTCCTCGTGACCACTATGTTCGTCATGTCCACTACTTTCTTCCTCGTGACCACTATGTTCGTCATGTCCACTACTTTCTTCCTCGTGACCACTATGCTCATCATGTCCACTACTTTCTTCCTCGTGACCACTATGTTCATCATGTCCACTACTTTCTTCCTCGTGACCACTGCTTTCCTCATGACTGTCCCCATGACCACTATGTTCATCATGTCCACTACTTTCTTCCTCGTGACCACTATGTTCATCATGTCCACTACTTTCTTCCTCGTGACCACTATGCTCATCATGTCCACTACTTTCTTCCTCGTGACCACTATGTTCATCATGTCCACTACTTTCTTCCTCGTGACCACTATGCTCATCATGTCCACTACTTTCTTCCTCGTGACCACTATGTTCATCATGTCCACTACTTTCTTCCTCGTGACCACTATGTTCATCATGTCCACTACTTTCTTCCTCGTGACCACTATGTTCATCATGTCCACTACTTTCTTCCTCGTGACCACTATGTTCATCATGTCCACTACTTTCTTCCTCGTGACCACTATGTTCATCATGTCCACTACTTTCTTCCTCGTGACCACTATGTTCATCATGTCCACTACTTTCTTCCTCGTGACCACTATGCTCATCATGTCCACTACTTTCTTCCTCGTGACCACTATGTTCATCATGTCCACTATGTTCATCATGTCCACTACTTTCTTCCTCGTGACCACTATGCTCATCATGTCCACTACTTTCTTCCTCGTGACCACTATGTTCATCATGTCCACTACTTTCTTCCTCGTGACCACTATGCTCATCATGTCCACTACTTTCTTCCTCGTGACCACTGCTTTCCTCATGACTGTCCTCGTGACCACTATGTTCATCATGTCCACTACTTTCTTCCTCGTGACCACTGCTTTCCTCATGACTGTCCTCGTGACCACTATGTTCGTCATGTCCACTACTTTCTTCCTCGTGACCACTATGTTCATCATGTCCACTACTTTCTTCCTCGTGACCACTATGTTCATCATGTCCACTACTTTCTTCCTCGTGACCACTATGCTCATCATGTCCACTACTTTCTTCCTCGTGACCACTATGTTCATCATGTCCACTACTTTCTTCCTCGTGACCACTATGTTCATCATGTCCACTACTTTCTTCCTCGTGACCACTATGCTCATCATGTCCACTACTTTCTTCCTCGTGACCACTGCTTTCCTCATGACTGTCCTCGTGACCACTATGTTCATCATGTCCACTACTTTCTTCCTCGTGACCACTATGCTCATCATGTCCACTACTTTCTTCCTCGTGACCACTATGTTCATCATGTCCACTACTTTCTTCCTCGTGACCACTATGTTCATCATGTCCACTACTTTCTTCCTCGTGACCACTATGTGCATCATGTCCACTACTTTCTTCCTCGTGACCACTATGTTCATCATGTCCACTACTTTCTTCCTCGTGACCACTATGTTCGTCATGTCCACTACTTTCTTCCTCGTGACCACTATGTTCATCATGTCCACTACTTTCTTCCTCATGACCACTATGTTCATCATGTCCACTATGACTTTCTTCCTCGTGACCACTATGTTCATCATGTCCACTACTTTCTTCCTCGTGACCACTATGCTCATCATGTCCACTATGACTTTCTTCCTCGTGACCACTATGTTCATCATGTCCACTACTTTCTTCCTCGTGACCACTATGATCATCATGTCCACTACTTTTTTCCTCGTGACCACTGCTTTCCTCATGACTGTCCCCATGACCACTATGTTCATCATGTCCACTACTTTCTTCCTCGTCACCACTATGTTCGTCATGTTCACTACTTTCTTCCTCCTGACCACTATGCTCATCATGTCCACTACTTTCTTCCTCGTGACCACTACTTTTCTCATGACTGTCCTCGTGACCACTATGCTCGTCATGTCCACTACTTTCTTCCTCGTGACCACTATGCTCATCATGTCCACTACTTTCTTCCTCGTGACCACTATGTTCGTCATGTCCACTACTTTCTTCCTCGTGACCACTGCTTTCCTCATGACTGTCCTCGTGACCACTATGTTCATCATGTCCACTACTTTCTTCCTCGTGACCACTATGTTCATCATGTCCACTACTTTCTTCCTCGTGACCACTGCTTTCCTCATGACTGTCCTCGTGACCACTATGTTCATCATGTCCACTACTTTCTTCCTCGTCACCACTATGTTCGTCATGTTCACTACTTTCTTCCTCCTGACCACTATGCTCATCATGTCCACTACTTTCTTCCTCGTGACCACTGCTTTCCTCATGACTGTCCTCGTGACCACTATGCTCGTCATGTCCACTACTTTCTTCCTCGTGACCACTATGTTCATCATGTCCACTACTTTCTTCCTCGTGACCACTGCTTTCCTCATGACTGTCCTCGTGACCACTATGTTCATCATGTCCACTACTTTCTTCCTCGTGACCACTGCTTTCCTCATGACTGTCCTCGTGACCACTATGTTCGTCGTGTTCTGATTCGCTCTCATGGCTGCTTTCCTTACTATCGCTTGAGTGGCCTTCGTCTTCATGCCCACTATGTCCCTTGTGACTACTGTGGCTACTAAAACAGTCACCGCTATGCCCGCTATGAGAGTCTTCCTCATGTTCTCCGTGGTCGCCTTCACTATGAATTCCATGACTTTCCTCGTCGTCATCTTCTTTAAAATCTTCATGGTCGCTTGTGTGACATTTTGTGTGGTCATCGTGGCTTTCATCTTCAGAGTGATCATCGTGGTCTTGGTGTGACCCATGCTCTTCGTGACTCTCATCCTCGTGGCCATGATCTTCGTGAGAATCGTGGTCATTTTCCCCAGAATGATCTTCGTGTCCACTGTGAGATTCATGTTCTCCAGAATGATCTTCGTGAGATGATTCTTCAGAATGATCTTCGTGAGAATCGTGACCATATTCCCCAGAATGATCATCATGCCCACTGTGAGAATCGTATTTTCCATAACTTTCATCTCCGTGGCTGCTGAGGTCTTCCTTGTGGCCAGAATGCTTTTCTTCGCTGGAGTACTTTAGATCTTCACTGTGGCTTTTGTGGCACTCTTTCTTGATGCTGCTATGTTCATTGTCGGAGTCTTCATCGTGATCTTCATCGTGTTCGAGGTCTTCGTGATCTTCGTGGCTTTCACCATCATGTTCAGAATGATCTTCATCGTGTGATTCATGTTTGTGTTCTTTGTGGCTGCTTTCATCCTCGTGATCTTCGTGTGATTCATCATCATGTTCAGAATGATCTTCATGTGATTCACCATCATGTTCAGAATGATCTTCATGTGATTCACCTTCATGTTCAGAATGATCTTCATGTGATTCATCATCATGTTCAGAATGATCTTCGTGTGATTCATCATCATGTTCAGAATGATCTTCGTGTGATTCATCATCATCATGTTTAGAATGACCGTGTGATTCATGTTCATGTTCTTTATCGCTCTCATCATCGTGTTCAGAATGACCCTCATGTTCTTCCTCGTGTTCAAACTCCTCGTGATTCTCCTTACTCTGACTCTCTTCCACCTCCTTCTCTTTTTCCTTCTCTTTTTCTAACTGGCTCTTAACCTCGTGTTCAAACAACCCTTTCTCGAATTCTGCCTCCTTCTCCTTCTCAAGCTTGCGGCTTTTTTCTTTTAGCACTGGATGTTTCGCTACAACGCCGCTGATTTCAGGAGCATCGTACTGGCCTTTGAAATGGTTGTTCTTCAGAAAAACATGTTCATGTTTTCCTTGTCTGCCCCTGCCATTTAGGCTGGTTTTCAGTTTTTCGTCGACGGTTTCGCCATCAACCCCGGAGAGGTTTTGTTTCTTTAGTTTTTTGAAACTCGGGCGCCGCTGGTTGTTTTTGAAAAGAATTTTAAATTTTCGTTCTTTTGATTGCGTTTCTGTTGGCTCCTCTACTTGGAGATTCGCTGAAGTTTGTGAGTCGTTCTTTTCATTTGTTGTATTGTCATTGCTAAAAGTTTCTTTCGTTGTAAGGTCAAGGATGTTGGGATTCTGAGTTCTGGTTTTATCTTCTTGAGATTTTAGAATCGATTTCGCTTTTAGGACATCAGCTGTGGCTATAATTCCTGGAGAAGAATTTTCTTGAGCTTGGTTTTTTTCTTGTTTATTGTTTGTAGTGCTGGAATGCACCCTGCTGATATCTTGTGAAAACAGTGCCGTGTTGTCGTTAACTTCAGGGTAAAAGAGTTCTGTTTTGGCGATTCTGTATGGCTGGCTTGGCGCAAAAAGTGAGATATGAAGATCTTTTTTAGACAACCTCGCATGGTCTGCGGCGGAAAATGTATTGCTTGTCTCATCCTTCTTTGTCTCTGTATTGTTTTCTAAATCTGTAGACACCATTTTATCTGTAAGCGTTCTTAGAGCTATCAAGTCTTTGAAAATAAGTTCTGGTCGGGGTAACTCTTGCTGGAACACTGGTTGCTTAGGAGTTGCGTTTCTTTTTGGTCTTGTTTTTGTTGAAGTTGAATTGTTAGATTTCTTGGAAGACAAGCGGGGTTTAGTATTGAACACAGCAGTTGTGTTTGTTGCGTTTTTATTGTAGTCATCAAGTGCTGATTTGTTTATTGCATTCATAGTGTGATTACTGTCTTCTGTGTTGTTCTGAAGAGGGAACAGCGTGTCGTTCAAGCTCAGGTTAGCGAAAAAAGTAATGTTCTCTGTGTGTTCTGTCATGTCGGATACACTGGCTGAGATAATATCCAGAGCTTTGTTGACATCCACAGTCACATTGCGAGACGTCTCTGAGAAAAACGTCACCGTTCTCGTGTGGTTCTCGTGACCTCGTGTACCTTGAACTCTTGAATCAGCTTGACGTTTTTGGATACCGGAATTTTTCTGGTCGCTGTCTCTGAGCCTCAAGACATTCCACAAAAGCCCCTTGGAAAGTTTGGCTCCGATTCTGTCCCACCACGATCCTGACCCGCTTTCTTGCAAGCTTGCGTTTTCATTTCCTTTAGCCGCAAGCCAGCTTTTATCATTCGTTCGGTTTGTGTTGTCTACGTTTGTTTTGAAAAAAGAAGATTTGAATTCAGAAAACCATTTTACAAGTCTTGAAGTGGGGGTCTTGTCGATGAGATTTTCCTGGGTTTTCGGTTTATCTTTGACCATAGCGTACCCTGGCCCGTCAGTGATATCAATTTCAACCTCCCTGCCCATGTTGTTGTGTAGAAATATCGGAATGTGTTTCAAAAACCACCACATTGGCTCTTCAGTGGTCGTTTGCTGTGTGGTCGTGTCTAAAATGGTGGTAGCATTGACGGACACGGTGGTGTTAATCGCAGTGGTTTCGTTCCTGATTTGCTTGCTCTTCTTCGGCTTGGTGGTGGCGGTGGTGGAGTTTTTTTTCCCCGCGAGTGGTTTTTTTGTGGTAGGGCGCGGCGTTGTATTTGGGCGCCGGGTGGTTTTTGGTGGTTTGGGTTTGGAGTCTCCTCTAGGCTCGACGACGATGTCGGCGCAAGCAAAGAACTGTTCCTGCTCACCGCAGCCTATACATGATGTCCCGTCCTCGTCCGTGCCCCAACTGTTGGCTGGGTGAACAACAAAATATACAATTTTAAATACTGGATTGATATAAAAATAAAGTAAAGTTCCCTTTTCAAACCTGGCGGTCTATGGGGCAAGTGAAGTAGAGTTCACTTGTTTCTGTGACCTCGGCATATGAAGAGATAGTGTGGTCAGCACTATGCCCAGCCGCCTTTACTTTCCCTAACGTGAGTAAGGTACCCATCAGAGTTGGGTGGACTCAGGGACGGTCTACTGACTTGAACCCAGATTCGAACTCGATACTTAATAATAAGACTAATATAAGGTATTTAAAAAATCGAAAATAATACACAAAAACCGTGAACATAAAAGAAAATGTTTAACGCCACAATGCCACAAATATTGAATTATATTAAATAAGGGATTTTAAATAATGTGGTCGAATGGTAGAGCGGTCGGACTTGTGACTATAAAACGTCCCTATGACTGCCTGATTTACGTAAAGGCGGTTGCGCATATGATGGATGTAAGAAGAAAAATAGAAAATAATACGGAAAAACCTTAAACGAAAATGAAAAGTAAAGAAATTGTTCAACCACAAATATTGAGTGGTATTAAACAAGAGGTTTTAAACGGCGTGGTCGAATTGCAGACCGTTCGGACTTGTGGTGACAGGATGTCCCTGAGTCCACTTAGCTTTGATGGGTACCTGACATACGTTGGGGAAATAAAGGTGCTGGGTATAGTGCTGACCACACTTTCTCTTCAATAGCCGAGGTCAATAAATATATGAACTCTACTTCATTTACTCAGTGGATACCTAGCTCTAAAGACGAAACATTACTTCTAAATAAAGGGTGTTAAATTGCCGTTTTAACCATTTAGTACAAACTAGTATAACGTGTTAAAATGTCACCACTAATCGTATACTTAAACTCAAAATCCAAGACTAATCTTAATTTCTAGCCCTAACACTAATCCTGATCAATATTACTAAACTCTACACTCGTATTTTCGGAAAAGCTCCACTGATGAATAGTTTTGCGTAGAATGTAGAATCATTTGAAATATTGCAATACATCTTTTCTCAGCAATGCACGTTAACAATTCATCTGCGTAGGCTACTTCCTATTAATATTTTATGTTTTATGTTGAGTTTTACATTAATTAAAATATTATTGTTTTATTATATTTTTACTAATTGGTGATCTCTTTGAATACATAGCTCCTTAACTATTATACAATGGAATGTGATTGATTAAAAAATAGCGTTCAAAAGTAAAGATTTCAATCATTTGAAAATATAAAAGTGTACCTCATGCTAGTATTGAATCAAAACCAGACAAAATTAACTTTAAAAAAAAAGTTTTGTTTTATTGTTGTCACTCACCAACATTCCATTTCCACTGGAACAAACATTTCTTGCAGGAGATGCCTTTAGGTAGACGAACATCGACCTCAAACTCGCCTGAAGCGTAGGGTTCGGGTAAATAGTATCTGTTGGAGGTATGGTTACATGTAAATATAGAGCTAATGTAAATAGTATCTGTTGGTGGTATGGTTACATGTAAATATAGAGCTAATGTATATAGTACCTGTTGGTGGTATGGTTACATGTAAATATAGAGCTAATGTATATAGTACCTGTTGGTGGTATGGTTACATTAAATTTAGGGTTAATAGTCGGGCTTAGTGTAAGAGTTTCTTCCAGGCATCTCTTCGGGGGGGGGGCGCTTGCCCCCCCCCCCCGAAATTTTTTTACCGCCCCCCCCCCCCCCCCCCGAACGAAATGAAATTTATATAATTTATATAGAAAATATATACTTTTAACAGTGTCCGCCCCCCCCCTGCCGAAGAAAGTCTACCGCCCCCCCCCCCCCAGTAAATTCCAAGTGCCCCCCCCCCCCCCTCCCCATAGAAAAAAGTCTGGAAGAAACACTGCTTAGTGTTGCATGTAAATTTAGGGTTAAATGTAAAAGCAGCTAATCGTTCATGTTGCAGGGTATTGTTACTAGTAAATATAGGGCTCGTGTAAATAGTAGGCCTTATCTTTTGGAGATTTAGAAAATTGTAATTGTTGAAATAATATGGACTGACCTGATCTCCCCATAAAACATGGACTGATCTGGTCTCCTCGTTAATCAGTAAACATGAACTTACCTAATCTCCCCATAAAACAACAAAAATGGACTGACCAGAACTCCCAATAAAACAACAAACATGGACCAACCTAATCTCTCCAAAAAAACAACAAACGTAGACTAACCTAATCTCCTCATAAAACAACAAATAAGAACTGACCTAATTTCATAAAACAACAAACATCGACTGACGTAAGCTCCCCCCCCCCCCCCCCCAAAAAAAGCAAAAATGGACTGACCTAATCTCCCCATAAAACAACAAACATGGACTGACCTAATCTCATTAAATATCAAACATGGACTAGCCTAGTTTCCCCATAAAACAACAAATATGGACTGACCTGATCTCCCCATGAAAGAACAAACATGGACTAACCTAATCTCCCCATAAAACAACAAACATGGACTGACCTAATCTCCCCATAAAATAACAAACATGGACTAACCTAATCTCCCCATAAAACAACAAACATGGACTGACCTTATCTCCCCATAAAATAACAAACATGGACTAACCCAATCTCCCCATAAAATAACAAACATGGACTAACCTAATCTCCCCATAAAACAACAAACGTGGACTGATCTGATCTCCCCGTAAAATCACAAATATAGACTGATCTGGTCTTCCCGTTAAACATTCATGGACTGATCTAATCTCCTATAAAAACATGGACTAACCTGATCTCCCCATAAAACAACAAACAAGGACTGACCTACTCTCCCCATACAACAACAAACATGGACTGACCTACTCTCCCCATACAACAACAAACAAGGACTGACCTACTCTCCCCATACAACAACAAACAAGGACTGACCTACTCTCCCCATACAACACTAAACATGGACTCACCTAGTCTCGCCATCTTCCAGCTCCAGCACGTGTTTATCCAAACACTCCTGCGTGACCTCAACCATGTCTCCGTCTGAGTCGTATTCGATGTCGCCACTCTCCGGGTCGTCGTAGGCACAGAGCCGGAACTCGATCCAACCCCTGGAGGAAACAGACCAAAATATTTCCAGTGAAGTTTGGTATGGACGATCGAATACACAAAAATTAGCCCTTCATTATTCATCCTTTGGCGGACTGTGTTTAATCGTATTAAACCTATTTAACCTCATGTCTTTTATTAGTGGAATCCCTTATCCCCCTGTCACTATGATTGGCTTGTTCTGTTTTTGGTATTTCTTTGGTTGTTCCCCATTGCCCCTGGTACTCTTATTTACTTACTCGAATTACAGACTTAGCCAATTATTATTTAGGATTTAAGCCCACTTTTTTATATGTTTATACAGAAATAAAATGAAATTGTAACCAATGTATTTAGTTGCGGGGTCTTTATTTCGAACATCATTTTTTTTAAATAGCAAAATTAAAGGAGAGAAAAAATATACCAACCACTCTTAACTAAACTACTGCGTTAAATTTTAAATGCACTTTTTTTCGGATGCTTTGAGATGTTTGTGTTTTTATTGTATTTAAATTATTTAAATTATTTAAATTATTTAAATTAAAAGACGTGGATAATCGTCACTAACTACACACCTGTGATTAGCTGTAATGCCAAACTTGACCGTGATTAGCTCCCCTGACTTGTAATATTTACTCGGCGTGCCGTCGTAGTACTGTCCCCCTCGCTCGTGGGCTCGGGGTATCGGTCTGTAGGGGTCGCCACACACGCCACACCGACCCCCAAACCTGTTCCATAAAGCCTGAAAATGTTGGATGGGCATAAAATATTTACAGAAGAAAAAAAAACAGAAAAAAAATATAGACAGTTCAATTATAATTATATCATATTTTTAAAGGAAATATAATACAGCAATGACCAAAATAAAATTTATAAACATTGAGTTACGAGACATCTTTTTTTTTTAAATTCAGGAATTAACTACAATTAAAGTCTGCTATAAAAGGAAATACGTAGGCAGAGGCGTAGCGACCCTTCCCGGCGCCCGGGGACATACTTCCAATTTGGCGCCCCCTCGAGAGCAAATTTTCGATTTGCACCCCCCCCCCCTCGAACTTTTCATTTGCACCCCCCCCCCTCAAACTTTCGATTTGCACCCACCCCCCCCTCGAACTTTTCATTTGCACCCCCCCCCCCTCAAACTTTCAATTTGGCGCCCCCCCTAAGGTCGGCGCCCGGGGACATATGTACCCCCGCCCCCCCCCCCCTCGCTACGCTACTGTACGTAGGTGTTTTTATAATACTAAGTGAATAAGACGTTTCTTGTTGAATCTTTGTATAATTAAATAAGACAAAAGAATATTTTATGGTAATTATTTTATTACAAGCCTTTGTTTAGTTGGTTTGGCTTCTAAAACAAGAGAACTCACTAATCCCCATAATGAACACCGTCATTAAAGAGCTAAACGCAGTCTTAAGCTAGCTTGCTATCATGATGTGAAATCAGATAGGACAGATGAAGTAGAGTTAATCTGTTTCTCTTACCTCAGCATTAATATGAAGAGATGGTGTGTTCATCACTATGCCCTGCCTTCAATAATTTATTATGTATTCGACACTGTATTGAACGCCAAAAAAAAAGCGTGTTTTGTTTTGTTTTTTTAATTCAGGTACCGCTATCCGGAAAAATAACCCTAGTCATAATTCTAAACAAACGAAATTGAAATTGGTATTGTTTTACTGCCTTTCTTTTTTTTTTAAAAAAGCATCTATTCTGAAGAAGATCGAATGTTTAAACGGTGTTTCTTTGGAACATGCTGGTTAGCCATGCCCAAATAGTCGTATTTAACAGCTTCTATAAACTTAACACCGGCTATACGAATGTGCTTAAGGTTTGTCTTTTTTTTTATAACTTTTGTCTTTTAAATAAAATACCTAGCCACGATAATGCAGAGGCGTAGCGAGGGAGGGTGGAGGGGCAGGGGACATGGGGAGGCGCCAAAATTGGTTGGAAAAACAAATTGAAAGTTTGAGGGGGGTGTAAATCAAAAGTTCGAGGGGGGTGCAAATCTAAAGTTTGAGAGGGGGGTGCAAATCGAAAGTTTGTCCTCGGGTGCCTGGAAGGGTCGCTACGCCTCTGCGATAATGGAATCTTTTTGAAAAAGAAATGTTAGGTTAATGATCGTAAACTGCAAACTGACAAACCTTGCTTATGTCAAAAATAAACACAAACCTTCGCTCAAGTCCTGCTATAATATTACATTTAATTTCTGGCCCTATCATTAAAGTTTAAACCTGATATTACAACCTGGGTATCTAACTCACGCTAGGAGAAAAAAACAAAGACCGCTGGGTAAAAAGCTGATCCCCACCATCCCTTCGAATGACGGGGTCACTAAAACAGATGAACTCTACTTCATCTGCCTCTTGGGCACGAACGGAAAAAGACGATGCTGATAATATAAAATGTGCAATTATAACAAACTAACTTAGATACTCACTTCTTTTCCGCCACAATATCCTTGATGATCGTCGTAGTCTGCCGGGGAATCGAACCCGAGCCTCCACATCGTAGCTCTGGAAGGTGGGTCTAGCAGACGGCCATGCCCTGAACAAAGGGGCACAACTGTTACTGCCAGCAGAACGAGACAACTCGCTAGAGTTACCTTCATGTTTCGTATAACACCCATCGGAATCATGTCCGATAACTTAATTTCTACTCGAATACGAGTTAACGTCCTTTAGTTGCACAAATAATTTAGTATAACACTTATTTTTAACCTAGCTTCACTGTGAAATAGGTAAACGCATTATGTATTCTCTGAAATAATGTGTATACTAAAACAAAATTTAAGGCGACATGACAATCGTCGCCTATTCGAACACTAATTTAAATGACCAATGTCCGAATTTTCTCCTTATATATGGCTCCCGTAAATAATAAGAACCACCATGGGTTAATTTTTGTTTTGTTTTTTCAGTTACATTTTACCTGTTGCGATTGTTTTTATTGTGTAAAATAATAATTTAAAAGCTTTTGTTTTTAAAAAATCTATTTTTTTTTTACTACAAAGTTAAATTACATTTCCTGGTAATGCATTGTTACACAGTTGTATGTACGTGACTAAATAGTCATTCATCGCTCGCCTATGTAATTGTTCGGTCCGTTAAACCAAAAAAAAAACGATTGAAAAAAACGAACTCAGCGTGTAGACGGGTTAATCCGATTAGCGGCTGTGAAACGTGAACAGACGCATTTGTCGTCTGTCAAAGATAGACAGACCAGCGGGGAAAAAAATACACCTGCTTTTTAATTGTTTATTTTTAACCCTTTGTCGAAAACTAAGCAGGGGTCTGATTAAAAACGCCTTATTAGGTTGCTTTTTTTAAACTCAAAACATTTCAGGAAACAGTTAATGAAAGTATTGTGTTGGGTTCAGACAGCGAGATTAAGGTAGTACATCAAAAGTAATAACTGCGCATGCTCCAAGTAGTTAATTTGGGGTCAGCTGGTTAAAAATAGACCACTATAGCGCCTATATATAAGTCCTGAGTTCGAACTCTCGAGCAGTTAAGGTTTGTTAACTTGAGACAACAACCCATGTAGGAAAAGATATTCCGAAATCAAACAAGAGTGGTGCCCCTTAGGCAATAGGATTACCTTTAACCACTCTGGTTTCCGATAGGCAGTTGGGGGTCGTCCTTAAATCACGTCACACTCATAGGCGGGAAGGGGGTCCGTAATTTTGTGACGGTGTGTGATGAGGGGGAGGGGGGGGGGGGGTTTCGAATGGTGTGACGTCACTTTTTTGCATTTTAAAAAAGCAATGCTAGAAAACGAGTTCTAGCCGTTATTTCGCGTTTTTAGAAAACTATTTTAATAAATTGTAATAGGAATTGATCAAAATACTCTATGTTGACATAGTTCAGAGAAGATTTTGGAAAAATATCGATGTTTTAAGAAAACTTCAACAGCAATTTTGAGGGGGGGGGGGGTTGTAGGCTGAAGTGTGACGTCATTTTAGGGGGAGGGGGATCTGGCTTTTTTATGACGACGTGTGACGAAGGGGAGGGAGGGGGGTAAAAATCGTCAAAAAAGTGTGACGCCATTTATGGATGACCCCCTTGCTACGACACTGCTGATTCCAAGCTGTGTCAATTGGGTCCATCAGAATGGGGGGGGGGGATGATATATGGGTAACATCTGACTTCTCTCGCCTGACTGACCTGGCATTGTGCTTGGATTCCCAATGCGCAATCATCCAACAGTCTATTAGACTATGGATCCATACAGTGGCTTATCGTTGTTAGGGCGTAGCTCTTATGTGAGCAGCAGCGTAGTCTAAAAGAGGTTCTATCAGGGGCGTTACTTCCTATGTCTGTACGTCAAGGGGTTCTGTCAGGGGCGTTACTTCCTACATGCCTGTACGGCCAGTGCATGGTATGGGATGGAAAATAAAGTCGGTCATACCCCATCCCCCCCCCCCCCCCCCCCCACCTCTTGCAATCTCAATCCAAAAATCAGAATTATCAACAATGCCTGGAGTTACACATTAAACGCCAACACAGAAACATTTATATTGGAAATCTTCTACACAAAAACATAACATTTATATTGGAAATCTTCTACACAAAAACATAACATTTATATTGGAAATCTTCTACACAAAAACATAACATTTATATTGGAAATCTTCTACACAAAAACATAACATTTATATTGGAAATCTTCTACACAAAAACATAACATTTATATTGGAAATCTTCTACACAAAAACATAACATTTATATTGGAAATCTTTTACACAAAAACATAACATTTATATTGGAAATCTTCTACACAGCAACATAACATTTATATTGGAAATCTTCTACACAAAAACATAACATTTATATTGGAAATCTTCTACACAAAAACATAACATTTATATTGGAAATCTTCTACACAAAAACATAACATTTATATTGGAAATCTTCTACACAAAAACATAACATTTATAGTGGAAATCTTCTACACAAAAACATAACATTTATATTGGAAATCTACACTTAAACATTAACATTAAATTGGAAATTAACTACACAAAAACATATTTATAAGTTGACAACAACAAAACATTAACATTCATCAGTTTACACAAAAGCATGAACATTTTTTTTACTGTAAGTTACTGTAGTGTAAGTTGTAAGAGACAAAAAAAAAGAATACCTGAAGCAAAATATGTTGGTTTTATTCCTTTTAACAAATGCCTATATCTTACAAAGATAATTAAGCCAACAATTTCAATAATTAAAAAATTATAATAGGATTGTTTCTGTATGTATTATTTATCTTAAACAAAAATAGATTAAGTTTTATTAAATAGAACTAGATGTTAAAAATTTTAAATGACAATACAATTTTAATTAACTAAGGATTTGAACAATTGGATCTTTGAAATATTATAAGAAACACAAAATAGCACTGAAAAACACTACAACATTTCTTCTAAGACCACAAGACTGAACAAGAAATCATAATTTATTATTTCAATAGTGTGCTTTTATGTATGCCTATACCAACATATAGGTGTATAACATTTAATTGGCTCGTCAATGTTATTTGGGTATTTTTCAAAACAGAGAAGCGACCAAATCAATTGTACGCTTTAATTCCCTGAACTTTACCCTAACAGAATAACACTAACTTTTTAAAATCAAATAATAGATCAAGCTTCATCTTAGTAGAAGTAGAAATAATACATAAATTAGCATGTAGCACAAAAAAGGTTGCCAGGCGACTGGCTTATTTGACACATTTTTATGCCAGAGGTTCAAATCTAGAAAGAAATATTGAAATGTTAATTTCATAAGAGGACACTGAATACATTTTTTTACTGATTGTATACCAACAATAATGCTTGTAAGTTTGAAGTGTCATCAGATTTGGCAATCAAGTTCAGGGGCCATGACATTTGGCATACAAGTTTAAAGGGTCATGACATTTGGCATACACACTAGAAGTGTGATGGCATTTGGCATACACATTACAAGTGTGATGGCATTTGACATACCAGTTTTAAATGTCATGACATTCAGCATACAAGTTTAAAACATTATGACATTTTATAATAAATAAATTTGAAAAAAAAAAATTTCATACAAAACATGTCATTAAACTATTGACAACATTGTCACTATTTTATAAAAAAATAGTTTCAACAAAGTATAAGAAATCTTTAATCTCCTTGTATAAATTCATTCTGCTCTATTAGAGAACTACCTCCTGTGTTTACTTACTCCTTTCTTTTGAAAATTGTCTTAATTTATTCATGTGTTCCCTTTTATTTAATTTTCCTCATTTATCCAATGTCCCTTTTTATTTTATTAGCTATTCAACCTACCTATAAAAAAAATTCCATTTTTTTAAAATGTCTTCTTACTCCATTTAATGAAATGATCCCTTTTTTTTAATGACTCCAATTTATTGGTATGTCCCGCGTTTAAAAATTGTCCCCATTTATTGGAATTTCCCCAATTAATTCAATCACATAAATCCCTATGAATTCTTTCTTTATGATTTATCAAATGATAGCGCTGTCGGAATTTTTTCCCACAAATATTACAGCGAAACGGCTTCTCCCCGTTGTGCGTTAACATATGAACATCCAAGTTGACCTTATTAACCGAGCTATACTGGCACAACTTGCACTGGTAGTCCCGCTCATTGTAGTGTTTTCTCATATGAACATCAAGGGTAGTTCTCTGACTGGAGGCGTAATCACACATTTCACACTGAAAAGGACGTTGACCTTCATGGATCATTAGATGCCTTTTTAGTGTGTATTTCGACGTGTAGCATTTCTCGCAAAACTCGCACCTGTACGGCTTGGATTTCAGGTGCTGGTGGGAGTGAAGTTCAAGGTCCTCGGAAGAATTGAAGTACCTATCGCAATAAGCACAAAGAAAACAATTTTCCTTTGAATGCAGATCTCTGTGGGAGGTCAGGTGTTTTTCTGTCTCAAAGGACTTTTCACACAAATCACACACAAACAGTTTTGGGGTTGTAGTTTTCCTCATATGTTTCCTAATTACCTGTTTTTTAACTGTTAATGAACTACAAATTTGACAAAATGAAGCCCGCCCACAAGCGCATAAAGCTTGCGATGAGTTACCAAAATCTTGATCAGTATTTCGTTTCTTTTCCTTAATATAAACTTCACTTGTCCGATTTTTTTCTAAAGTTAACGCATCGCTCATATCTTGGCTCTGAGAATCACTGACTACTGATTTCATTTCATCGGTGACTACTGATTTCATTTCATCGCACCAATGGTCAGCACTGAAATTATTATACGAAGATCCCCAGTTTTCTGAATCAATCTCAGGTTTTACCTCCACCACCTCCTGTTGTATTACATTGTCTGTAGACCCACAAACGCCTGATTCAGAAGATACATCATTCACATGAACATCAGTGTGGTGTTTGCTGATACGCTTCCAGCTTTTGGTGGTGTAGTCACAGTTTTGACAGGCGAACCTGTCACGAGGATGATCTGCTTTCTTGTGCGCGACAAACTGGCTGTTGTCTAGAGTAAAATAGTCACAGAAGCAGCACTCCAAGCAGGTCAGCTCCCTGTGTCTCTTCTTGTAATGTTTTTTAAGTTTACTTAGCCTTGGGAAGCTTCTCAAACAAATGGAACAGCTGAACTCAATCATCTTGTAATGCTGACTTACTTCACATGAAAGTAAAGACTCGCTTGGACCATTTCAAAGAGCTTTATGTTTGGGATATTTGACAAACCTTAAAAACAAACAAAAAAATTAAGTTTTAATACGTATATTTACAAAAACATTCAGTACTTTTGGCATTAAAGTAAAAAAAAAAGTAAAACAGTACATAACCGTGAAAATTCCAGCAAATGGTGTCACCGCTATTTCTAGCATTTTTACAAATTTTACCCTACCTTAAAGTAAATTGACTATGACTTTATAACTAGTACATCTTGATCTAACTAGCTACAGTCATTTTATTTGGCAGTATTTAAAATTTTGAAATATGTTCCTAACAGGAGATCAGAGTAGAACAAGATTAGATAACAGATCTAGTAATGTACAAGTACACTAGATCTAGTAGTATAGAGTTAGAGTCCAGAGATGTGATGACACTATAATGTCTAATATTATTATTATAATACTATTATAGGCCTAATATTCATGTATTATTAGGCTTATATCAAATATTAGTAGGCCGAGCTTAACAAGACATCTAGTAATTAGGGTAAAGAAGGGCACTAAGAGCTACACTTTTTAACACCTGTACATTTTTAAACATTTGTACTAATCCAAGTATTTTCTAATATTGAAATTAATACAAAATTATTCTAACAATATAAAAATAATATTAAAGGCAGGCTATTTAATTTAGTTTGAATTGGTTTAATTTAGCATTTGGGGCAAATGTAGGCCAGGCATGGGGCCATTAAGTTTTATCTCCTAGTTTAGACTAACTCCACAATAAAAATCATTAATTTCTAACCCCAAAATAGTTAATGCTGTGTACACACTCTTTAAATTATACCAGCTAGTATCATTATGCCCCACTGGACCCAGTCCAGATTGTATACAATTGTAGGTCTACATATGGCCTACACTCATACAGTATGAAACAATGTGTTTGTTCTGAACTTTTATAATTAAAGTGGTGTTTCCACTAATGAATATATCAATAAATTAATTAATGTCTTTAAACAAAATTGTGATTAACAGTTTGGTGAAAAAGAACATTATCCTCTTCCCAAATAAAATATGTATTTTACAGATTCTCTACTGTAACCAAACAGACAAACAAAATAACAAATAAATATACAAACATGTAAACAAACTTGAGTTTTAGTAGTAGACATATATCTACTCATACTGCTAATCTGTTTAGATCTAGACTAGTATGTAGCATTAGAACAAAGGGAGATAATTTTCATACAAAAAAACCTGCCCAGAGCTCTTGGTGGATTTTTCAAATTTTGTTTTTACCACTGTCTCTTATTAATTTAAAATTAATATCATATTAATTTCCAATACACAAGGCAACTACATTTTCAAAATCTACTGAGGTTCAGCTATAACCTAGTGCAATTAGTTCAATTACTTTTCATTTTCTTTCATTTTTGCCTATTAAAAAATTCATTTGAAAACAATATATGCTCTAAATCAACTTTATTTTAATAGGCCTATATAAACACTTGCCTGCAGACAAAACTATGCAAAATGAGTAAAATCAACCCCTTGTGGTTCTTATTTTATAAAGAAATTGTGATTTAATTTTACAAATAGGCCCCTACATTTTTTATGAATTTTTTAAGATTTGGACCTATATCAGCCATGTTTTTTTTTTCCTATACAATTAGTCATAGATCTAGTAAAAATGTACATTTTTAAAAAATAAAGCATAACATCAAACAGAAACAAGCCTGCACAATTATTAATGCAAATTTACATTTATAAAATTTTCATTTTTATTTCCCACTTGTTTCACACTTTTTTTTACAGAGGTTATATAATATAGGCTATAATATAAGACCACAGGCCTACATTTTAAACAGAAAAAAAAATTATTTCTCCTCTCCTATTGCAGCTAGAAAAATAAATTTGGAACCAATGGAATTCTTAATCCTTCAATATACTGATTTTAAGATAAAATACTCAAAAATTCATTTTGTATGCTACAACCCTAATCTAGACTAGATCTAGATTCTAGACTGATCAGATCTACTAGTAATACTATCATCTACACTACACGTAGTACGAAGTGACGTAGATCTAGATTCTAGAATAGACAGAATAAAAGTAATCTATCGTTTTAGGTATGTAAAATCATCCGCGACTAGTAATGTGAAAAACAGGTGAGTCCTTAAATTTTAATAATTATTTCACATTTTGAGGAGGATTTATGCTTTGAAAAATACAAAAATGTTTCTAAACAACTGAATTAAAACTTTTCAGTAATAAATGAAGACTAGCAATGTTTCCAACAGATGCAACCATGCACATTTACTATAGCAGCCATCTTGTTTATTTTTTTTTTATTGTAAACTTATAGCACAAGATTCAGGGAAAGCCACTCTAACTTACAGATGGCCGCTTTTTATATAGTAAATCCTGCTAGCAAACACTGCTCAATTGTTATATTTAACCATTGATTTAGGTTTATTATTCATTTATCTATACCCGCGGCGTATCATACGCAGCTATTTAGTTGTTTTATTTTCTATTTTTTAGTAATTCATAATTTGTGAATTCGACAGTACCACTGCTGTCATTGAAAATATTTGCTTTAAAACACTATCGGTAGCTTATTAAGGACGATAACCCTCATCCTCCCCCCCCCCCCCCCCCCCCCCCGTGAAAGCAGCCTCCTCTTAGTTTAAAATCGTTTCAAACTAAATTATCTGCCTTTAATATTTGTGACTAAACCCGTCTCTACGATTATAAACATTTAGCGTGAACCACAGCTCACCAGACCATGTGGGGGTGGTAGAGATATGCCTAGAGAGGAATAGAGGGGACTGCAAGGCGCACTTACAGCTTGGTGCTTTCTAGGGTATCAAAGACGAAAATTAGGTATTTTTGTTTTAGGTACATAAAATCGCCCGCGACTAGTAATGTACAAAAAAGTTACCTCATTGTCAAGGCTTCAATAGAAGTATATTGTGATATATTTGTGTCAAATTTTATAGATAAATGTACAATAAACCTAAATCAATAGCTAAATATATCAATTCAATATAGACAAGAAATTAACTTTAAACAGCAGTGTTTACGAGCAGGATTTGCTATATAAAAAGCTGCCATCTGTAAGTTAGAGTGGCTTCCCCTGAATCTTGTGCTATAAGTTTACAATGAAAAAAAACTTCAACAAGATGGCTGCTATAGTAAATGTGCAATGTTGCATCTGTTGGAAACATCGCTAGTTTTTATTTATTACTGAAAAGTTTTAATTCAATTGTTTAAAAACAGGGAGATCTACATAAATGAAACATTTTTGTATTTTTCAAAACATAGGCCTATTATAAATCCTCCTCGAAACGTAAAATGATTATTAAAATTTAAGGAGTCACCTGTTTTTCACATTACTAGTCGCAGGCGATTTTACGTACCTAAAACGATAGATTACCGAGAATTATATATATAGTATATAGATATATATTTGACACAAATATATCACAATATACTTCTTTCAAAGCCATGACAATGAAGTAACTTTTTCGTACATACTACATTACTAGCCGCGGGCGAGTCTTGCTCAGTGTTTCTTCCAGACTTTTTTCTCCGGGGGGGCACTTGAAATTTTCGGGGGGGCGGTAGACTTTCTTCGGAGGGGCGGACACTGTTAAAAGGGTAAAATCACGATATAGCGTCGGTTATTATTCCGGAACTGTACAGCAGTAAAAAACAGTAAAACCATGGCGTAGTCTGTCGAGCCGTTCCGGAAACCACCGGAAATACTGTAAAACCATCATTATTATTTTTAATACATAATGTTTAAAAATGTGCAAGGATTGATTTTAGTTGCATTTTAAATACTGTTTTGCTAATTATTTTGTATTTCTAATTATTTTAAGTGTATGTGCTAATTATTGCTGCTACTAAACATTATTCTAGTTATTCTTACTACTTTTAACTTTAGTTAATCTAATCGTCTTATTTACAAACAGAACTAGAGCTGGTTGGCGCAAATCTTCTGCAGGTTTTTTCTGTTTTTTAAAATAAAACATTAATTACTACACTCGACTTTATTAATAATATTTAGATTTAGCCTACTAATTGTTGCTAATTTTTTGGCAGTTAAACATTAAATTAGGGATTTAGGTAAAAAAAACACTAATCATCATATAAAAATAAAAATTACATATTCTTGTAGAGCTCAACAAAATGAAAACAAAACAAAAAAGATTTTCTGTCTAGCTCAAATAGTTTTTTTTTGGCGAATTTTTTTGTGAGGGGTGGAATCCCCTTGCTTTTGCATTGGCCAATTGTGACAAGTCATGGTATACCTGAATAAATTGAGCATAGTTATTTTACTTGCAGTTGTATTTTGTTCATATTTGCAGAGTTTAACTAGAATGATATATAGAACTTGTAAATGCTGTTGAAATTAATAAAAATAATACAGAACTTATATTTTTGTGTTGGCTTCCTCCCATAACCCCAAAAAACTGTGTGCTGCGCAAATATGAAAATGTTTCTAAAGCCCTATTTTATATAAATACAGCAAATGAAAGAACTACAAAGTTAGAAATCTAAAGTAAATGACTTGAACACTGTTATGTGCATATAATTGCCTCATTATTTTGGGCAGGTGAAGTAGAGTCCATCTTTAAGCCATTTTGTTATAAAACTGCTGCGCAAATATGAAAATGTTTCTAAAGCAATATTTTATATAAATACAGTGAATGAAAGAACTCCATAGTCAGAAATCTAAAGTAAATGACTTGAACACTGTAATGTGTCTATAACTGCCTTGTTATTTTGTGGAGGTGAAGTAGAGTTCATATAAAAGCCATTTTGTAATAAGTGAAATGAAGTTATCAGATCAATGTTTTTATGTGTGAATTGTGTATGGATTCTGATTTTCAGCATATAACTATATCTAAGGGTAAGTAGAACTTGAATACTTAAAATTACAGTTAGCACAATGCTAGTGTATAGCAACAGACAGGTAACCTAGATCTAGGTCAGACTCTTGTCAGTCTAGAGTCTAGTCTGACAAAATTGGATTTTTAGGAAAAACATATTCTGCAAAACTAGAACTAGAGCTGAAAAAATTAAAGATGGGTATGTAAATATATTTTGAAATAAAAAATTAGATTTGTTTGCACATGCCATAAGAAATATGTTATTAGTTGATCAAACTTAAAGGCAGGAAGATCGGGATGAAAAAATATAACAATGGTGGCAGCGTGACCTACATACAGTGACTACGTTCGGAGGGGTATAACTAATGTCGGAGTCAAAATATCCAAAAACAAATTTCATTTCCAATTACTTAAGATATGTCTGATCAGTAATCTACTCTCATCTAGAGGAATCCTTTAAAAAATCGAGATTCCAACGTATTTGAAACTAACCTTGATACAGAGTGGAAGACCAAAGCAGAGACAGCATGCAATCAGGTCGCAAAGCCATTAAAACTAAGGGACAACCACTCTACTTTTTAATTAACCTTAGGAAATGACCTTTTAAACTTAATTAATTACCATAAATTAAAAACTTATTAGTATGCAAAACCAAATCTCGTGGGTCCGGTATCAGAAAGTAATGGGCGATTTCGGGTCATGTTTTTACCGCGAACTCGGCGGATGCCGACAACCCTAATTAAATTAAGTTAAAACAATAATTAATAATTTAATGCACTTGACTCTATTTTTATTTCACCGGTCAAATAAACTATGGTTTACAGTTTACAGTAACGAATGTTACCGAAATTCAACGAACATTACCCAATAATTTCCGACGCTATATCGTGATTTTACCGTTAAAAGTATATATTTTCTATATAAATTATATAAATTTCATTTCGTTGGGGGGGGGGGGGGGGGGGGGGCGGTAAAGAAACTCTGGTCTTGCTGCTACTGTTACCTGTAGCTAGCTAGGACGTAGTGCTAGATTTCTAGACCTAGATTCTAGATCTAGATGTGTAGACTACTAACTAAATGTAGGCCTCTAAGCGAAGTGTTTGTGTGTTAAATCTAATAATAATATTAAATAATATTAATGATTGATGATCAATCAAGTGTTGCTATCGTAACTTACACAGAAACACTAAGAACCCAAAACAGTCAAATTTTTCTTAAATGTCTTTTATATAAAAGATTTCTAATTTCAAGGGCTGGAACTGACTTAAAATAAAGCGGGAGTGTTCTTTAAAAATATTATATTAACGTTTAATTTATAATTACATTAAGATTTTTTTTTCATAATTTTTTTTTATGTTTAATTCTTTTTATAGAATAGAATCGCGTAATAATTTTTGCACGATTTAGATCTAGATCTGGTACTTTTCCCTAAACCGCACGTACGAGAAAGTAAAAATACAGAAATAGTGTAGTACAGTTTTTTTTTACTAATGTATTAAAGTTGAGTACATCATTAGTACATCACACCGTCGTCGGGGTTACACCAGCGAGGATAGGATCGATTCAGTAGCGTCATGTGATCCGCACCGGTTGACACCATGCGTAACACCTACATTAATCGCACCAGGTGACAAACAACCTAGATTCTAGAAACGCCACCGGGTTGACTAGAAATTCTTTCGGACATCTCTCCGGTGCGTTCCCCCCCCCCCCCAACACCTCCAGTGATGATTCTTTCAGACATTTTTCTCCGGGGGGGGGGGGCGGTAGACGTTCTTCGGGGGGGGGGGGGGAGCGGACACTGTTAAAAGTATATATTTTCTATATAAATTTCATTTCGTTCAGGAGGCGGTAGACTTTTTTCGGTGCTTTAGTGCTGAGCACCCCCCCCCCCTCCCAGGAGATACCTGGAAGAAACTTTACCTGGAAGAAGGTTACTTTAACCAGCGTCCTCTCCCTAGAAATTTCAAGTGCCCCTCCCCTGAGAAGAATGTCTGAAAGAAACACTGGGGCTAACATCATATATATATATATATATATATATATATATATATATATATATATATATATATATATATATATATATATATATATATATATAAATAAATATATATATATATATATATATATATATATATATATATATATATATATATATATATATATATATATATATATATATATATATATATATATATATATATATATATATATATATATATATATATATATATATATATATATATATATATGTATATATATACATACGTAAAAAAACGATGCTTGCAAATGTTATAAAGTTTTTAAAAAAGTGGTCTTGGAAGGGGAACTTGTGACGCCACACTTTTGCATTATAAAAAAGCAATGTTATAAAACGAATTTTAGCCGTTATTTCTCGTTTTAGAAAACTTGTTTTAATAAATTGTAATAGGGGTTGATTACAATAATCTATGTTGACAGAGTTCAGACAAGATTTTGGAATAATATCGTATATTTTTTTTTAAAATTCAACTGCAATTTTGAGGGAGTTGTAGGCTGAAGCATAACGTCCTTTTAGGGGGAAGGGGGTCTGGCGATGTAAAAATGGTCCCAAAAAAGCGTGACGTCATTTATTGATGATCCCTTAGTCTAAATCTAAGTAAATCAGTATGTGCCTTTTAAAGTTGGTGTTTTATTAACACGTTATGTAAAGCATAGTATATGTTTTACGATAGAAAATGTTAATGATAAAAATAATTTAATTTATTTAAAGTTGTTCTAGACAGACAACGATTTAATATAATTTATAATAAATAGCCACCTTCTTTTCTACCGAATTTTTTTTTCTCTTTATTAACCCTATAAGTGCTGAGCGCATACTTTTTCATTTCCCTTTCCCATCCATTCTCCATCATTCATAATTTTCGAATCCGCTGGACAGTCGCGTAGCCTCACAGTCACACAGAGTCGCGTGACAGGTAGGTAGCCATACTATTTATGAACTTTGAGTGTTGAACCTTCCACCGCAAAGCTAGGCAGAATGGCATATTGGCTATTTGTCAAATTTTCAAATTTTATATTTACAAACTATCGTCAGTTTTGATAAGGCATTTTGAATCAGTTAGATTAGATCATTAGACTTTAGTTAGTTAGAGTTGGTCATGAGCGTCTGCCATCTATATACAATTATACATCTAGATTAAATTTGATTTGAATATTAAATCTGTTTGGCGCAGGCTCAAGTAATTCTTTATCTATAGAGCGTATAGGCCTAATCTACGTTTTTGTATCAATTGTTCCAAACAAAAATACTAGACATTTTTTAGACTAACTACTAACTCAAACTACTGAACATAAAAGAGCAAGTAGTAAATGGCACTGTAAGGGTTAAGTTTGTTTTCAAAACGTCTCATTTCTTAATACTACTTAATAGGGCTGGTAAGTAGGTCACCAACAAGTTCTATGGCTCATGCAGGTTTTATTGAGCTGTAGAACTGGTTGATGACCTAATTACCAGCCCTATTGAGGACCTAGGTGGAATAAAACAAATGGCTTATTATTGCAAATTTGAACCCCTACCTTATCACCTTATGTTTATATTCTTAACAAGATGTTCACATAATTGTTTTACCTAGGCAATGGCATTGCTAGGTCTGGTGGCACCTCATGGTGTGTGTCTCCCCACCCCCTTTTTTTTTCTCCTCTGTAAATTTTCCAGTTGGTGTCATGCCCCCCACCCGGAAAAGCTATAAAGTGATCACATTTAATTCTACTGATGTTTGTCTGTAGTCGGTTGTTAATAAAGCTGGGTGTAGTATTATTTTCTCTATAGTTTGCATGTTTTCGTCATGTCTTCCCTTGTCAACGTCATCACATTATGTCAATGTACTTAAAATATTTTTTAACTCTGATTAACCATTCATTGAACTGGTTTTAAAAGACATTTGTTCTATATGATGTGCATTTTTTTTTGTCTTGGTGGCATCCCGTTAAATGGTGTCACCTGGTGCTGTCCACACACCCTGCCTCGCGACGCCTTTGTACCTATGTGGTAAATTTTGAAAGAAAGTAGTGGGAATAATACCTATTTTATTTTTATCTTGATATCCTTGCTAGGCACTACAGAATACTACAGGTTCTTATCTAGGCCACTAGTTAGAAGTTAAAATATCAGTTTTGTAGGTTTATTTGTATGATTATAAGTAAGAATGTTCAGTTTTTGCCTTTTCTTCTCTAGATAAATGAACATTGAATACAGCTTTAACTGTGTAATAGCAAGATACCATGAGTGTAAATATAAGCTTGGATGACACACCTATGGGCTCAATATATTTTGATGGCCCCATTGATGACAGGGAGGAAGAACTGGAGAGGGAACGAGAGCTAGAAGCTCAGGAGGTTTGTGTTGTTTTTTTTAAATCACATGATCAAATGTTTTAAGTACCATATGCTGGTGTATGTGTTCTTTATTTTTCAGCTAAGCTAAGACAATGGTTGGCTTAAGGACTAGGATTAAACTAAAATAGAAAAAGTGTATTGTTTAAGTAGAGAGGTTAATTTAATGCCTCAATTTATTTTTCCTACAATTATAAATGCATAGACTTTTTACTGTAAAACAAATGTCTTTTTAAGTTTACATGTTTAGGAGTAAAATGAAATAAAAATAATACAAGTAAATTTTGTGTTATATTTTAGATTCATGGTGCTGCAGAAAAAGAATTAGAAGATTTTTTTAATGATTGTTCATATTCAGACAATTCTACAAAGCACTTTTATGTCTCAAATCATCCAAGCAGGTAAACTGTTGAATAATTATTAGGGAATATTTGAATCTTATTTTTTTTTAATTTTCTATATGTGTTTAGATCTTAAGCATGCACGAATTGCATATAAAAATATTTATTTATTATAGTTTTATTTATTTATTCAATTAATTTATTTTTTATCCTTGTTTGTTTTGGTGTGACTGTCATACATATATCTAGATTTGCATAAAATGCTAACTAAACTCTTTTTACTTAATTTCGTAAACTAAATTGACAGCCTGGTTTAAGGTTCTAAAATGAAGTTTTGTATTTTCAAGTAGACGTATTTTTTTTGTAAATTCCCCCTCCAAAATTATGTTTTTATTGTTTAATTTTTTTTTAAATATTAGCAGAAATGTCTCACAGGATGATGAGGATGGTAGCCATTTCTTTACCCCACCATCATCGCAATCCGCAGACAAGGACTTGGACTTTGTGGACTTGGCGCTGGAGAGATACCAGAGGAACGTGGAAGAGGTCAACAGGATGACCATAGAAAACCTGTGTGCTGAGTTAGGGGAGATACACAGCATGGAGAGGTCAGAGTTAGCTGATCATTACAAGCAAGAGATACAGACATTGAGGTAAGTGGAATGATTAGATGAAACACTACATTAATTCATGTGGCTTGTATATTTAGTCAGTGTGTTTTGGTTTTTCTGCCTTTTTATGAATTGTAACACATTGCGAAGCAACAATTAAAGTTTTTGATATTCTCAGTTCTGTAAAACCCAAAAATATGGTTGCAGTTTTTCATATTAGAACACAGCAATGTGGTAGAGTAAGTCCTGAGTTCAAACCCTGGGGTTATTAAGCTTGTTAGCAACCCATGTAGAAGGGAAAACTCCTAACTGCTACCTTGTCTAAAGTCTATGTAAGCAAATCCAGAAAGAAAGCAGGCTGAAATCGGAGTCAACTGGCCATATGGCGTAAAACATGTTAACATGTAATACTTAATTGTGTTGAGTTTCTTTCATCTCTGAGCCCACCCACCGAACAAAATTTATATAGAAAATATATACTTTTGACAGTGTCCGTTTTTTATTTATTTCAAAGACAGGATCTGAAATCTGCACTGACAGATCTTGACAAGGTCAAGGCTATGTATGTCAGCTTGTGGGAGGAGACCAGAGTTCAAGAAGCGGAACTGAAAGCCAAGTTAGATAAGCAGTGGGAAGAACAACGTCAGAAGGTGGAGTTATCCTTCTTTTGTTTTTTAGTACAACGGTTTATTGTTTCAGCTGGTGGTCCATCTTGCATACACTCTGTTAGTTTATTTAGTAGTTCTTCAAAAATTATTGTCCATCCATATCAGGTATTACCTTTCCATCTTTGGTCTTAACTGGCCCCTCAAGTTTACTGAACTTCCCAGCCATCTTCTTAATAGGGCTTGTTAGTAGGTCAACAACTTCTTATCATACTAGCCAGCTAGTATTTTTCAAACCAATTGTGAATATGTTTATTAAATCTGTAAAAAAAAGAAATAAAAGTCACGCTATTGTTAAGTTATTTTAAACTGTAAAAACTGATAATGATACTTTGAGAATTCACCTGACCCAGGCTAACGAGATTTCAAATTTTAAGTAAGAGAAGCAAAGAGACTTAAAAGCCCTATTCTAGTGTAAACTTCTCTAGTATTCCCTTGGTATAACACTTCTTCTGCTTCACTTGCCAGCAATTCTATATCATTCTCTTTGTCTTTTCCTTATGCATTTCTTGACATTGTTGTTTCTGTATTTTCTACCTGAAACTTAGATTTTGCAGGCAGTGTTGCATTCTTTCTTTTTCTCTACTCAATAATTTTCAGAGTGTCTGCTGAAATTTTATTCCTTATTTTTCCTTTTATGGGGTTAAACTTTTAGTGTTAGACTGCTAACCTGAAAGTGACAAGTATGAATATGGGTTCAAGTCGGTAGAATGTCTCTGAGTCCACCCAGCTCTGATTGGTACCTTACTCACGTTTGGGAAACAAAGGTGGCTGGGCATAGTGCTGACCACATTATGCTACTGTATGCCGAGGTCAGTTAAACAGATGAACTCTACTTCATCTGCCCTATGTGTCTTGAGCACAAACAGGACAAGATTATTTTGCCAAGCACTTTTTTCGCATGTTAACATAAATAAGTATTTAGGTTTTCCCATTTTTTCTTTTACTGTCTCTTTATCTGTTTGTTATTTCAGGACCTAAAACATGTTTGAAATATGGAGCTTATAATTGTTGCGACCTTTGACCAAATGTTTTGTTGTATTATCAGGTTCTGGAAGTGAAACAAAAGTGCCAGGAAACACACCCAGGTATGATAGCTGCAGCTGTGACTGAGGCAAGGCAGGTCTGGTTGGCTGGAACTGATCTAGGTTAAACTAAAATAATTTTTTTGTAGATTTTGTTAAAAGTAACAAAAAAAATTATGCATTGGGTATATTTTTTTAAATTTTTATGTGTGTATTAACCCACAAATATTTTGTTAATTCTTAAATATTTTTATGCTTCTTCAGTGATAGAACATTTCGTTTTTTTTAAAATGTTATCTAAATATCTACAGATACATGAAGTTACTTGAGTAGATTATTTAAAGACATTAAAAAGACTTATTTTTATTGTAGATTTAAAGATTCAAGACTTAAAAGAAACAGTTGAAGAGCTCGGGTATTTGCTTAAAAAGAAGGATGATCTTATGAAAATTGATCAGGAAAGGGCTCTGAAAGATTGTGAAATGAAAGCAAAATTAGAAATTAAAAAGATCTTGAAAGAAAATGAGATCAAAACAAAGCAAGAATTAGAGAAGGCACTAAAAGAAAAAGAGCTGATTGTCAAGTTGGAATTAGAAAAGGTGTTGAAAGAAAGAGAAGCAATAAAAACAGAACGAGAGGAAATTCAAAACAGATATTTAAGTAAAGCTTTAAAGGAATATGAGAAAACCATGAGAGAATTACGCAGTAATTACGAAAATTTAAAGCTTGCACATGCTAAAGAGATTGAAAAACTCACCAAAGAAAATGCAGAATTGGAACAAAGGGTGTTAGCAAAGAAAAATCGGAATGCTTTAGAAACCATGATTGAAGAAGAAGTTGCTGAACGTGTGAAAAAAGAGGTTGAAAAGTTAAAAGTGGAAGTTGAAAAGAAAGTCACAGAGGTAAATGATGATGAGGTAGAAAAAAAGGTCAATGAAAGAATACAGGAACTGCATCTGGCATGGCTGAAAGAGGCAGCAGAATATATTCAAAAGGAGATCCAGCTAGGTATTGAAGAGGGGGTGAGAGAGGAAAGAAAGAAAATGAAGGAAGAAATTGATAAGAATAAAGAAACTATGGAGAAAAATAACAACAAGGAAGTGGAGAAAAAAGTTGAAGAAAAAATTGCTGTGGAATTGAGTCAGTTGAATGAGCAGGTGTTGAAAGAGAAAACCAGGTTAGAACAGGAGGTCCTGGCATGGCGGGATGAAGCCAAGAGAAAAATGGAAGCAAGCTTTGCCAGTAAGCTTGCGGCCAGCTTAGAGGAAAGATTGAAAGAGGAGAAAAAGAGAATGGAGGATGGGACTAGAGAAATACAGGAGGAAGAGGTGAGGAGAATGAGTGATGAAATGAAGTATATGCTGAGACAGTTAAGGCATTTATCAAGCCTACAAGAAAGAACAATAGAGAAAAAGAAGATAGAACTACAGGAGGAAATGATGAAGTGTTTGAGAGACCATGTAAGTAAGTGCATACAGAGAAGTATATGGGGCCACGAGATGGAGAGTGAAAACAAAGAGGTCAAGCTGAAAGAGCCAGAGGTCAAGCTGAAAGAGCCAGAGGTCAAGCTGAAAGAGCCAGGGGTCAAGCTGAAAGAGCCAGGGGTCAAGCTGAAAGAGCCAGGGGTCAAGCTGAAAGAGCCAGAGTTTACTGAAAGAATGAAAACCGAAGCACAGTCTAAGGTAATGTTAATATTTTCTTTTATTGATCATGTTGACCTTATCAATACTTAACTTTATTCACCCTTCGTGCATCTCAAAGATCCGACTATTTAGCTACAATTAATTTACAAGACACATCACTTGTATACAAATCATGTCTACATTTGTTACACTAAATATGAAGCTATGGCCAAAATAACTAACATCACAATACATTTCCACTATACCCAGCCAACTCTACCTTCTGAAACTTGGGTCAGGCACCCATCAGAGCTGGGTTATGGCTACACATCAGGCACCAAAATAACTGACATCACAACACATTTCCACTATACCCAGCTAACTCTACCTTCTGAAACTTGGGTCATGCACTCATCAGAGCTGGGTTATGGCTACACATCAAGCACCAAAATAACTAACATCACAACACATTTCCACTATACCCAGCCAACTCTACCTTCTGAAACTTGGGTCAGGCACCCATCAGAGCTGGGTTATGGCTACACATCAGGCACCAAAATAACTGACATCACAACACATTTCTTACATCTGCCTAGGTCAGCTTTGAGCGAAAAGATTTCGGGGTGTTTTTCTGGCCAACCTCTTTTACACTTTCCTTATGGTTACACTGCAATGGTTATACTTTTGCTTTTCTCTCTAGTGGTAACTTTTGGTTCCTTGTCTGAGTTTTATATTTAGCTAGTAAATTGCAGGTTGGGTCGGGTAAGCTCAAGGTTTCTGAACCTCTGGCAGGCGAGTCTCAAAAGCTGGGGACAACTCTGAAATCAAAGAACTGTTGCCTTGAAGTTTGTTCTTGGTTGGTTGGTTTCAAACCCCCCCCCCCTCCCATGTCACTTGCTGTTCAGTGTCATCTATATTGTGACTAATTTTAATTCTTACACCAGTTTAAATGAGGTTCATAGGAATTTTATCAGCACTATATTGTGACTATACATTTTTTTCCTCATAAAAGTCAAAATAAGGCATAGATTTTAGCAGATACTCTGAAAATTATTGAGTAGTGCAAGCCTTTATCGTTTATCATTGCAAAAAAAAATTCCCATTTCTTTACATTTTGAGTTAGTCCATTTCTTTAAAATAAATGATAGTATTAGTGTCTTAACATAGCCACTTGTCATCATTATGCTAAATGCTGTAATAATATAAAATTTGTCTTATTTACATTGTATTTGAAATAGAGTGACATATACTGAACGTATGAACAGTATCCAATTATCATTTAAAATTTATATACTTGTTACTGAAGAAGATTTGTTGGGGTAGGCAGCCCTGTATTATTAAAAAAAATTAAATTTTAAATATATGGTTGTTGTATTGTTAAGCTTATAGTGTAATAGTTTTTATTTAGTTTTCATTGTGCTGTAATTTTAATCAAAATAATTGTAAACTCTTCTATTTAAAATGGGTTCTAGTTGTCTTATTTCAGCATACTGCATGTTATTAGAGTAACTTCCCTTATATCTTGCAGTTCCATGATCCAGGAAGCAATGCTATTATAGAGCAGAAAGATCAGTACCGTGAGAATGTGTCTAAAGTACAAGGTAAAGCTCACAATACCACTTTATAAAATTACTGTTACTTCTCTCTTCTATAGGTTACTTCCAGAGGCGTAGTGACTGGAACATAAAAATTATTTTGGAATATATAATACACATCCTCTTGTGCACAATTTTATATGTACTTTAAAGTAGTGTTTATGCTGATTAAAAATCTATTCAGCCTGATGTTTAAGTAAAGTGCCCGTTTGAACCTGATGGTTCATGGAGCAGGCGAAGTAGAGTTCATCTGTTTTAAGTGACCTTGTCATATGAAGAGATAGTGTAGTCAGCACTATGCTCAGCCGTCTTTTCTTTCCCTTGCTTGAGTCAGGTACCCATCAGAGCTGGGTGGACTCAAGGATTCCTACGGGATCTGAACTTAAGACTTGAGATGTTAGCAGCCAAAGGCCCTAGCATTTGACCATACTGTTGTAACACTGTAAATCTACCTGGTATTTCAGTTGATGACTTGATTCACATTAAGGTAGCCACAATTAATGCTGAGATCATCAAGCGGATGGTTAACTCTATTAGGTCCAAGTATAAGAGAAATGTCAGAGTCCTTCTCTCTGGGTTAGTCCTTGAATTTTATTGATGTAATAGACTGATATTTTTCTAGTTTATTTATCCAAATTGTCTTTTATTTAGAAAAATTTTCTGAGTAATCATCCCTACATCAATGACTTCTCATTTTTCTTAACAAATGGTATTTTATTCAAAGCATTGTAAGTCAAGATCAGAGTCCTTCTTTCTGGGTTAGTCCTTGAATTTTAATGATTCAATAGACTGATATTTTTCTAGTTTATTTATCCAAATTGTCTTTTATTCAGAAAATTTTTCTGAATAATCATCCTTAATCAATGACTTCTCATTTTTCTTAACAAATGGTATTTTATTCAAAACATTGTAAGTCAAGATCAGAGTCCTTCTCTCTGGGTTAGTCCTTGAATTTTATTGATTCAATAGACTGATATTTTTCTAGTTTATTTATCCAAATTGTCTTTTATTCAGAAAATTTTTCTGAGTAATCATCCATATGTCAATGACTTCTCATTTTTCTTAATAAATGGTATTTTATTTAAAACATTGTAAGTCAAGATGGTGTAACTTGTTTTAATTTTAGACAAGTTGATGAGTCCACCATTGAAGCAGTGGAACAAGCTATTGATATTTTGGCAAAGAGGCTCATTACATGTTTATGTACACCTATATCAGCAACTGTTGAAGAGTGTAAGACAAAGTTCAGAGTCCTTCTATCTGGGTTAGTCTTATTTTTATTTATTAAATAGACTGATATTTTTAGTTAATTTTCTCCAAATTGTTTTTTAAACAGAAATTTTTCTAGTTAATTTTCACCAAATTGTCTTTAATACAGAATGTTTCTAGTTAATTGTCTCAAAATTGTCGTTTATACAGAAAAATCTTCTAGTTAATTTCTTCAAATTGTCTTTTTTACACACATTTTTCCAGTTAATTTCTCCAAATTGTCTTATACAGATATTTTTTCCAGTTAATTTTTCAAAATTGTCTTTTACAAAGAAAATTTTTCTAGTTAATTTTCACCAAATTGCTTTTTATACAGATATTTTTTCTAGTTAATTTCTCCAAATTGTCTTTTATACAGAAAACTTTTAAATAATTATCCATACATCAGCTGACTTTTAATTTTTAACAAATTTATTTTTGTTTAATTTTTATTCAAAAGATAATTAGTAATGATAATGTAACTTATTTTAATTTTATTTAGTCAAGTTGACGATTGCACCTCCAAAGCTGTGGAACAAGCTGTGGATACTTTGGCAAGGGTACTCAGTACAAGTGTATTTACACTTTATTCAGCATCTTCCACTCCTAAATCAACCCAGGATGGCAAAATACATCACATATGCACAGGCAAACACTCAAAAAGAAAAACAAGGGCATGTGAACATCACAAGTTTGATGTGGCAGATCATCAGGCTGAGAACCAACATAGTCCACAACCAAAGGACAACAGCACAGGCAAGAATCATGAGCACCCACAACTGGATAAGGTTGTTTTGTTAGAGGACACCTACCACACACCATCCAGTTCTGACCAGTCGTCACCAGCAGTTCAAGCAAGGACAATGGCCAGAACCAGACTACATTTAGACTTACCAAAAATTCTCTGGTTGCCCACTGTTAATTTGTCCCCATCAAGAACACCTGGTAAAAATCCCAAAACATCTCCCCAGCATGATATGAAACTTTTGGAAGCCAAAGTAGGAACTACTGATTGGGCAGTGCCCTGGAAACCTTCAGCTGTGGAGTTTTAAAAGGACCTAAATTTTAATTCTTACACCAGTTTAAGTGAGGTTCATAGGAATTTTACCAGCACTTCAGAAAATAACGGAAAATTTTCTGGAGTCAAAGATCTGAATAAGAATGTAGGAGGAAACAAAGATAGTGAGAGATTTGTGGATGAGGAAGGTTTTGTAAAACCAGGCTCTGGTGAAGAGAGGTGGCTCCGAATGAACAGAGAGAAGCAGACGTCAACCAGAACGACTGGCCAAAGTGCATTGGAACTCTACAGAAACGTGTGGGACAAGGGCCAGCTATGAGTATTTTTTTTACTCTTGTGCCTTGTGGTCTTAAACCATTTGTTCCTTATTTCAATGTATTGAATGTATAATTTATTGATCAAAAAATGTTTTAGTTCCTGATTTCACAAATACTTGCCCATGAAATGTATTGAATGTATAATTTATTGATGAAAAAATGTTTTAGTTCATGATTTCACAAATACTTGTCCATGAAATGTATTGAATGTATAATTTATTGATGAAAAAATGTTTCTAATTCCTAAGTGTGTAAGATTTGATGAAATAAATATGTTCACAATTTCTTTGTAATTGGTCTTGTTTATGCTCTGATTGAAAGACTTTCCTTTTAAACATACACTTGTGAAACCAGTGTGAGTAGTTAAAATTAAGTAGGCACAATCCGATACGGTTGTGTTGACAGATAGTACTATGAGTGAGAAATGGTATTTGCTTGCAATAGATTATGAAATAAAATATATTATTTAGTGAACACAAAATATGTAGTTGGTAATGTGGAATAGAGTTGTGTAAAGATAAAAATGGATTTATCAAACCTAGTTGGATGGTATAATAATGGATATATTGAGATTTTAAAAAACTATTGATGAGATTTTTCTTATATTGTTTAGATATTATTCAGATAATGTTAAAATACTTTTGAGATATTCCTCAGACATTGTTCTGAAACAAATGGTGTTTAAATATGCCTATTTGTTGAATTTTTGAAAAAATAACCACAATGTTGAAATAATAATTTTTTTTTAAAGTAAATGGATCTACCGTGTAAGAGTACATTTTAATAGTATTGGAAATAAATTTCATTATGACATTAAAACGTTCGCAAAATTAAAGACAATATACAGATAACATACGCAAAATTAAAGATAATATATAGGTATTATCCTTCTAGACATTGGTCCAAAAGGTAGATGAAGTAGAATAGCCTGTTTCTGTGAGCGGTATCTAATTGATAATAGTGAGGACCAGAGGCGTAGCGATGGGGGGCAGGGGGGTACATATGTCCCCGGGCGTCGACCATAGTGGGCGCCAAAATGGGTTGGAAAAACAAATTAAAATGTCATTTTTGCATTATAAATAGTTTTTGGGGGGGGGGGGGGGGCGTGCAAATCGAAAGTTTAGAGGGGGGGGGGGGGGTTGCAAAACAAAAGCTTGAGGGGGGGTGCAAATTGAAAATTTTCTCCCGAGGAGGGCGCCAAATTGAAAGTTTGTCCCCGGGCGCCGGGAAGGGTCGCTACGCCTCTGGTGAGGACAATTCTGTACAGCCACCTTTATATTCCAGGAATTTAATCATGGTTGGGTGGGCTCAGGAAGCACTATCGCCCCGACCTCGCTATCCCATCACTTAAAAAACAAAGGTTTAATAAAAAGAGAGCAAATGCACGGAGTTTGCCTATAACAGTGGTTCTTAATCTCTTAAGAGGTACCGAACCTCGCCAGCTTCAGATGCGCATTCACAAAACTCTTCTAAATAGGACATCTGTATATATATATATATATATATATATATATATATATATATATATATATATATATATATATATATATATATATATATATATATATATATAATTCTCTACGTCGCCCAACCATGCGGGACACCATCAGTGTTTCTTCCAGACTTTTTTCTCCGGGGGGCGGGGGGGGGCGGTAAAATTTCTTCGGGGGGTGGGGTGGACACTGTTAAACGTATGTATTTTCTATATAATTTTCATTTCGTTCGGAGGGGGGGGGGGGCGGTAGACTTTCTTCGGGCCGAAGAGATGCCTGGAAGAAACTCTGGACACCATGCACGCAGGCCGACCCTCTAACCCTCCTCCCGCCCCCTCCTTCGCTCTCCATGCATGCACAACCGTGTGTCTTTCAGCTGTCTTCCAGAAAGTCTTCACCGTCACTAAACAGCGGTGTATGCTAAACCGCGGGTAGGCTTGTAGAAATTCTTTTTTTTTTTTCAAATCCAAATATATTTTACATATATTTTACTGGTGCACAAAATAAACTACATCAACGTCACTGTGTTCAAAGAATAAAAACCAATAAAATATGATTTTTAATCAAAATTAAAAAAAAAAACAATAAACAATATTTATTGCAAAGCATTGTGACTTCTGTTGGTTCTTAGATACCTGTTCAGGAATGCGCGATTTCGCTTTAAAAATTCATCGTCTTTTGTGTTCTTTAAATTTAATAATCTCTACGCAGCTTTAGGAAGTGCTAGAATACAATTACTTAATTTTGCATTGCAAACCCCTCGAAAATTTCAAGTGCCCCCCCCCCCCCCCCCCCTTCCCCCGGAGAAAAAAGTCTATAAGAAACACTCATGTGAATTCATATTGTCATATTCGTCTGACTATTTTCTTTTTCCACGAGATAGTATGAAGGGATGAAACATTTTAAGCAAGAAACAGTTTCTTCCAGGTATCTCTTCGGGGGGGGGGGGGGGGGGGGGCTTCGAAATTTTTTTACCGACCCCCCCCCCCCCCCCCCTCGAACGAAATGAAATTTATATCATTTATATAAAAATATATATACTTTTAACAGTGTCCGCCCCCCCCCCCCCGAAGAAAGTTTACCGCCCCCCCCCCCCCGAAGATTTCAAGTGCCCCCCTTCCCCGGAGAAAACTGTCTGGAAGAAACACTGGCAAGAAATCACACGACGTACCACCAAGACAGTCACAGGTCGACTACTGGGTCACGATATACACATAAAAAGTGTGTTCGTCACAGCACGTGTGTATAGGATCAACGCCCGCGTTGACACGATTCATGACGTATGTGTGTCGTGACGTCAAGGGTTCCACGATTTAGAAATACCACGATACAGATGGCGGACTTTCTTACTGTGTGGCGCTGTCGTGTTAGGTCTGTTATCGGACGCTGCTGCTAGTTCTATCGTTCACACTAACAAATGGTCACAAAATCCGATCGCAAACTATGTGTCGGGTGTAATGTTTTGGCCTCCGCCGAACCCTTGAGATTGACTCACCTGGGCTTTTATCAAACCTAGGGGGAGGTCATCCATAAATTACGTCACGCTTTTTGACGATTTTTACCTTCCCCCTCCCCTCCGTCATAAATAAGTCGTCACAAAAAGACAGACCCTTCTAAAATGACGTCACACCTCAGCCTACAACCTCCCCCCCCCCTCAAATTGATGTTGAATTTTTCTTAAAACATCGATATTTTTTCTAAAATCTTGTCAGAACTCTGTCAACAGAGTATTTTGATCATCTCCTATTACAATGTATTAAAACCGTTTTCTAAAACGCGAAATAATGGCTAAAACTCGTTTTCTAACATTGTTTTTTTATAATGCCAAAGTGTGACGTCACACCATCTAACCCCCCCCCCCCCCATCTCCCCCTCATCACACACCGTCACAAAATTACCGATCCCCCCTCCCCCTACGAGTGTGGCGTCATTTATGGACGACCCCTAGGTTAAGAACCACTGACCTATAATCTTTATTAAATTGTTAACAATGTATAACTTTTTTTAGGATACCTAAATTTCTGATGCTTTTTGGTGGTTGGTGCGAGTAAACTCTATTTAGTATATGTATATAGACCTGTAACAAACTTTTGATGGTTTAAACTTACGGCGAACTTGGCACCTAGATGTGGACACCTTAACAGGCGCATAAAGGAGCTGCAATAAAGGACGATAACTCATGATGGCTTATGAAATTAGTAAAGAGGTCTCCGGATTGCTGAAATTTCTTGGAAAATATTCAGTGGTCATTCTCTACCACCCATTTGATTAATAAGTTTTCCTTCACATCGGTGACTTAAAAAAGACGAAAGAGAGCATTAATATTTGTTCTTTACAAAATTGTCCCTTAGTGAAAAAGATTGTAATTTTTCAAAAATTATTAGTTAAAGTTGTACACATTATTTTTAGAATTTTACTTGGCATATTTCTAACGTGTGTTTGCTTTTAGATATTGCAAGAGTTTAATTTTTTTAAATATCTTTTTTTAAATAATATAAATTATCTTATATAGTCATTCATTATGATTTATGAGAAAATGTTTTCATAGTTTATTCTGTTTTTTTTTTAACGCATATTATCATTTTGTAAAATTGAGAAATTTTATTATTTGTTGCCTCCCTTGTTATATCTTTTGTATATTTAGCTTTTTAAACGGGAGATAATTCATTTACAATACTATTTTTTTTTAAATGTTTACGTTGTGAAAATATATTCTGCATGAATGAAGCACTACACTTATAGAGGGTGGGGCGGTGGTTTATTGTAGTGTTGTATAGTGTGGTGATGATGCCATGCTAAAACAGGAATTTTTATTGCCCCCCCCCCCGTGTCTGTATGTCAGCGTGAGTAGCCTTGTGTTCAAATATTTGAACTCTTTTTGACCCGTTTTTAATCGCACCAATGCCTTTCAATCATTCTAGGTAAACTCATTGTTTGTTGTTAACTCGACCAATCCAATTTTCAATCTGATATTAGATTAGCTGCGTTCAATTAACAAGAATGTACGGTGTGACATTAATCAAAAGTGATGTCATAAGGGCCGTCAACGGCCGACATGACGTCACACGCTTAAGGGCAGAAGGCTTGGAAATTGTACAGTAATTGGCTGTAAGCTCCATTCTTAGCGATTTTTTTTTGTACCCCTTGAACTTTACGGTTCATGGGACAGGTGAAATAGAGTTCACCTGTTTCGGTGACCTTGGCATATGAAGGCCCTATAGTGTAATTAATTAGGGGCAGTCGAGCTGGGCCTAATACAACATTTACAACAAAACCACTACCAGTTGTGTTAAAACCCTTACCGAAATTACTTGTAAAAAAAGTAAATTTAAAAAAGAATTATACATACTAGAAAGATCAATAACCAACTACTATAAGGAAATTATGAACTGAACAACAAGCATGCATATAAAATTAAAATTAGAGACATTTATTTTTACAAACAGGTTAAAATCATGAGGAATTTGAAATAAATAAATACATTCAACATATTTTATTAGTAATGACTTGAGAAATTATGTACAACTGGTATAGGACCATTATAAAACCAAGGCAGATTTACATTTTAAAATATGAACAAGCATTTGTTTGCAGATCCTTTCATTTTTTTAATATAGAAAACTGTAATAATTTTTTATTATCTAGCTACCACTTCTAAAGGTTTGAGGTCATGCATAAGGATGTCAAATTCCTAGGGTTGGAGGGGGGTGGGGAGGGACTCCAGGGGAAGGTGGGGAATGCATGATCAGGGGCGTAACGAGGGGGCGGGGGCGGGGGTGCGGACCGCACCGGGTGACACCATTTAGGGGGGTGACACCAAGGCAAAAAATAGCAAAATATATAGAGAAATACTTGAGAGGGGTGGGGGGTGCAAATCGAAAACCTGAAGTTAATGTTATGTGAAAACATTTTTCCTGCGTAAAATGTATATTAACTTGCGAGTTTGTTTTCTTCACGTGTATAGTACACACGTCACAAGTGTAAATGTGGTATTACTAATTACCACATGGGTGAGAAATTATTGTTCTACTAAGTTTACTACTCTGTTCTACAAATACAAGTTTTAAACTGTCTAGGCTTATCATCACAAATTTTGTAACATTTAGATGAAAGACTCTAGTATCTAAAAGAAATAATTTTAAAAATATACATTTAAATGCCCAGTAATTTTAAATGCTTAGAAAAAGACAAATCTGACCCCTCTACAATTTTCAACATTTACATGTCTACAACACTTCAATTAAAGATCACTAGAAAATATATTTTGTTAGATACATCTCTATTTATATGGCATGATCATCTTTTAAACATTTTTTTTAAAAACAAGATAGGTATATAATCTTAACAATGAGCAGTAAAAATTTGGAGTAGTAGTCCCTGGTCATACATCAGAGAATATTTAGTTCAGATACATCTCTATTTATATGATGATATGATTATCTTTAAACATTTTTTTATAAAAACAAGATAGGTATATAATCAGAACAATGAGCAGTAAAAATTTGGAGTAGTAGTCCCTGGTCATACATCAGAGAATATTTAGTTCAGATACATCTCTATTTATATGATGATATGATTATCTTTAAACATTTTTTTATAAAAACAAGATAGGTATATAATCAGAACAATGAGCAGTAAAAATTTGCAGTAGTAGTCCCTGGTCATACATCAGAGCTATTTAGCTCAAAGACAAAAAAATTAAGGCCTTCATCATTAAGTAGACACGGCAGTGTAAAATATGGTTTTTCAAGGTGATAAAAGTATTGGACGGAATGATACAAAAATAACCAGCCCACCAACAAATACATTGGTAATAAATCTAGTTGGTAAAGTAACTCTATATATCAATAGAAAACTTAAGTATTTCTATATTAATTTTTATAGGCAACTTATTCAAAAGTAGAATCCTGTTTGAATATTAAATTACATGTTTAAATTGTTTCATCCCTCAGATAATTTAGAAATGAAACTGAGTACAAGATTAATTAACATTGATCAATCTACAAACTTTATAAATATCTATACTGACTTGTCATGCGTTAGTTGGTTACAAAATGCGAAAGAAAACTAAAACATCACAGCATCAGCTCTGGAAACTATGCAAAGAAAATAATTTTAAAAAATTTTTTGTTTCAAAATTGCTCGTCTAGCATGTATGTCTTGTGTACCGTGTTCAAAGATTGTTCAGATGTGGACCTCTTCATTTTGGACGGGGGAGTAACTCCTCCATGTTGAGACGTTGAGTATAAAAGATGATCCGTACCCAAATTTTCTAAACTTCTGCGGAAATCAGAAACATCAAAGTGATGAGCATCTGCACCTGATTTCAAAATTTTTGAACCACCGTGTCGTTTCTTTGTTCTGAACTGTGGCTCTGAAGAAACTTTGTTCTCCGTCACATGCCATGGCATTCTGTGAGTATCAAATTTGTTAGGTAATGACTTCTTATACAGAGGATCAGATTCAGTAAACTGGCTTCTAAGTTCTGCATTACAGGTCTCAATAGGGCTGTTTCTGGGATTTCTGTTGATTCTTTCTTTGTAATGAGTTCTTTCCCTTGATTGAGTGACCTCCCTTTCACTCTCACCACCTTCTGGGATTACATCCCCACGCCTGTAGTTTTGGCTCTCTGGGCTGCAGTCACTCTGTTGCTCCCAGAAGGTTGAGGTCATCCCTTTGACAGGGGCTTGGTGTTTGCTGTGGTTCGTCTCAATTTCATCTGAAAAAGCGTTTTGAAATTTAACCTCTTTCTTAGGTAGAAGGTCTTCTAAACTTTTATAACGGATTAGAGAATTTTGATCTTCCTTATTAGAAGTGACAGTAATCTTTGACATATCAGAAGGAAAAGTGAACTCAGCTGATTTCAGAACATACATCTTGCCTTTCTTGGAGGGGGAAGTGTGGTGATGCTGATGGTTCCTGTTGAGATTTCCTAAGCCAATCTGCTTCCAGTTGCTGGATCTGTTTGGTTCACCCCCACCTGAAAAACTATCCTTCGGCTTTAATTTAGACAGCGGGGTGGATGTTGGTGCTGGGCTAGCAGAGGAACTTGACCGGTGATTCTTAAACAAGGGGTAGTGCTCGGTATCAGAAGAACTAACAGACTCACGGTCCTCGTCTTCGTATGAGTTCACATTACGAACGGTGGCTAACTCAACAGCTCTCTTGCCCTTGTGATTCGGAATGTGAGATGACGTCCCTTTTTTACTACTCTCTGAATAGGAATGCCCTTCATAATGAGAGTGAGCCTGGGTGGTGTGCTCAGGCTCCAGAGTGAAAAAACTGTCGTTGCTAGCCACAGATGAATCATCTGTCTTATCCCACACATTTCTGTAGAGTTCCAAAGCACTTTGGCCAGTCGTTCTGGTTGACGTCTGCTTCTCTCTGTTCATTCGGAGCCACCTCTCTTCACCAGAGCCTGGTTTTACAAAACCTTCCTCATCCACAAATCTCTCACTATCATTGCTTCCTCCTACATTCTTATTCCGATCTTTAACTCCAGAAAATTTTCCGTTATTTTCTGAAGTGCCGGTAAAATTCCTATGAACCTCACTTAAACTGGTGTAGGAATTAAAATCTGGGTCCTTTGTTAACTCCTCCATTGAAGATTTCCAGGGTGTTTCTCCACTGCGAGCCCAGTTAGCAATTCTTACCTTGGCTTCTAAAAGTTTCATATCAGCACGAGGAGATGTTTTAGGGTTTTCTGGATGCGATGCTGATGTTCTTGATGGGGACAAATGAGCAGGGGAGAGGCATGGAGTTTTTGGTAGGTCTATGTGATGTCTGGTTCTGGCTCTTGTCCTTGCATGGGCTGCTGGTGATGACTGGTTAGAACTGGATGGTGTGTGGTAGAAAGTGTCCTCAAACAGAACAACGTTATCCAATCGTGGGTGCTCACGATTATTCCCCGAGGTGTTGTCCTTGGGTTGTGGACTATGTGGGTGCTCAGCCTGATGATCCGTTACGTTGGATTTGTTCCGCTTCATAGTTTCTGTTTTTGTTTTTTCTGAGTGCTCTTCTGGGTTGGGGTGTTCCCCTAGGTTATCATAGTTGGATCTAGGCGTGGAAGGTGCAGAGTCGGATGTGGATATATTTGAAATGATCCTTCGTGCCACGATGTCCATTGCCTGCTCTACAGCTTTGATCGTGCAATCGTCTACTTCACTGAAAAAAAAATAATAATAAAGAAAACTGTTTTTTATCAAAATAAAACGTTTATGGGGAAACAAAAAAATAAAAATTATTATGATAGATTAAAAACTATGCTGATGTATATAAATATATATAAATTGGACTTGGAAAAATTGTTTGTATAAAAGTCAATATATTAGAAAAAAAATTGACGAGGACTAACCCACACAGAAGAGCTCTGATCTTTGTCTTACACTTGGAACTAAACTCTTCAACAGTGTTGGCCTTCTGCTTGTAGATCTCAGCCTTCATCGTGGAAAATGATGAAACAAAATCCTAAAAGTTTAACAAAGAAACAATAATTTATTTTAGGTTTTCAATACTATTTTCTTCTTCTATTTTCCCAATTATTATAGTAAAAAAAAAATCATAGATAAATCATTTATTTTAACACTAACAATTTTTCAAATTCATTTTTCTAATACTAACATAAAAATGTCTTAGAAAAACACAAGTAAAGCAGGCAAATATTAAATCTTGGTAACAAGAGTGTGCCTATTTTTTAACTACATGACATATGAGTCTACTCAGTTCTGATGGTTACCCATCAATGGAGATGCGTTAAACTAAATAAAAAACAGAGGGATGAGATCGTGCTATGTGTGACTCAGCCATGCTTGAAAATCATTAATGTCTTACTTTCTGATGTGACCTTGACCTCATCAGCTCTTTTTTTAAACTGTCCAGGGCAGCCTGGTGGTCATCGACAAGGTCCCTGGCCTTGACCTTCCAGATGGAGTTGATGTGGTCTTTCTCCGCCTCATGTTTCTCTCTCTGCTCGTCCAGCTTCTGAAGGCAAGAGAAAATAGTCACATACACTAATTAGAGATGGGACATAAGAATGTGTTGCCATGGATACATTCACTCTGACGAAGATGCACATCATTCTCGAAAACAGCAAAGGGCCCAAAGGCATTTTTGTTATCTTAAATTAAGAATTGATCGACATTAGCAAATAGCAAAAAATGACCACATGTACCTTGTAGCATAATAAAACGTATTTCCACAAAATGTAGTAAAATTAAAGTGTATTTGTATAATCTATATATATAATTCTCTTCTGGGAGCAGTTCGAAAACAAGCTGCAAACGCGCGCCTTGCAGTCCCCTCTCTTCCTCTCTATCGCTACCACCCCCCCCCCCACCCCCCTCAAATGGTCAGGTGAGTTGTAGTTCACGCTAAATATTTACAAAACAATCGTAGAGCCGGGTTTGGTGACGGCTATTAGGGGCAGATAATTCAGTTTGAAACTATTTTAAAGGAGGAGGTAACTAAGAAGAGGCTGCTTTCACGGGGGGGGGGGGGGGGGGAATGGGGGTTTAGTGTTTTAAAGCAAATATTTTCAGTGGCAGCATTGGTACTGTCGAATTCACCAACAACTAAATAGCGGGTCGGCTCGTTAGTTTGTATTTGCGCAGTTTTCAATTGCACAATTTTCCATTTGTATATTTTTCTAGGAACCTACATTTACATCTACAATTAATTACAAGTGTCGAAACTCTAACAGTAATTGTAGTTTTCATAGCAGCAACACTAGCACAAGAAAAAAAACATTGTTTATAATTAAACAGTTTTAAACATATCCTGATGACATAAAATATCTGAAAGAAACATGAGATTTTGTTCTCTTATGAAAGAACCTAAAACTTTGTTTAAAAGAAGAACTGTTAATCCGCCCACACTCAACTCTCACACCTTGTGAGGGACCTGAAGAGTGCAGCAGATTAGACCAGGGGTCTCCAAACTATGGCCCGCTGGCCGGATGCGGCCCGCGATGTCCTCTCATCCGGCCCGCGGAGATCTTTTTGTGCACGGAAAAAACGTTTGTTGGTGATGGCTGAGGAACTTTGCCCAGAAAAATCAAATACAAGCCTGGAAGAAACTGGCCCCCGAACTTAAATTTGATAGTTAATGCGGCCCTCGGACTGAAAAGTTTGGAGACCCCTGGATTAGACAAAGCTAACATTTGTCTTCTTCAATGTGTCAGTAGATGGGACGGAGTGGTCTAGTGGTAAGCAATAGAGAGCTAGACTGTTTAACTCTTCTATTTTTGGGAGAGCGCACTGTCCAACACTCATAAAAGAAATACCCTCTATATATTAAACGTGTGGCCTAGTAGTACAGCGCTAGACTCCTGACCCAAAAGACACGAGTTCGAATCCAAGTTTAAGTCAGAAAAACATCATTAAATCCTCCCAGCTATGATAGATACCTAACTCACGTAAGCGAAAATATAGGCATAGTGCTGACAACATTATCCCTTCATATGCAGACGTCAACAAAACAGAAGAACTCTACTTCATCTACCCCATGTGTCTTGGGCATGAAGAGGATAAGATGTATGGGACAGTAGAAAAATGTGTTATCTCACTGGCGTTCATTACCAAACGCCTCAAAAATAAAATTTTATCCCTCAAATTATTTTTTTTAAAAGTAGTTTTATAAAAAGTATATACAACATGTAGTTAATAAATAAATATATACAACATGTCCTTAATAAATAAGTATATACAACAAATTCTTAAATCAAAACCAGAATGTTGACCTACTCTAGCTAGCAGAATCTTGGCATCTTTCATGGCAGTTTTGTGACGCTGATCAATTTCCTTGAACTTCTCCACCAGGTCAGCATGTTCTCTTTTGGAAATCTCCAACTGTTCTCTACAGAACTCAATGCTGGAGGTCAACCTCTGTTTCTCCTCTCTGTAGGAGTGCTCTAGGGCTTTGATGACCTTGACAGCCTCGTCACGCTCAAAGCAGGCCTGGGCAGGTGTAAGAAATGTGATGTGATGTTATTTTGGTGCTTGAGGTGTAGCCATAGCCAAACTTTGATGGTTGCTTGACTCAAGTTTGAGAGAGTAAAGGTGGCTGGGTATAGTGGAAATGTGTTGTGGTTAGTTATTTTGGTGCTTGATGTGTAGCCATAGCCCAGCTCTGATGGGTGCATGATTCAAGTTTCATAAAGTAAAGGTGGCTGGGTATAGTGGAAATGTGTTTTGATGTTAGTTATTTTGGTGCTTGATGTGTAGCCATGACTCAGCTCTGATGGGTGCTTGACTCAAGTTTGAGAAAGTAAAGGTGGCTGGGTATAGTGGAAATGTGTTGTGATGTTAGTTATTTTGGTGCTTGATGTGTAGCCATAGCCCAGCTTTGATGGGTGCTTGACTCAAGTTTGAGAAAGTAAAGGTGGCTGGGTATAGTGGAAATGTGTTGTGGTTAGTTATTTTGGTGCTTGATGTGTAGCCATAGCCCAGCTGTGATGGGTGCTTGACTCAAGTTTGAGAAAGTAAAGGTGGCTGGGTATAGTGGAAATGTGTTGTGATGTTAGTTATTTTGGTGCTTGATGTGTAGCCATAGCGCAGCTTTGATGGGTGCATGATTCAAGTTTCATAAAGTAAAGGTGGCTGGGTATAGTGGAAATGTGTTGTGATGTTAGTTATTTTGGTGCTTGATGTGTAGCCATAGCCCAGCTCTGATGGATGCATGATTCAAGTTCAAGAGAGTAAAGGTGGCTGTGTATAGCGGTGACCACATTTTCACTTCAAATATGGACATCCATGAAACAGGTGAACTCTACTTCACCTGCTTCATGGACTGTAGGATTCACAAGGGTACTTTAATTATTATTTATTTTATTTTATTGCAACCAATGTGGAGATATGATTTGTGCATATGTAGGATCTTTAAGATGTTTGAAGGGTGAATATATTGAAGTATTGTTAAGGTAAGCTGATGTGAATATGTACGACATATGAATGACAGAGTTAGTCCTAACCCAACTGTGACAGGTACATGAGTTGTGTTCAGAAAAGTAAAGGCAGATGGGTATAGTGCTGAATACACTATCCCTTCATATACTACAATGGCTATTTAATCTAAATAGATAACTAGGTCAAAAATTTAAAAAATTCACATTACCTTTGACCTCGCCTCAACTTCAGATTTCATCCTCTCAGCAAACACAGCCTCTCTCTGCTTCACCTCCCTCCTCTCACTCTCCACCTCCTCCTCCCATTCAATTCTCTGTCTCTGTATATACTTCCTCATTTCATCACTCATTTCCTCTCTCATTCTCCTCACCTCTTCCTCCTGTATTTCTCTAGTCCCATCCTCCATTCTCTTTTTCTCCTCTCTCAATCTTTCCTCTAAGCTGGCCGCAAGCTTACTGGCAAAACTTGCTTCCATTTTTCTCTTGGCTTCATCCCGCCATGCCAAGACTTCCTGTTCTAACCTGCTCTTCTCTTTCAACACCTGCTCATTCAACTGACTCACAAATTTCTTTTTCAGATTACTAAATTCCACCGCGATTTTTTCCTCAACTTTTCTTTCCACTTCCTCGTTGTTATTCTTCTCCATAGTTTCTTTATTCTTATCAATTTCTTCCTTCATTTTCTTTCTTTCCTCTCCCACCCCCTCTTCGACACCTTGCTGGATCTCTTTTTGGATATAATCTTTTGCCTCTTTTAACCAAGCTAGCCGCAATACTTGCATGCGTTCTGTGACTTTCTTCTCAACCTCGTCATTATTCACTTTCAGCTTTTCAACTTCTTTTTTCACACGTTCCGCAACCTCTTCTTCAATCATTCTTTCTCTTTCTAAAGCATTCAACAGATTTTTCTTTGCTACCATCCCTTGCTTCGATTCTTCCTTTTCTTTGGTGAGTTTTTCAATCTCTTTAGCATGTTCAGACTTTAAATTTTCACAAAAAAATTTCATTTCTTCTCGTACATTTTTTTCGCATTCCTTTACTGCCTTGTTTAATTCAAATTTATATTTTTCTTCATAGCTGTTTTTAATTTTCTCTAGTTCTGTTTGAATTGCTTCTTTTTCTTTCAACACCTTTCCTAATTCTGCTTTTAAAATCAGTTCTTGTTCTCTCAATGCCTTGTCTAATTCTATTTTTGAATTCAAATCTTTTTCATTTAAAGCCTTTTCTAATTCCACTTTTGTTTTGGTCTCAGTTTCTTTCAAGATCTTTTCCATTTCCATTTTAGCTAATGCCTCTTTATCTTTCATCACTTTTTCCATTTCCATTTTAGATAATGCCTCTTTATCTTTCATAACTTTTTCCATTTCCATTTTTACTTTGCTCTCACATTCTTTCAAGGCATTTTCCAGGTTAACTTTTGCACGATCCTCCCTCTCTTTGAGAAAATACCTAAGCTCATTCTGAAACTTTTCTTCTCGGTTCTTCAATGAATTCTCAGACTCTTTTCTATGCTGGAGCTTCAAGTCCTCAATTTGTGTTTCGTATTTCTCTTTTAAATCCTGAAGCTTTGAATCTAAATTAAAAAACAATACATTTTAATTTCTTTACATAATTTATTAAACTCACATAACTTACTGCGCTCTAGAATATTTAAAAAAACAAAATCTTAAAGTTTATTATTAAGGCTAAATGAATATCACAATATATCATATTTTAAAAATATAGTTTTCGTTTAATATTGTTGATTAAATTTTATATATTCTAAATAAGAATATCCCATAATTTCTTACTAATCTGCATTCTAATTATTTTTTCTCAATTTTAATAGTCAACAAGTTATGTGCCATATGGTCCTATTGACTCTGCTTTTCTTACTGGATATTCTTCTATAACCTAAGAACATCCAAGAACAAACTCTAACTACTGCAAGGCAAAAGATGTTTCATTGTGGAGTTTTCTCTCCTTGATGGGTTGGTGTCCCCCAACTTATGAACATCATTTGTCCCGAGGTCCAAACTCCGGAATATTGGGTTAGCAAGCATGTGCTTTGCATCTTGACCATGGCATCTCATTGAATTCACATATAGTTATGTCAATGTCAGGATACCAAATATAATTATGTTAATTTCAGGATACCAAATATAATTATGCTAATTTCAGGATACCAAATATAATTATGTTAATTACAGGATACCAAATATAATTATGTTAATTTCAGGATACCAAATATAATTATGTTAATTTCAGGATACCAAATATAATTATGTTAATTACAGGATACCAAATATAATTATGTTAATTACAGGATACCAAATATAATTATGTTAATTTCAGGATACCAAATATAATTATGCTAATTTCAGGATACCAACTATAATTATGTTAATTACAGGATACCAAATATAATTATGTTAATTACAGGATACCAAATATAATTATGTTAATTACACGATACCAAATATAATTATGTTAATTACACGATACCAAATATAATTATGTTAATTTCAGGATACCAAATATAATTATGTTAATTTCAGAATACCAAATATAATTATGTTAATTACAGGATACCAAATATAATTATGTTAATTACAGGATACCAAATATAATTATGTTAATTACAGGAGACCAACCTCTCTCTGTTCCAGCCAACCAGACCTGCCTTGCCTCAGTCACAGCTGCAGCTATCATACCTGGGTGTGTTTCCTGGCACTTTAGTTTCACTTCCAGAACCTGATAATACAACAAAACATTCAGTCAAAGATCACAACCATTTGAAGCTATATATTTCCAACAAGTTTCAGGTCCTACAAGAACTAATAACAAAACATTGAGCCAATGATCACAAGTATTTGGATCTCCACATTTCCAACAAGTTTCAGGTCCTACAGGAACTAATAATAAAACATTGAGTCAATGATCACAAGTATTTGGATCTCCACATTTCCAACAAGTTTCAGGTCCTACAAGAACTAATAACAAAACATTGAGTCAATGATCACAAGTATTTGAAGCTCCATATTTCCAACAAGTTTCAGGTCCTACAAGAACTAATAACAAAAAATTTGGTTAAAGATTGCAACTATTAGAAGCTCCATATTTCCAACAAGTTTCAGGTCCTACAAGAACTAATAACAAAACATTTAGTCACATATTGCAACTGTTTTATACTATACAACAACACCTAAAAATTGTCAAATAAACCAACCAATGTCTGGGTGCATTTGTTTTCATTCATTCATGCATTGAAATGATAATGTATAGAGAAGCCAGATGTTTAGCACCCCAGGCATAAAGAAAAACATTCCCCTATCTGTCCTGACAATGCTTAGGACAATGCTTAGTGAACTCTACTTCACTTGCCCCGTAGACTGTCAGGTTTGAAAGGGAACTTTACTTTTTTTACCATCTATCTATGACAACCATGACTTCAATACATAATATATACAGGCTCAATGTAACTCCTAAATGAATTAATAAACAAAATACTGTTACAAGTCAATACATAATTTAGCACATTTAGTTACAACTGTTCACTTTTCAATTTGATCTTTTTATAAGTGTACACTATTTGCATACAAGTTTATAAATTGTCAATATGATAGACCTATTTGAAAGATGTGGTTTATTATTTCCACAAATTTTAATGAATAATTAACTCATAAAAACTGTTTTAGTTTTAAGTAAAATGCACAAAAAAATAAGTTTTATCTATTATGGTAAGCACATAGCATTTGGGCCAAAAAATAAATGAGTGTGTTTTTAATGAAGGTGCAGTGATACGAATTTTATGCATTTACTCAAAAAACTTTGAGTTGAATTTAAAAGCTAATTTTTCATCCTCACCTTAAGTTCCATCTCTCTTTCAAAATCTGCTTTCAATTCTGCAACAATTTTTTCCCGCAGTGACTCTACATCAGCAGCTTTGGTTGATTCGTCCTTCTGTGCCCTGTCCCACATCTCCTTTTCTTTATGATGCTCATCTTTCAGCTGGTGGATCAATATAAGTTATTTAAATCAGGATTCAATTTTAAAGTAATAATGTGTGGAACAATATGTAACAAGAACCATTCTACTACAAAATTGGACAAAATTAGAGGATAAATTATACAATAAATTTTATTTATATTCCAATTTTATTTTTGGAGAAAGAAAAAAATTCTAAAATTTATTTAAAGTAAAAATGTATAGTTATTTTGATAGTATAAGATTTTGTCATTTAAGCTTTAAAGTAAGGTTAAATTACTTCCAACATTACAAAAATGATAAGCATGGTGACTAAGAAAACAAAAGGATAACTCTAACCTTCTGAAGTTGTTCTTCCAACTGCTTATCTAACTTGGCTTTCAGTTCCTCTTCTTGTACTCTTGTCTCCTCACACAAGCTGACATACATAGCCTTGACCTTGTCAAGATCAGTCAGTGCAGATTTCAGATCCTGTCTTTAAAATTAAAAAAAATTTTAATTAAATATTTTTTTTAAATTAAAATTTAATTAAAAATTAAAATATCTTTTAGGAATTACAAGCAAACATTTAAAACAAGAAAAGCCCAAGAAAGGAGTCAAAAGAAATTTCTTTTAAAATTTTATACGCAAAAACTTTTTAACATATGTGAATTTGAACTACAATAAACATAGTGAATCATGTTGAGCTAAAAAGTCAAACTTATGCATGAAATAGCAGTAAGTAGAAATATTTAAGAAATACTGGGTTTTTCTTCTTATAGGATAAATTACTCATAAGACATTTTTTTTTTAAATTTAAAAAAAAATAAAATAATTTGCTTCTTGAAATATTAAATTTCTTAAAATGCAAACAAACATCCAATCATACAAACCACATAAATGAACCTAGTGTAGCACCTCATCATTCAACTTACCTCAATGTCTGTATCTCTTGCTTGTACTGATCAGCTAACACTGACCTCTCCATGCTATGCTTCTCCTCTAGCTCTGCACGCAGGTTTTCTATGGTCATCCTGTTGACCTCTTCCATGGTCCTCTGGCACCTCTCCAGCGCCGAGTGCTTGTCTGCATCAAAGTCTGTGACCATCTGGGAGATCTGCTGGCTCAGCTCGGAGTTGATTTCTGTCAGTTTGGCCTCGCTGGCGCCGAGCTCTTCCAGACGTTTCTTGTAGTCCTGGGGAAAACAGGGGTACAAAGATAGAATATAGGATACATGAGCTGTATTATAGAAGGGGAGTGTTACATAGGAGTGTGTTACATAGGGGTGTGTTACATAGGGGTGTGTTACATAGGGGTGTGTTACATAGGGGGGGTGTTACATAGGGGGTGTGTTACATAGGAGTGTGTTACATAGAGTTGTGTTACATAGGGGTGTGTTCTATAAGGGGTGTGTTCTTTGGAAGGTATGTTCTATAGGGGGTGTGTTTTATAGAAGGTGTGTTCTATGGAAGGTGTGTTCTATGGAAGGTGTGTTCTATGGAAGGTGTGTTCTATGGAAGGTGTGTTCTATGGAAGGTGTGTTCTATAGTTGGTGTGTTCTATGGAAGGTGTGTTCTATAGTTGGTGTGTTTTATGGAAGGTGTGTTCTATGGAAGGTGTGTTCTATGGAAGGTGTGTTCTATAGTTGGTGTGTTCTATGGAAGGTGTGTTCTATAGTTGGTGTGTTCTATAGTTGGTGTGTTTTATGGAAGGTGTGTTCTATGGAAGGTGTGTTCTATGGAAGGTGTGTTCTATGGAAGGTGTGTTCTATAGTTGGTGTGTTCTATGGAAGGTGTGTTCTATAGTTGGTGTGTTCTATGGAAGGTGTGTTCTATAGTTGGTGTGTTCTATGGAAGGTGTGTTCTATAGGGGGTGTGTTCTATTGAAGGTGTCTTCTATTGAAGGTGTCTTCTATTGAAGGTGTCAATTGAGGTGTGTTCTAAAGGAAGTGTGTTCTAAAGGAAGTGTGCTCCATAGGGGTATGTTCCATAAAGGTAAGCTTTATAGGAAGTGTGTTCTATAGGGGCTATAGTCAATCGTTGTAAGCAGGAATACAAAGATACAATAAAAGATATGGTCAGGTATGTTAATATAAGGGGTATGTTCTGTAGAAGTCGTAAGCAGGAATACAAAGATACAATAAAAGATATGCTGAGGTATGTAATATAGGGGGGGGGTGTTCTATAGGAGTCGTAAGCAGGGATACAAAGATACAAACAAGGCATGTGCTGTGATTTAAAAGAAATGTATGGTTAGTGGTGTGGTCAGTGTAGTTCATGGCTTGTTATAGTCAGTCATGTATGTGATGAATGGTTGGTGTGGTTGAGAGTTACCTCTATATCCTCTAGAAGAACAGACTTTTCCCTCTTAAGTACATCAATATCCTTCTTCAGCTTGGCTTCTATAATACCTACACCATTTTGTTCACTGGTTAAACTATCAATCTCTTGTAAGCGTTTCTAAAAAAATAAATTGTGAATATTATTTCATTATTATAGAACTTCTTATATAGCTACATCTGAACTTAATTTTGTGTTAAGTATTCAGATATCTCAAAGCTTGATAAATAAGTTCTAAACAATTTAAAAATAAGAACATAATTGAAATTCAGTATTATAATAATACAGATATATTAGGATATTACAAGTTGATATTAAAAAAAAACATTTATATAATTAGAAACAACCTATAGTCTGAATTCACTTGTTTCTGTGACCTCGGCATATGAAGAGATAGTGTGGTCAGCACTATGCCCAGCCGCCTTTAATTTCCCTAACGTGAGTTAGGTACCCATCGGAGTTGGGTGGACTCAGGGACGGTCTTCTGACTTGAACCCGGATTCGAACTCGAGACTAACGGGTTAGTAGTTGTTACGGGCCAGTTGTAGGTTAGTTTAGAATAGGTTAGAATAGTCTAGAACTAGGGGAGAGTGCCTGTGTGAGTGGAGTTCACCTTACTGTGTAGTTACCCTTGTGTGTTTATGTCTTGTAATCCCAAGGTCGAATGCGGGTATAAAAGGGCGAGTGAACGATTGTGGGGGCAGTCAGCGGGTTAGTAGCGGTTAGGACGAGGGCTGTTATGGTACGCTTGAATGCATTGAGACAAATAAAAGGAGTGAAGTTATACACGAAGTGTTGTTGTTGATTTGAAACGAACCCAGAACGTAACAACTGGTGGCCAGTATAAATCAAGTAGAAGCATAAACTTGATGCTGTCCTGTCGTTTGCCTGATGCTGTCCTGATGTTTGATTGATGCTGTCCTGTCGTTTGCCTGATGCTGTCCTGTCGTTTGCCTGATGCTGTCCTGATGTTTGCCGGTTGCTGTCCTGATGTTTGCCGGTTGCTGTCCTGACGTTTGCCGGTTGCTGTCCTGACGTTTGCCGGTTGCTGTCCTGACGTTTGCCGGTTGCTGTCCTGACGTTTGCCGGTTGCTGTCCTGATGTTTGCCGGTTGCTGTCCTGATGTTTGCCGGTTGCTGTCCTGATGCTTGCCGGTTGCTGTCCTGATGCTTGCCGGTTGCTGTCCTGATGTTTGCCGGTTGCTGTCCTGACGTTTGCCGGTTGCTGTCCTGACGTTTGTCGGTTGCTGTCCTGATGTTTGTTGGATGCTGTTCTGACGTTTGCCGGATGCTGTCCTGACGTTTGTTGGATGCTGTCCTGACGTTTGCCGGATGCTGTCCTGACGTTTGCCGGATGCTGTGGGGATGCCAATAGCCCGACGCTATAGCTGTTTGACAGAGTATGTAACAACATCGACTGTGAGTTGCAAAGTTTTGTGATGTAAAATGTTTGAGATATGAGTAGGAGTCGTAAACCAGTGTAGCCATAGAGCGCACAGGGTAGACTCAAATTTTTGTGATGTAGAGTGTTTGAGATATGAGTAGGAGTCGTAAACCAGTGTAGCCATAGAGCGCACAGGGTAGACTCAAATTTTTGTGATGTAGAATGTTTGAGATATGAGTAGGAGTCGTAAACCAGTGTAGCCATAGAGCGCAGGTTGACTCAAATTTTGAGGTAGAATGGTTGAGATATGAGTAGGAGTCATAAACCAGTGTAGCCATAGAGCGCAGGTTGACTCAAATTTTTTGTGATGTAGAATGGTTGAGATATAGGTAGGAGTCGTAAACCAGTGTAGCCATAGAGCGCACAGGGTAGACTCAAATTTTTGTGATGTAGAATGGTTGAGATATGAGTAGGAGTCGTAAACCAGTGTAGCCATAGAGCGCACAGGGTAGACTCAAATTTTTGTGATGTAGAATGTTTGAGATATGAGTAGGAGTCGTAAACCAGTGTAGCCATAGAGCGCAGGTTGACTCAAATTTTTGTGATGTAGAATGGTTGAGATATGGGTAGGAGTCATAAACCAGTGTAGCCATAGAGCGCAGGTTGACTCAAAATTTTTTTGTGATGTAGAATGGTTGAGATATGGGTAGGAGTCATAAACCAGTGCAGCCAGAGAGCGCACAGGGTAGACTAAAAAAAATTGTGGTCTGGAAAGTTCTTAGATTCGGTACGATGCAACTGGGTGTGTATGATTTTTTTTTGTGTTTGTTAGTTACACGGATGATTTGTGCTAGCTCGAAATTGTAGCAGTTCTGTATGTTGTCATTATGTATTTCATTGTATATACAATCTGTCATATACATTCTTCGGAATGTATATTTTTAACTTGTCTACTAGTGTATGTGTATGAAAGGCTTTGTGTTTTTTATTTAGCTAGGATTTGTTAGTCAGTATTTGTAGTTATTACTACAAATACTTAGGTGGGGGGTAGTGTTACGGGCCAGTTGTAGGTTAGTTTAGAATAGGTTAGAATAGTCTAGAACTAGGGGAGAGTGCCTGTGTGAGTGGAGTTCACCTTACTGTGTAGTTACCCTTGTGTGTTTATGTCTTGTAATCCCAAGGTCGAATGCGGGTATAAAAGGGCGAGTGAACGATTGTGGGGGCAGTCAGCGGGTTAGTAGCGGTTAGGACGAGGGCTGTTATGGTACGCTTGAATGCATTGAGACAAATAAAAGGAGTGAAGTTATACACGAAGTGTTGTTCTTGAATTCGAAGCTAACCCGGACGTAACAGTAGTTTAGCTCTCTATCGCTAGATCACTCCGAAACAAGTGAACTCTACTTCAATTGCCCCATAGACCGTCAGGTTTGAAAGGGAAACTTTACTTTACTTTACTGAATTAAGGTTTAAAGAATATTTATTATATCAGAATTCAACGTGTTTGTATAACTTTTGCGCTGGAATATAAAAGTGGAAACATAATTTAAAAAAAAAAAACAGTGGTCATGAAATTAATGAGTCTTGTTTAATTTTACTAATATTAAAAGCTACGTGCTTTTTAATTCTTTCCCCTGAAAAATTAATATCTTAGAATGTGTTAACCCAAAGATGATCTATAGTTTTTCATTCCCTACAAATAACACACAATTTTATATCTAAACAATAGAGATAGTTGAAACGAGACACAGAATGAACAAATGGCAAAATGATTTACTTACAAGTAAGTAATTTATAAAAGGAGAATATTAATTTTTTGCATGAAAGATCAAGTTAAAGAAAACAATTTTTTTTAAACGATCAGAAAAAGATTTTAAAATTTTCAATTTAACATCTTTAAATAGAAATTACGGATTTCTGAAAAAGAAACCAGAAAGAAATGAGACCTCAGACTATCGATTGTACAATTTTTATTGAACAATGACTAAATCAAGCACTACAAAACCAACCTTTTGTTCATCACAAGTCCTCTCAAGAGAATCAAGCACTACAAAACCAACCTTTTGGTGAATCAAGCACTACAAAACCAACCTTTTGGTGAATCAAGCACTACAAAACCAACCTTTTGGTGAATCAAGCACTACAAAACCAACCTTTTGGTGAATCAAGCACTACAAAACCAACCTTTTGGTGAATCAAGCACTACAAAACCAACCTTTTGGTGAATCAAGCACTACAAAACCAACCTTTTGGTGAATCAAGCACTACAAAACCAACCTTCTGTTCATCACAAGTCCTCTCAAGTGAATCAAGTACTACAAAACCAACCTTTTGGTGAATCAAGCACTACAAAACCAACCTTTTGTTCAGCACAAGTCCTCTCAAGAGAATCAGATCTCCTCTCTGTTTCCTCCAGCTTCTCTCGCAGGAACCTGACCTCCTGTGTGCGCTCGGTGACCTCTGCCCTCTTCTGTTTGTTGCTGTGTATACACTTTTCCAGTTCCTGTTTGAGGGATCTTATGAGATCCTCTGTACTCTTGTTGTCTAGATATCTGCCATGTGACATAAAATAAGCAGTTAACATTCTATACATGAATGACAGTTTTTTAAATGAAAAAATTAAAAACATTAACTTATCTTTTAGATATCTGTTGCAGAGAATTATAACAAGTTTACATTAATCCACGCCTCATACAAATTGGACACACAACCGCCCCCTCCCCACATCTTTTTGTCATCCCCACCGCAAGTATGTTCAAATACCATCATTGCAATTATTAATTTAAATCAGTTTTACAACAAATGCAATGTTAATGTGAAATTTAACTAGATTAGTTACTAGTTAGTCTCATAAAGGGGGTCGGCGTGGTCGAGTCGGTAAAAGCTCATGGTTGCTAAACCGAAAAGTCTCGAGTTCGAACCCTCGAGTTTTTCTAATGCCCAGATCAAGGTGAGACTTACTTGTCCATGGACTGGGGTGTGCTGAAGTCGAGAGTTTTTCTAATGCCGAGATCCGTCATAGAATCATCATGAGAAGCTGGCACATGGCTGGCTGTGAAGACACCCAGACTAGAAGCTGACTCAAGCATGCACAGTTGCTCCTTTAGTTCCTTCACTTCATCCTACAAAAGAAAAAGAAATTTTTATATGCGGTGAACACTTGTTAATCTAATATTTTAAAAATACAAAAATATAAAGAAATTAAAAATTTTAAGTTTGGTTATTATTAAATTTTCCCTAGGTGATACAAGTCATGAAAAATCTCAGTATCTATACATATTGCAGAGCCAGCGATTGTAATAGAACATCAGTTTTACCAAATGTATCAACACAAGACATATAAGCCTCACCTGGAAAGAACGACAGAGATCATCAGATATTTGTTTTGATGCCAAACTTTGTTGTAGCTGGGCTTTGAGTGTGCTGATTTCATGGCTAGATGCTGTCAATTGGATGGGGGGGGGGGAAAACACTATCAATTCATATGAAATATGTTGATAAGACACACACACTAAACATACCCACAGATCTACACCCCAGGAACAAAATTCACACCCCAAGAACAAAAGCTAAACCCCCCCAAACTAACACCCCAGGAACAAAATCCAAAACCCCCAGTACACAAGCCACACACCCCTCCAAACATACACCCCAGGAACACAAGCTACAAACCCCTCCAAACATACACCCAAGGAACACAAGCCACACCCCCAGACTTACAGTGTTCCAACAATGCCTGGCACTGCCTCTGGCTCTCCTCCAGACTCCGAGACAGCCTGTTGATGGTTTCCCCTCGTGACACCTGGGCCCTCTCCAGCTCCTGGCTTGTGTCAGCCAGCTGTTTCTTTAGATACACAACCTCGTCTTGCTACAGGTGGTCAAAACAAATATCTAATCAAACACACTTCAAATACACAACCTCGTCTTGCTACAGTAACAAAACAAATATCTAATCAAACACACTTCAAATACACAACCTCGTCTTGCTACAGGTGGTCAAAACAAATATCTAATCAAACACACTTCAAATACACAACCTCGTCTTGCTACAGTAACAAAACAAATATCTAATCAAACACACTTCAAATACACAACCTCGTCTTGCTACAGTAACAAAACAAATATCTAATCAAATACACAACCTCGTCTTGCTACAGGTGGTCAAAACAAATATCTAATCAAAACACATGCATGAAACAACAGTAACAAAACAAATATCTAATCAAATACACAACCTCGTCTTGCTACAGGTGGTCAAAACAAGAACACATGCGTGAAACAACAGAAACAAAACAAATATCTAATCAAAACACACTTCAAATACACAACCTCGTCTTGCTACAGGTGGTCAAAACAAGAACACATGCGTGAAACAACAGAAACAAAACAAATATCTAATCAAAACACACTTCAAATACACAACCTCGTCTTGCTACAGGTGGTCAAAACAAGAACACATGCGTGAAACAACAGAAACAAAACAACACATGCGTGAAACAACAGTAACAAAACAAATATCTACTCAAAACACACAGTCATTAATAAAAACAATCATTTTAACACTGTAGAAAACTTTTTAAAAATATGGCTTTAAAAAGACAATCTATAGATCTAATTTTTTAACCTTCAAGCGAGGAACTCAAGAGAACACAACCGTAAAACAGCAACTATTTAATAAAGATTTTTTTCATAACAGATCAGTAATAAAAATAACAAATTTTGAATTACAGTACACTTTTTATAAAAAGTGTTTTAAGCTGACATTTTTTTTTGTGTTATTTTTTTAAATAATGTTCCAAAACAAATAATTTTAGTCTGATGGAGTGCCAAACCAGAGACAAAGATGCTCATATGCATCGCAATATTCAAATGGGTCACTTTATCATTTCTAGGCAGATTTTGCTCTTTACCACATGAAGTTCAAGAACATGATATCTTGTGAATAGTACAAGGAATGATACATACACTAACTGACGTGAACCTAGACACAGATTAACTCTAATGCAGCTTCCTGCAACTGACCATTGGTTTCTACTACTAATCCAAAAATCTCTTACTGCATAGATCACGAAAACATCCTTCCCAGGTCCAAAAGGGTATCTTTACTTACTAAAAAAAGTGGAGGTGCATAAAACTGACTGCACTATCCCTCCATTTGAATCAGAGGAACTCTACTTCAGCTACCCAAACTGACAATCTACTTGTCTTACCTGCTCTAGCGCCGCCTTGATCCCATCCATCTTCTCCTTCAAGCCTAGCACCTCCCTCTCATACAACAACTCTACTTCAGCTACCCAAACCCAACTCTACTCACCCTGCTCTCTAGTGCGGCCTTGATCCCATCAATCTTCTCCTTCAAGCCCAGCACCTCCCTCTCATACAACAACTCTACTTCAGCTACCCAAACCCAACTCTACTCACCCTGCTCTCTAGTGCGGCCTTGATCCCATCCATCTTCTCCTTCAAGCCCAGCACCTCCCTCTCATACAGCAACTCTACTTCAGCTACCCAAACCCAACTCTACTTACCCTGCTCTCTAGCGCTGCCTTGATCCCATCCATCTTCTCCTTCAAGCCCAGCACCTCCCTCTCATACAGCAACTCTACTTCAGCTACCCAAACCCAACTCTACTTACCCTGCTCTCTAGCGCGGCCTTGATCCCATCCATCTTTTCCTTCAAGCCCAGCACCTCCCTCTCGTAGCGCTGCGTCAGACTGGAGATGACAGACTCATGTTCGTGCCTGGCTCTGCTCAGGGACTCCGAGGCCTGCAGGTCATCAATGTGGTGGGACAAGTTCTCGATGGTCGACTCGGCCGTCTGAAGTTTTTTTATCAGCTGGAACACAAGGAGGTGAAACATGCTATAGCTAAATATTTAACAATGTTTTTTAAAATGGGTGGGATAAGAAAAGTATGTTGTGACTAAAAATAAACACTTATTGAAGCTTTTAACTAAGCAGGAGTAAGTAAAACTTGTTATAGCTGCAAAAGAAATACAGCTATAAATATTTAACTCAAACAGAATCCAGCACCAAAAATTTTACATATCCATTACAACTGTTCAAAAGTTTCCTTCTTTGTGCAAATATATATATATTCAGCAAAGTAGGCCTACTTCACTTTTTCATCGCTGTATGCAAGTTATAAATCTATAAATAATTGGTTGGTTTCAGTTTTTTTTTAATTATATTTTTAAAAAATTGAATAAGCGACTTAAAATGTAAATATTTTTCAAATTATGAGTAAAACAATAAAAGAGAATTGAGAAATTGATTACAAAATTGCTAATAAACTTAATAATAAAGACTTGAGTTTTCATAATGATAAATTTAAAAAAAGAAAACAATTTTTTTCAACTTCTACATGGAACTATAATAAGCAGAACAAAAATGTCAGCCTCACCTCCTCCTTAGTGTCCCGTAGCGAAGAAACTTGAGACTCGAGAGCTCTGATTTTCCCATTGGCGTTAGTGTTTTCAGTCTTGGCTTGCTGCAGTAAGGCCTGGCAGTGTCTGAGACTTTCTCTGGCACCTTCAGCTTCACCTGCACACAAAAAGTTTCTTGAGGTTAACACAAAGTTATTTCATACAAAGTTACTGGGGTGTGGAGTGTGACAGTAAACTATAGAGTAATGTCATCTTGTGCTGTAGCTGTTCTGGGAGCTGGTAAAATCACCACCAGCTGAGACGGTAATTATTTTTTTAAAGAAGAAACCATAGGACAAGAAATTGTGGTTGGATGGTAGAGCGCATGATAGCTAACCCAAATATGTCTCAAGTTCAGTTTCCAGGCTTGAGTCAATATGACATTTCTGAGTGCAAACTTCTCTGAAGGGTACCTGACTTACATTAGGGAAAGTAAAGACATCTGGTTGTAGGGCTGTACACACTACACTATCAAATGCCAAGGTCGCAGAAACAGGTGAACTCTACTTCAACTGTCCCATGGACCATGTTCAAATAGGTAACATTACTTTAATCACCATTTTTTTTTCATTCTTTTTTTTCATGCCTCAAAGTTTCAGATTGGCTAATTGGTCAAATTGACCAACGCTAAGTAATTCAAACTCCACCCAGCTGTGATGGATACCTAACCAAACTCTGAGCCATCAAACATGATGGACAAGGGCCCTACACAGAAATAAAAAAAACCAAAACACTCTACTTCATCTATTTCTATAGTTGACCATACAGAAGGATACTACAACAAACATAATGCACGTATAAGTTAAGATCACAAGCTGATGTATCACAAGATCAAGACTGACCTGTAGCTAGGATCACAAGATCAAGACTGACCTGTAGCTAGGGCCAGCCTGTGCTTCAGTGACCGGATCTCTTTCCCCATCTCTTCATCTTTCTCCTCTAGTTTGTGCGTCAGTTCTTCAATCTCTCTCCCCCTCGCCTTGTACAGAATGGTCAGCTGCTCGTACGTTCGTACATCTTCTGGCTTATCTGATAGAAGGAAACAATAAAAGATTGTGATGTTCGTACATCTTCTGGCTTATCTGATAGAAGGAAACAATAAAAGATTGTGATGTTCGTACATCTTCTGGCTTATCTGATAGAAGGAAACAATAAAAGATTGTGATGTTCGTACATCTTCTGGCTTATCTGATAGAAGGAAACAATAAAAGATTGTGATGTTCGTACATCTTCTGGCTTATCTGATAGAAGGAAACAATAAAAGATTGTGATGTTCGTACATCTTCTGGCTTATCTGATAGAAGGAAACAATAAAAGATTGTGATGTTCGTACATCTTCTGGCTTATCTGATAGAAGGAAACAATAAAAGATTGTGATGTTCGTACATCTTCTGGCTTATCTGATAGAAGGAAACAATAAAAGATTGTGATGTTCGTACATCTTCTGGCTTATCTGATAGAAGGAAACAATAAAAGATTGTGATGTTTGTACATCTTCTGGCTTATCTGATAGAAGGAAACATTAAAAGATTGTGATGTTCGTACATCTTCTGGCTTATCTGATAGAAGGAAACATTAAAAGATTGTGATGTTCGTACATCTTCCGGCTTATCTGATAGAAGGAAACAATAAAAGATTGTGTTGTTCGTACATCTTCTGGCTTATCTGATAGAAGGAAACAATAAAAGATTGTGATGTTCGTACATCTTCTGGCTTATCTGATAGAAGGAAACAATAAAAGATTGTGATGTTCGTACATCTTCTGGCTTATCTGATAGAAGGTAACAATAAAAGATTGTGATGTTTGTACATCTTCTGGCTTATCTGATAGAAGGTAACAATAAAAGATTGTGTTGTTCGTACATCTTCTGGCTTATCTGATAGAAGGAAACAATAAAAGATTGTGATGTTTGTACATCTTCTGGCTTATCTGATAGAAGGTAACAATAAAAGATTGTGATGTTCGTACATCTTCTGGCTTATCTGATAGAAAGAAACAATAAAAGATTGTGTTGTTCGTACATCTTCTGGCTTATCTGATAGAAGGAAACAATAAAAGATTGTGATGTTCGTACATCTTCTGGCTTATCTGATAGAAGGAAACAATAAAAGATTGTGTTGTTCGTACATCTTCTGGCTTATCTGATAGAAGGAAACAATAAAAGATTGTGATGTTCGTACATCTTCTGGCTTATCTGATAGAAGGAAACAATAAAAGATTGTGATGTTCGTACATCTTCTGGCTTATCTGATAGAAGGAAACAATAAAAGAATGTGATGTTCGTACATCTTCTGGCTTATCTGATAGAAGGAAACAATAAAAGATTGTGATGTTCGTACATCTTCTGGCTTATCTGATAGAAGGAAACAATAAAAGATTGTGATGTTCGTACATCTTCTGGCTTATCTGATAGAAGGAAACAATAAAAGATTGTGATGTTCGTACATCTTCTGGCTTATCTGATAGAAGGAAACAATAAAAGATTGTGATGTTCGTACATCTTCTGGCTTATCTGATAGAAGGAAACAATAAAAGATTGTGATGTTCGTACATCTTCTGGCTTATCTGATAGAAGGAAACAATAAAAGATTGTGATGTTCGTACATCTTCTGGCTTATCTGATAGAAGGAAACAATAAAAGATTGTGATGTTCGTACATCTTCTGGCTTATCTGATAGAAGGAAACAATAAAAGATTATGTTGTAACATGACATTACTCAGAGGGGGGGGGGGGGGGGGCATTCAGTGATGTTCTATTTGGCAGATGGATAAAGTACACAACAACAAAAGACTATAAAAATTTAACATACAACAAATCAATAGCACAGAGTATTCTTTAGCACTAGAGACAGCAGGGATATCTTGGGAGATGGCAAAATAAACAGGACAAAATGGAAGGTCATGGTATGCTCCACAAGGAGTAAAGAGGATTAAGTCGTCAAATCAATAGCAGCAATATTCTGATTTGAACAATTTTAAAATTAAAATTTCTAGTGATATGTTATCAGATATTGCCAGTTTGGAAATGGCTGTTCTAAATTAACTTGCCAGCATGTTTTAAATGTTTATGTAATGCTTGCGAAGACAACTTTGAAAATTTGTTTTATTTCAATTTAGGCTATTAAAACATTTTCTAGAATTCTCCGGTAGGTGACAAACTGTATCTTGTCAGTAGGTAAATAATGTTTTGCATACTTATCTGAAAGAACTATTTGGTCAGTAGGTAAATAATTTTTTACTTACTTTTCTGAAAGAATTGTAGGCCTATCTTTTAAGTAGGTTATATAATATTTTACCTACCTTTCTGAAATAACTGCATAAGTAGGTAAATAATATTTTGCCTACCTTTCTGAAATAACTGCATAAGTAGGTAAATAACATTTTGCCTACCTTTCTGAAATAACTGCATATGTTAAGTAGGTAAATAATATTTTGCCTACCTTTCTGAAAGAACTGCATATGTTAAGTAGGTAAATAATATTTTGCCTACCTTTCTGAAAGAACTTGATCTGGTCAGTAGGTAAATAAAACTCCTCCTCCCCGTGTTCTGGTGCATGTTTCTTGTTGTAAACCACAGTGTAGTTACTGTAGGTGTCACCCTTAGGCTCCTGAAAACAAATGGATTAAACATACACAGATTTTGATTATATCCATAGAACATCTATGTGTCCATCCTATGTATATGACTCCTGCTAGGGAGAGTACAGGTGGTTGGGCATTATGCTGTAAGACGTCTACCTTGGTCAAGAAACTGATGAACTCAACTTCATCTGCCCTACAAATAGTCAGGTCAGAAAGGGGCACTTTTTAAAATTGAAATAAATAAATAACGCTAAAATAAAGAAACATTTTTTTAATATGCTTTTTCACACCCTAAAAATAACAGCTTTTAACTTTCTATGGAGATATTATTCTTCAAATTTTCAACAGTTTGCTACCATTTTAAAGTAGTTGTTCTGCATTTTAAGTCTTAAAAGAGGAACTAGATACAGAATCTGCAAAACTTTTTACGACTTTGTTTTTCTCTATTCTTAATTAAAATGTTAAATGGAATTTCCTCCAATACAATTAAGTATTATGTGTCACCGTGTTATACACCATATGGACGGCTGACTCAGATTTCCGCTTTTCTTTCCGGATCTATCCAAGGACAAACTACAAGCAGCAGTTGTTTGATTATGTCTTATCTCCTAGTAACTGTTCCCAGATATCGAGTCTTATCTGCCCGGTAGTCCAAACACAGGACTCTTTGGTTTAGCAACAATGAGCTTTACCAACCCGATTCCCTTTTTACAATTGACTTGGTCTAAGACACCTAGCATTATATTTGCCTTTCAAGAGTTTCAGCCTCTTAATCAACAATTTTATTTTTAATTCCACTAAGTGATTCCCCTAACATAATGTATTTTTTTCTAAATTTATCAACTGCCCACACCTGGGAGTTTTTGATAACATGGCTTTGAGTTCGGTGTCTCTGGAAATTATTTAGTATTTGAAAACTACTAAATGAATTATAAAAATTATACACAGACATACTTACAGCTTGATTTTGATTGCTCTGTTTTGGATAGCGTGGTTCAAATGATGTTTGTTGCGTGTGTCCATTTTCAGGCGGCATAAAAACATTTTTCGTGCTATCCTGTGAATAGTTTGCACCATTGTTTCTATCCTGTTGAAATTGTCCATGACCATTGCTTCTATCTTGTTGAAACTGTCCATGTTGCCTAGGCACAACTGCATGCTGAGGTAACGAGTTATAACCAAATTCACCGCCACCAGAAAAATTGTGATTTGCTCCAACACTGGTTAAATTATCCACCGAGCCACTGATTGTGCGAGGCTCTGCCTTAAGCTCCTCAATGTTATTTGCGCCGTTGTGGCGGTGGGCAGCAGGGGTGTAGTTGTAACCGTCATGGTGGAGACCCTCTGGTATGGAATGAGATTTCCATCTGGCATTAGACAAGGGGGATGATGGAACAGGTTGTTGTGAGGGCAAGGCTAAGAACTGGCTGGTATCTCCTTCAGTCTGTGAGACATTCCTGTGGGCATTTTATTTATTTTTAAATTAAAAACAGAAAAAAAACATTTTGGGGGGAAATGTAAAAGCACCGTGTTTGTATTGAAATATAATAAATAAAACATGCAGCTTTATTTTAGCTCCTATACAACAAACAATAAATTTAGTTAAACACTGTAGGCAATAAACTAAAATTTAACGCAATTCCTTCATAAGCTTATTTCAAAACATCTAAAATTACAACCTATCTGTTATGTTTACAAATCAAATAAACTATTTGGCCAGGTTACATTATTTTATACAATAGATTCTATATTCATACTCTTTATTGAATTTATTTTATATTATACAAAGGTAAACTTCAATTCAACAGCTTACCTGCTTGGGTGATTTGAGTCATAATTTTCATCTTCCGATTCATCCGAATATGAAAAATCATCAACAAAGTCTCCTAATTCTTCTTCTAAGGCACGACGAATCTAAAATTAAACATGCCATAATTTACTTTGTGTTAACTTCAATTATAAGCCCTAAACATTAAATCTTTTTTAAAATTTAAAAATTTATTTACACAAAAAATGTCTATGTATTAATACTTTTAATTTTCTACTAACACAATTCGTGAAAACATAAGCAGCTACTGATGCATGTGTTAAAAATTTCTGATCATGTGATAGCTACCATTTAAAAACAACACAAACCTCCTGAGCTTCTAGCTCTCGCTCCCTCTCCAGTTCTTCCTCTCTGTCATCAATGGGGCCATCAAAATATATTGAGCCCATAGGTGTGTCATCGAAGCTTATATTTACACTCATGGCAACTTGCTATGACACATAAGTTAGGGCTATCTTCATATGCATCAATCTAGATAAAATGACAAATAATTAGATCATAGATAAAAATATTTATTATAGTTACGACTTAAAGACTGAGCATGGCCTAGCAATAGAGAGCTAGACTGCTAACCCATATGTCTTGAGTTCAAATACGAGGCTCATAAAACCAGTAGGGTTCCTGAGTCCACCCAGCTCTGATGTTACCAAACTCATGTTAGGGAAAATTAAGCTGGCTGGACATAATGCTGACCACACCATCCCTTCATATGTCGAGTTCAAAAAACATGAATTCTACTTCATCTGCCCAATGGATCATTAGGTCTAAAGAGAAATCTCTACTTTTTTTTTTATAGATAAACATACATAACAAGTATTATGCTTTTGCCAAGTATGCAGGCTGGGTGGTACTTTATTTTTCCAAGCAGGAGATACAGATATAATTAGTGTCAGAATGAGACTTCAAGATAGCTCTAGAGTCATAATATAAAGTGAGTTCCCAGCTAAAAATCTGGACTAATAGTAGGTAATTATAAGACTGTCCATTTTTTAATTAATGTAAAAACAAAACAATTTGATTTTAATCAAATAAAGAAATAACAGAAAATAAGAGAAGAAGATATATCAAATTGGCTGACTATTAAATATTGTCTGATAGCATTATGGTCAAACAGTAGAGTTCTGACTGGTGAACCTAAAAGTCTCGAGTTCGGGTCCCAGGCTTGAGTTAAAAGAAGCAGAGGCGGCTAGGTTTTATGAATTATTGTACTAACTACTAACTATCCCTTCATATGCTGACATCACAGAAATAGATGAGCTCAACTTCATTTGCCAGGTCTGAATAATACTAGGCCCTATACGTTTAATGCTAATGCTAATAGTATCTTAGAGATAGGCCACAGGCCTAATAATAATTAATTATGGTATTAAACTAGGTTACTCTTACTAGGCCTATACATTTAGGCTTATACATTATAATATTAATTACTAATTAGGCCTATATAGGGCCTGCTAAACAATAAAATAGGCCTACACTATTTAATATTTATTAGGGCCTATGGATCTAGAATAGATCTAAACTACTAAGTAGTCACAATAAATTATTTAGTGTTTAAATCGTTAAGCCCATAGGCCTAAGTTTTATATTTTATAGATATAAATAAATTATAAAACTAGTAAAATAATAATAATAAAAAGGCCTACTAGTCTACTAGATAAATAAATATGTTATTAAACTACAACACAGTTTTACAAGAAATGCCCACCATCTGACTTCTTTACCTGTCTTTTAGTTAGTAGTTAGTAGTGTTACCAGGGCCAGTTTCCCTCAGTTTAGATAGATCTAGTTTAGAAAGCCTAAGTTTGAGTTACTAAGTTAAATTAATAAATTTTAGTAGAAATAGTTTTCAAATACCATCAACAATCAACAGAAATTACTAATTACTAATAGTGAATTAGGCCCTAATGATAAATTATTAAATTATTATTAGGCCTAATCCTAATACTAATACTAATAGGAAATTCCTAAGTTGTAGGTCCTAAACTGTGATTAATTTAATAATTACTAGAATCTAGAAACGGAAACTCCAGTAAAGAATTATATTAATTAACGATTCTGATTCACTCGTAGTATGAGAATTATGATCGATCTGGTCGCTAGTTTTCTCACGTGTCGTGTCTGATCATGTTTTGTTTACATTTTTTATTATATTTTTTTTTATTAAACAAGTCTGCACAAGTTCTAGATTCTAGACCTGGATCTAGATTCTAGATCTAGTAACTTTTCATGTCTATAAAAAACAGCAACAAAATAATTTTAAAAATCATACATTTTTAATCTGGAAATCAAAAACAATCCTTTTGAAAATTACGATCATGTAGATTTGAAGCAGCCGCCTCCTACAACAAACTCAAGAATCTAGGCCTAGGTTGTACTGACATCTGTCAGTCAACGGAAGTATATTTTCAGTTGCTATTGTCATTATTTTGACTTTGGAACATATTTTTATGGTCCTTCTTTACGCATAATTTTTTTTTTTTTTTTTTTTTTTTGTGTGACTCGTCATTTTCTTTTAATTTTTGTGACTTTTTGTCCTACATTCTAGACCTAAAAAACACTCCATGCTATTGAGCTATTGATTATTGATGATTTATTTTGTCCACATGACATCATTATTTTTTCTTGAAGCCACTTGTTCTATTTAATGTGATCATTGTACGGAGCGTAACTAGGGTACATTGCTTTTATATGGCACTCTGTTTTCGATGGCTCCCTCATTCACACCCCACGTGTTCTACTCTTCTTGAGAATTTATAAGATGCAAAACGCCAATACTGACCAGAATAATAATAATAATATTGAATATATTGATATTTTATTAAAGGCGCTACCATGATGTGCAGGCGCTCCCCTGAGAGCATTTTCGCAACAGCGTCACCTTTTCAAAAGTGTATTAATAAAAATTAATTAACATGAACTACGACATCCACTATAAATAAATAACACCCAAAAAATGAGGTTTGAGGAAGGAGCCTTCTAGTGGCAAAGCGTATGCAGGCCTACCTCGTGGTAAATAAAGGCCCTCATCTTTGCCTTAAAGTTAGTGTCTCTAGATCTCTGTTGGTGTTTAAAGGTGCCTATCTTAGGCATGGCGATAGTACCACCCTGTTCGTTAATAGTGATTTTTATGTCTTTTTGGCGCTTACATGAGTTTAGCGGCTGTACCTTTCTGATAGAAAGAGAGAGGAAAAAAAAACTGCATATTACAAGCTTTTATTACTTTATCTTATACACAGAGTTTCTTCCAGGCATCTTGCCCCCCCCCCCCCCCCCGAAAATTTTTACCGCCCCCCCCCCCCCCCCAATGAAATGAAACTTATATAATTTATATAGAAAATATATACTTTTAACAGTGTCACCCCCCCCCCCCCGAAGAAAGTCTACCGCCCCCCCCCCCCCCCCCCGAAAATTTCAAGTGCCCCTCGGAGAAAAAAATTCCCGAAGAAACACTGCTTATACAGAGTTTTACGCCGTTTTAAACCTGAGTATTTCATCATATTCGGAGAATGGGGGACTTATTTTAATCGGGCGAAAATTCTAAATCCAGTTTTATAAAAAAAAAAAAATTAGGCGTTTTACGCGTAATCGAGTCAGAAAACTGGGCTTAGGGGTCTACATAAATGACGTCACCGTCGTAGGGGGGTCCGTAATTTTGTGACGCTGTATGATGAGGGGATAGGGTTCAGATCGTGTGACGTCACACTTTTTGCATAAAAAAAAATGTTAGAAAACGAGTTTTAGCCGTTATTTCGCGTTTTAGAAAACTGTTTTAATGAATTGTAACAGGAATTGATTAAAATACTCTATGTTTACAGAATTCAGACAAGATTTTCGAAAAATATCGATGTTTTAAGAAAAATTCAACTGCAATATTTTAGGAGGTGTGACGTCATTTTGGGTGGGGGTGGTCTGGCTTTTTGTGACGATGTGTGACGGAGGGGAGGGGGAGGTAAAAATCGTCCAAAAAGCGTGACGTCATTTGTGGATGACCCCTTTGCAAATCTGTCAGTGTGTCTGTGTGCATGTGTGCATGTATGTGTCAATGTGAACACAATAACTTGAGTACCGTTACAGCTAGGTTGATGAAATTTCATATATAAGTATTATATCAAATTCGTATAGTTGTGTATAAACTTTTCAGCGATTTCCGATAACCGGAAGTGGAACTTTTTCTACTTTTGATTTTTCAAAAGCATATAACTTGAGTAATGCTTCAGATAGATTGACGAAATTTCTCATGTAGGTAATAGATCTAACTATCTGCCTTTTAATAAATGTTGAGTCATTTCCGGTTTCCGGAAGTAGAACTTTACGCTATTTCCGATTTCTAAAAGAAAAGGGCATATGAATTTATAAAGTACCAATATTTCGCACGTATACACACATTATTTGCTGTTCACTTGGTGCGCTGTTCTTTTTCTACGATATTGTATTCTATTTTAAAAAGTTGAAGTAATTAAAATGTATTTTTAAAAATCATTAAAACGTTTTATATCAAGCTTTTATGTAATAATGCACTAAAAAGTAGAAAATAAATTATTTCACTAATTATTATCTATTGGATAACTTTACTAATATTTAGGTAGAGAACCACGCTTTTCTTTATAGTTATTTCCATAGCAGTGCATTATTATATATTTCAAGAAAATCATTTATTTTCTACTTTTTTAGTGCATTATTACATAAAAGCTTGTTATTAAAACAAAAGTTCGTTATGCATATTTTTTCTCAATACTTTTAAATATTAAAAATTTACAATAGAGTTGCACGACTAAAAACTATTGAACATCTAATGAACATGATAACGCGCGTACGGAATAGTTGGATAGGGCTGCCTACTAATTTGGACACAATTTTAATTAATTCATGAAAATTAATTAGGCATCCAATTAAGTCAAATTTAATCCCGCTTCTCCTTTTACCTGTTTCACCTCTCACTCACCAATATGATGACTTTAAAATTTTGTGTCAACAATGTAAGTCTACATTTTCTACACAGGGTGTTAACAACAATGCCAAACCATGAACAATAGCATATTCAAGATATTTGACACGTTTGGGATTACTCTAGACCAGGGGTCTCCAAACTTTTCAGCCCGAGGGCCGCAGTAACTATCAAATATCAGTTCGCGGGCCAGAGTTTCATCCAGGCATCTCTTCGGGGTGACGGGCCCCTCCCCCCCCCCCCGAATAACCTCTACCGTCTACCTCCCCCCCCCCCAACGAAATCATATATATATATATATATATATACACATTTCAATACTCTGCTCAAAACTTTCACACAACTTAGCCATCTTACTGCTGTGTAATATGGTAATTCTTGCGATTCTGTTTGTATATTTCAACATGTCTCTGAAATATCTATGGATGAGCCCATGTGACCGTATTAAATTCACCATCTTCACCAAGGGATTTAGTTCACTGCTAATGTCCACATATTTAGTACACAAAGCTTGCTGGTGAAGAATACAGTGCAGGGACATTGGTTGTAGAATGATTTCTCATTCGCTTGTCCAACCAAGTCTTTCTTTATGCCACTCATGTACTTTCCTCCATCAACAGTCAGGTAACAGAAGTTAGTCCAGTTCCAGTTATAATCAGCAATTTTTTTTTTAACTCATTGAATATATTCTCTCCGGTAACAGTCCCATACATGTTATGTAGGAAACCATCTCTTGTGTTCTTGTTCTTGTTTTCATCCACATCTCTAATGAACACGAGCAGTTGAGAGGTGGAACAGCTGTCCAGCGACTCATCAGTTGCAATTGAAAAATGGCGAAACTTGCTTGCATTTTTCGCTATTTGATTCACAATGTTTTCACCAATGTCTGCAACACGAATGGCAATGCTACATTTGCACCCAATGGTACATTTTCAATTTGATTTGAGGGTTTCGAACTAAACTCCATGACATTATTTCAGTGGGGTGGTTTTGTGCAAAATAGGGAATGGAGGTGAACATCGCCTTTTTTAAACGTCACGCCATTTCAGCCACCTCCAACAAACATTTTTTTTTCGTTGACAAAAAGATCTCCGCGGGCCGGATGAGAAGACCTCGCGGGCCGCATCCGGCCCGCGGGCCGTAGTTTGGAGACCCCTGCTCTAGACAGACAAATGAGAAAAAAAAACATTATTTTATAATATAGCCGGATTAAATCTTTGTCCCACTAAAAAATAGCATCTTTGTAAAGATAGTATGCACTCGCCGCCCTCGCATCGAAAACCTGGCTACGCCCTTGACCAGTATGAATGTTGTTAGGGGCCTAAAGTTTTCCAATCAGGCACTTAAACCCTATTTTTGGCTTTAACTCGCAAGATCGGCTTTTCTGAATAATTTTTAAAATAAGGTGTAAATTAATAGTGGACTACAGCTACATTTTAAAATGACTGACAAATAACATTAGTTAGGGCTAAACATATAACTATAAGCAGTTGATTTAACAATTAAAAATCAATAACAACCGACAATAAAAATAATGCCTGTCGTGAAAAAATTTAGTTAGGCCTAAACTAATTTGGCCCGCAAATTGGTCATAATTTCAATTTGGCGGTGCGTGGTCCAGCTGGATCTATCAAGACTAGTGTTAGGCGCTCTCTGGTCTCAAGTCAGCTCATCGCCTCATGCTTATTCAGGATCAAGTTATAGATAAGTGATTATTTTATTCTACTTTTCAACTCTAGATCTAGAATCTAGACTAGAATGGGTAAAATCTTAGTTTAGCGTCGTAAATTCCAACGTAGCTAGTAATGTGCGATGAAGGTAACTAATGAATATTTCTTTCATTTGGCCATATTTATGTCATATTTTACTTAATATAACAGATAATTGAATAACAAATCACAATCCATTACCAAACCAGTCATAAATATCCTGGAATAAACTTTAAACTACCCCGTTTGAGACAACAATGAGTAAATACAAGCTGCGGCCATGTTTTGAAAACAATAAGTTGTCTATTCGTATGTCTTTTGTGTTGATTTTGTGGTTTAATATGATTGTTTTGTATTGTTTTAATATATGCCTGGGGTCGTCCATAAATGACGTCACATTCGTAGGGGGGGGTCCGTAATTTTGTGACGTTGTGTGATGAGGGTGAGAGGGGGGGGGGGGGGGGTTCAGATGGTGCGACGTCACACTTTTGCATTTTAAAAAAGCAATGTTAGAAAACGAATTTTAGACGTTATTTTGCGTTTTAGAAAACTGTTTTAATACATTATAATAACAATTGATTAAAATACTCTATTTTGACAGAGTTCAGACAAGATTTTGGAAAAATATAGATCTAGCTGTTTAAAAACAATTCAACTGCAATTTTGAGGGGGGGGGGGGGGGTTGTAGGCTGAGGTGTGACATTTTAGGGGGGG